GCTGCAAATGAGAAGCAAAAGAGAAAGCAAGAGAGGCGCCGTACATATATAGGACAGGAAGATGCTTTAACTATTGAAGAAGGGATAGATCGTGTACGAAGAGCTAATGAAGAGGAGAGTAGGGTGGTTGAGGTTACTGAGGAAAGACCACAAAAACGTGCTGCACGTCAGTGCAGTATATGTGGAACAGTTGGGCATACTGCCCGTACATGCTCCCAGCGTACAAGAAATAGTTCTTAATGTAATTAGATGATTTCTCTATATAGTTGTGGTGAAATTTGACTGTGAAGCTGTATGATGGTGGGGAAGTGTCCGACTAGGCCATTTGTCCGACTAGGTTATAGATCACGTTATAGTTAGTTATAGTTAACTAACTAGTTAGTTACATGGAAGAACATGCATACTGCGTACTTGGCTCAACAAATAGCAGCAATGGTTCTTGGAGAATGATAGAATGGTTCCTGCAGAAGCTACAGGATGATGCCTGTGTGTGATAAAATATACTCTGAACTGACAGCTACAGAGTGTCTGCTGCGCGGAGAACTTTTCCACCGCTTTCGCCGAGCACGGACAAGCAACGTCGCCAACTGCCGATCCGATGTCGCGGCGATGACGTCGATGCTTGGCGGGGTCTCCTCCTGGACAACCATCAAAAAGGCCAATTGCAGCATCCTGGACCACTCAATCCTCCTCCTGCGCATCCCTCTCGCTCCGACGGTCGTTTCTTAATTTAATTTGCCCGTCCTGCTCTCCCCTTATGCGCTTTCACCACCTCCTCGCCACCCCTCTTCTCCGCAGGCCTCCCTCGTCCATCCTAACCTCTGCTCCTTCGCTCAAGCCATACCATCGCATCGCGTTCAGACCTATCCATTGCTCTTCAGTCAACATGTCGGGCGTCAGCCAGGCTTGCTGTTCGTATGTATCGCCGAATCAATTCTGGGCTTATACTCTGTTGGCTACGTGCTAACGCGTCCTCTCCTAGGATTCCCCCCGTCGTGTCCAAGGGATACAATGCCAAGGGTGAATACAAGACCATTGGTGGCCTGAAGACATGTCAGTGCCGTCCTACTGTCTCCAGGTAGATGTGCAATTGAGAATTGGCTGACGGAAACAGACGTCACGGGCCCAGAGTCGGCCACTGATGCGATCCTGGTCATTTATGGTGGGCAGCTCCTTGCTCTTAAGTAGTGCCAAAACCTTTTGTCATGCTAATCTGTGATTCTCCAGACATCTTCGGTTTCTGGCCACAGACCATCCAGGGTGCCGACATCCTGGCTACCTCCGACGCTCAGCGGAAGTACCGCGTGTTCATCCCCGACTTCTTCGAGGGCAGCCCCGCCGATATCTCGTGGTACCCGCCCCAGACGGAGGAGCACAAGCAGAAGCTGGGCAACTTCTTCCAGACTAGGGCGCCGCCGCCACTCACGCTGGCCAAGATCCCTGGCGTCGTGGCGGACGCGAACAAGCTTGCCCCTGGTGGCAGCTTCCAGAAATGGGGAATCCTGGGCTACTGCTGGGGCGCCAAAGTCGCAAACCTGACCTTGACCAAGGATTTCAACGTCAAATTCAATGCCGGCGTGCAGTGTCACCCGGCCATGCTGGACCCGAACGACGCGAAGAACGTGACGGCGCCGATCGCGCTGCTGGCGTCCAAGGACGAGAACCCGGCCGACGTCAAGGCGTACAAGGACAACCTGCAGGTTCCCAATCATGTTGAGACCTTCTCGACCCAGATCCACGGATGGATGGCGGCCCGGGCCAACCTGGAGGACCCGGAGGTCCGCAAGGAATACGAGCGCGGCTACAAGACCGTGCTGAACTTTTTCCACCAGCACCTGTAAAAGCTGGAAGAACGGGAAGGAAATGACTACCAAAGGGGACAATGTATCAATCTAGATCTGTGTCAATTAGCTCAATTCAATCTATTAATGACATTTATCAAATGCCTATCGTTGGTTTCTCTGTAGAGAAATAGTTACCCTCATTCCATCTTAACAGTCCGTAAATGATATCAATTGATGAATAATCCAGCACTCTCTGGGTAGAGAAACGATAAAATAATACTCAGAGAATACCTACTCCGTAATCCTCCATGCCAAGCCGGGACGAGCTTCCATAGCGGGCCGTTCCCACTGTGGCCACTTTCGTGCCGCATTCCGAGTGAGTGCATCGATAAAAGCCCGGGCTGCCGACTCGATATATCCGGCGCTGTTCGGAGATCATATCAAATTCTGTTTCTGCATATATGGCCATGTTCTATATGTTCTCTTCTTTTCTTTTCTTGAAGCAGATCGTTGCTGTCTGTCTGTTATCTTGATTGCCAATTGCTTCATTTAATCTACTGTACTGTACAGTACACTGTTCCGGTGGGGCTACGACGTACTGTACGGAGTACATGCATTCAAGTATGTACCCACATAATTAGTTCATGTACTGACTACAGAGTACTGTACATGTATGTGTATATCTTTCTTTCTGGTCCCTCGAATCTAACTGACTGGTTTCATGTGAAACGAAAAGAAAGGAAAGAAAAGAAAAGAAAAGAAAAGAAACGAGGATAATGCTCGACAAATCCGTCCCAGACGACAGTCGCAACCAGACCATGCGTTCGACCTAGCTAGCTACCTATATAGCCACGTTAGTAACATAACATATAGGTCGCCGCCGCGCTGTTTCATCCCAGACAGAACAGATATTATCTCAATGTTCTTCTTATCGTGTGACAGAGAAGCTATGTCTCTTTTCCACCACAACAACCGACATGAGTCGAATCGGTCGCGGCAGCAGCCTTTGTCAAAGGAAAACTCGGCTTCGGCTGCTGCAGGACATTCCACCACGCCTGCGGAATCAGGATCAGAGCGCCACAGTAATGAAAATGAACGACCGTCGTCGCTGTTTGGCAGATTTCGTGGCGAAGGGATGAAGCATCTAAGTGCTTTGCATGATGATCAAAGAGAACACGATGTGTCGGTACGTTATTCTGCTGTTGATTCTTTTCTACTTGCCGGGGAAGGACTTGGTGTCAAAATGAAAGGGGGAGATCATTTTTATTAGCAGCTGCAAAGCCAGTTGGGCTGATTCTTGTGCTGTCCGCAAAGTCCACTGAATCCGGCACAATTCACCTGCAGAAGAATCATGGGAATCAAGACCACCATGACGCTGTGCCAGTACGACCATCTGTCGAGCCAAAACAGCCTACTAATATTCCCGACGCTCTGGAACACACTCTCGAGTCGATCAGCAAACACAGCGATGCTGATGGCAAAGCTGATCACCAGGAAAAGCCTTCTCATGGCCGGAAGACAGGTCTGACGAAGGCGGACATAAAGTACCTGTTCTCCGGAGCACCGCACTTTATTCTTGAAAAGGGCAGGCATAATCTCTGGTATCCCCATGCGATTTTCCCCTGGGACCTCCACGACCCGACTGTCCATGATCTCTGGGATAGGCAGCCATTGCGCCACGAGTCGTTTACCCTGTCGACGCTGCATGCGCATCTCCCTGTACCCGACAATTGGGCATTGGGTGGGTCTTCCAAGGCCCAAAAGACAGTGGAGGACCAGAAGACTACCAGAGATGGAGCAGCAAGACGGTCGACCTTTGATATCGGCGTGTTTGAGGTCCCCAACATGCTGTCCATCAACGGAAAGGAGCCCGGCTGTGTCGGCTTCCGTCACTTCCTTGAGATCCCCGTGGCGGACCGGGTGCAGAATAAGCCATCTGTGCCCAAGCCAGCGGTTGATCGCTCGAGGCTTGCACAGCTGCCGGCCTACGAGGCATTCGATATCATCCAGCATCTTGGTGATCCGTATTCTGAATGCAACAAGGACACGGTGCTGGACCGGCACAAGCTGATCTGTGAAGGGCCCCCGGCATGGAAGTGTATCGGTGTGAGAGAGGTCCATGTCAAAACGATCGTCGACCGCTTAGAGGAACTGGGCAAGTTCCGGACCGATATCTTACGGGGAGGCAAGACCATAACGATCCTCGATAAGGAGTCCCCAGACATCCTGTACAGAAACCTGTATACGAACTTTCTCTACCCACCACCACCGACGAAAGTCACGGGCCATCGGGATCTTCGGAGTCTCAAAGCCCAGATCGAGGTCTTGACTCGGGTGCTCGCCGTGAAGGGTGCATGGGTGGACTTCAGCCTGGTGGAATGGCGCTTGCGAGTTGGCCAGATTCTGTGGGAAATGCCCCCTCACGCAGATGGGGATTGTGTCGAACTGAAGCATGCCGTTTCCTCCGAAGACGACAGGAGGCGCCAGGCGCGGCTTGAGCAGGGTGCAGAAAGGCATGGCTCTTGCTGCAGCTGCTCCTGGCTGCAGAGCTGCTCGTCCGACTGGACGCTGTTGTCCGGCTAGGCATCTTGGAGCATTCCAAGGATATGACCGTTACACCCCATGAGGTGGAGCATCTCGACAAGCTGCGACACGGCAAGGTCAACTGGGACCTCGTCTTTGTGCAGCGGTTCTTCGACAACTTGACTGTCAAGTACTGCCCGCCGTCCGCCCCGCCGCAATCGCCACCATCCAGTGGTGGTCATCAAGGTTCGCCCCAGAAACCCAGGAGACAGAGCTTTCTTTCCCGGATCGGAAGTTTCAGACACCATCATCAACACGAAGACATTGGATGTGCATGGGACTGCGTCATCTCCCCACGTCGTGCGGAGCAGCAGCTGCAAGGCTTGCTTGTCTTTGCTGACATGATTGGCTGGCCAGAGCGTGACAGACTGGAGGAGACGATTCGATCCAAGCTGCAGATGCGTGAGAAAGCATCAAATTTGGAGGCAGCGAGCGCTGTATACAGCTCGCCAATCCGCAACGAGCGTCCGCTGATCCTTGGGAAGAAAGAGATGTACCGCAAGAGTCCGTCTCGTCAACTAGTGGTGCTCCATGAGTCGGGCGGCTCGGCTGAGGCCGATATGCCTGCTGATCTTGGTGGCTGGCTCTCTCGATCCTGGCTGGCGGGCTTGGTGCTCCCCGGTGAAGCCATCAGTCACTTCCTCATGGCGACCATTCTTGAGAACGACAAAAAGGCCATGGCAAAGCTGGGACCAATGGCGAATCTGCATGGCGGGTTTGCATATGCCGGCCGCAGCTGGTGGAGTACGAGGTGCATTGTGGCCAGGGTCTTGACTGCTCTCGGCGGGAGCGCAGCATGCATGGGCTGGGCCAGGATCGGTGTGCTCCCTCGTGATGCTGCGAAGGGACAAGTGCTGGAGAACACCTGGTTCGAGGTCGACGTGAAGAGCGTGCCGTCGTCGCCGACGACGAAAAAGCCGCGCATCCATCAGGGGACCAGAGTCGCCTTGGAGTCGAATCCGCTGGGAAGGGGGGAAGTGTCCGCCAACACGTTCTCCATCCCGGTAGACATTCCACCATCCTCATCAGATAATAAGGAGGAAATTGCATTTCGTGAGCTGACGCTGTCGCTGTCTACCGTCGACGAGCGTCCGCCGCTTGTCAAAGGTATTACGGCTGCCAGGGAAGCATCCGTCTCGTTCGATCTGAGTACGACTGACGGAGAGATTACTTCTACGACGATTACATTCCCACTGAGGTACGACGTGCACTTTATTTCGTCGTACACCTGCCGTCCACCGCGCGGATACGTGGCGCGCAATGGGTCATCCGACCAGGAGCAGCATGACCATGACCATCACCATCACCATCCTCATCTCCCAGGCCATCCACTCCACAATTCATACACTTACAAATACGTCCCGTTGACATCTCTGCGTCCTGACATGCCAGCACCGTTGTCATCTACCTCCGAACACGAAAAAGAACACCATCACTCTGAAGATAATGACCCTGCACACGCTTACTCTCATCATCACAATCACAATGATAATAATGACAACACCCGCCCACAAGAACAAGAACCAGTCTGGATCCTCGACGCCCGCGGCAGTCGCGACAAGGAGGCCTTTGCGCGGGCCTGGTGCGCATCAGCCGGGACGAGTGCCATCATCGGCCGCGTGGGACGGACCTGTCTGGCATGCTGTATCAGGGAGGCGCGAGCGGTGGATGTGGGAGTCGTTATTCGCGTGGACTAGGTCTGTTTATTGTGGAGGCTATCTCTTCTCTGCTCAGCTCTTCTCAGCTCTTCTCTTCGCTTCTCGGCTCTTTTGTTTTATGCTTCACATATGGCGGTATAATATATAATACCTACCTACCTCGTTTGTCATGATAATTGTAATTTCTAATGATGGTAATGATAACGATAATGATAATGATAGACGAAAACAGCATAACATGGGTATAACGATGATGATGTTGATAATGGCACCAGTGTAATGTACATACTTACTATGCAAGACAAATAAGTTCCATTTGACGACCTGATGACCTCCTAGGAATTCAAAATCCGCCATAGCCATCAGCTCATGTTCTGTCTGTCTGTTTGTCTATATGTTTACCTTTTCTTTTCTTTTTCTTTCTTTTTATGTGTTGCTTTGCTCCCTCTGTAAGGGAGCAAGCAAGCAACCAGATAGTTTCATGTTATCATGTTATTATTACTCTGTACTTTCATTTTCATTGATTTGCTTTTCTTCTTCCCTTGCAATGAAGTAAAATAAAGTAAGTGATGCTACCTATCTACCTATCTATCTATTATCGGATACTCTGTACATCACGTCGAATTCCCAACTCAACTCTACTCTACTCATCCAAGACTCGAGTCTTGAGAAAGAGAAAGAGAATGAGAATGAGAACCCGATGATTTTGATAGATAGCAGGTAGGATTCGGATTTTATTTCAACAGCTGACAGCCAACGGACGAGGTTGATATACAAACAAATAACGTCTCGGCTTGGAGACAAAACAGTACAAAACAAATCAATCAGTAATTACTGACGTACTGACTGGACCAGTCTGTTAGTTTTAACACGCAACACGTCCCATACGGGAACACCGGGGGTTTTGAAAAAAACCGTCTATCAATGGTTATGCAGGTTTTTTTTTGAACCTATTTTTTTTTTCTGCCGTAAACGTAGAAAATGATTCTTAAACAGTTATGTAACAGTTAAGTATTAGAAAACGTTAGATTTCTTTTTTTTTTTCAAAAAAAATGTTAGTTATAGAAGACATCAGGCTTAGGATAAACATTAAATTTGCAAAAATAACACTTTTTTTTTAGAGTAAGAAATGGTTGATTATTTTTTTTACCTAAGGTTTTTTTCTACAATATATAGCCTTTATAGTATCTTTTTTACTACAACTTCAATATTTAGATAGTTTAGATAGTCTAGTACTTAGATTAGATAGTTCCTAGGTATAGAAACAATAAAACCCTCATTTTCTTCCTAAATAGTAGTTTTCGTAGGTAGTTTGATCTAAAGATGGTTTGAATCTAGCCTTAAGCGGGGGTTAAGAAAAAGAAGTTACCTAGTTAATTTTTTTGTAAATGTTAGAATTTCTATAAACGTTTATTTTATTTTATTTTTTTATAAATGGTTTAAGATAGGGAGGTTCCTTTTTGACGTTTAATTTTTTTTAAAAAAAAAACCAAAAACGGTTAATAAACTGTTGATGAACTAGTTGTTGATCAACGGTTTATGAAAACCCCGGTGGTCCCGTATGGCCCTCTGTCAGATAGGTCGTCTCATCTCTCACTCTGCCCAATTTCCTTTCCGTTTACGTAGAGTAAGCTAGCTACTACTAATATTATATATACGCTATACCCAATCCAATCCAATTCATTCAATTCAAAATGAAGAAAAAAAATACCATTATATCTATCCCTGGGCGAATCGAATCGAGTCGAGTCTATCCATAACACAACACAACACAACATAACGTTAATGAGGAAAAACGTAAATCAGTCAGTTAGGTATATCTGATAAACAAAAGAATGGAGGAAGGAAAGGTAGCAAGGGGAGCCAGGGTTTTCTTTTTCGGCGGTCGGTAGTGATTTGATGTGATTGATGTGATGATGTTTGCAGGGTATCTTATCTTATCTTTCTTCGATAGATAGATAGGATGGATGAATGAATGAATTGCCTTCGACTGGGAAAATCTCTTTTTTGTTTGGTTTTGATTTTGTTTCTTTTGCTGCTGATGATGAGAACCTAGGCTGGGCTGGGATGGGCATGGATGAGATGAGATGAGATAGGATGCGTGGAAGCAAACAGACAAACCATGACATGACCATGGCCACGCTTTCTTTTTCCGAAATTATTGATTGATTCATTCATTAAATTCGAATTCGAATGCCGTCTCCAGCCTAGTAGGCCATACATTAAAAAAGAAAAAAAAGAAATGACCCATGTAGAAATAGAATAGAATCACTGGGTCAAAGAAAATCGAGTTTTTTTTTGTCTTTTTTTTTATTTTTGTAGGATCCAAACCGAAACCGAAAGTGGTCTCCTTTTTGTTTTTTGTCTTCCTGTCTTTCTGTCTTTCCTGGCTCATGCACATCCATCCATCCATCCATCCGTATTCGAGACCCGATCAATCGATCCATCCATCCATCAATCCATCCATCGCTTTCTGACTGTGTCAGGGAAAACCATTTCAACCGAAAAGGGGGGGAGGAGGGAAAAGAAAGAAATAAAGCCATGACACCGAGATCGAACTCGAACTCGCCCCGGTGGTGATGGTGGTGGTAGTGGTGGAAGTTTTAGTTAACACAGAGTCATGAGAAAAGAAGAAGCAAAGAAAAGAAAAGAAAATCCGTAAGACCGTCAGCAGTAGGAGAGGAATAGAAGAAGAAGTCTAGGAGATGTTTTTTACCGGCCGGAAAGAACCCGGAATTCGAATCGAGACCATGAAAAAAAAAGAAATTTCTCTGGGGGAAGTCGATGATTGCAATTCGAGCAAACAAAGGAAAAAGAAACGCAATCCAGAAGGGGAATCCGAAAGTAGCAAGCAAAGAAAAAAGGAAAAGAAAAAAGACGAATGCCGCCCATAACAATCCTTTTGCGCCCGCTAAAGACTAGACCCGGAAAAAAAATAGAGAGGGAAAAAAAAAAGAAAAAAAAAGGCAAACGCAACGTCATTAGGGTAGCCGAAAGTAGAAAAAAAACGAACATAATCAGTCGACTGGAGAGGAGAGAAACAACCGCTCTACTGGCCTGACGACGGCTGCTGCCCTCCAGAATGGCCCATAGGTTGCTGTTGTTGTTGCCCAGGGAAATTGCTGGGAACCTGCTCAGGAGTAGGAAACATCGGATAGCCTCCCTGTTCCATACCCGGTCCGGGTCCGGCTGAGGTCGGGCTCATCGTGGTCCATGACTGGAACCCCATGGCAGGGGCTGTTGCCTGGCTGGCGAAGTTAACCGGCATCTGAGCACCCTGCATATTCGGCATCGTGGCGCCAGGACTCTGGATAGGCGAGAGAGTCGCGAGCTGGCCCATGTTCTGCTGGCCGGGACTGGTCATCCGCCGCTTCATGTCTGGGGGCATTTGCTGCGCGTACTGGCCGGGATATTGCGACACCAGCTGGGGCGGCTGCTGTACCGGCGGCCACAGCGAGCCATCGGGTTGAAGGGCATACGGCGTGCTGGGACTCATCATCTGCGGATGCCCGGAAACTCCAGGCACGCCAGCAACGCCAGGCATGGGCGATGTCGAGGGAACGGGGGCGACGGGGGTGCCTGGCTGCCTCCACATCACGGGCGACGGGTTTCCCATTCGAGGCTTCGTCGCTGCGCCTGTGCCTGCGCCTGCTGCCATCATCTGCTGTCCATCGAACATGCCCGATCCATCCCACGACACCGACGGATCCAGCGATTGCGTCGTCACGAACTCGGGGTGGACGGCGGGATCTGAAGGGGTAAGCATTCTCGAATCAGCGCTCCTCTTTCTTTCTTGCTTGCTTTCTTTCTTCACCCTCGTCTGGAAGGGACCAACCTGGGCTGAACGGCGACATCGTCCCTCCCGCGAAGGCAGCAGGATTGAATGCAGACATATCCGCTGCCGAACTCAGAGGAATCGGCTGATACGAATACATCGTCTCTCCCGGGTCAATCGCCCCTCCTCCGGCACCCAGGGCGGGCGGTGATGACGAAGCCGTGGACGGATCGGTCGAAGGCGTGTCCAGCTTCGACCCGGGCCGTGATCGCTTCTCCACCGGAGGTTGCTGGTCAACGGGGAAGAAATGGCATTCTTTTCTCAGTCGAATGCAGTTCTCGCACCGGCCTTGCGCATCGTCTGCGGCGACGAGGCATCGTATCTTTCTTCTGCGGCAATGCACTGTGGGATGTGAGCCGATGCTTTCGCGCATCCACGAAAGACATGCAATCAGAGATAACAGCAAAACTAACCGCATGCGACCGAAGTACGGTGGTATCCAAGTTTATTGCGTTTCTTGTCCGCGCTCGATGCTGTGCTGGAGCTCTCCATGACCAAGCCTGTTGGATTCGGTATCGGGCACGCTGTCTCGACGGCGACTGCAGGCATAGCTCCAATGAGCAGGAATATGTAACGGGAGGAGGTAGGAAAGACGCATCAATGAATCCTGTTTAGGATGCGTGCTGTTTGTTTTTTTTTTCTTCTTCCTTCCAGCGGTGAATGAATTGGTGACGATGCAGTCACACAGAGTGACTATTCACCGCGCGACAACGAGAGGACACAGCAACGAAAAGATAACGACAAAACCAATGCCATCACATTCAAGCCCCAACTGACTAAGAAAAAAAACTCCACACTAAGACCGCCACACAAGTGACAGTCGTATTGCCCCGATGGCAACAACTGACAACAACCCCACGGGTCGCACCGAGAGTTAGCGACCTCTGATCCTTGGTTCAGAGGAAGGAACAAAGGATCGGAATGAACAAACAGGATGGAGAAAGGGGGAAACAACAACAACAAAAAAGAAAAAAAAAGAGGACCAAGAAATTAAAAGAGTTGTCCAGAAGCGGGGTGAGAATTTTTTTTCTCGGGCTGACGAAGGTCAAAGTAATAATAAGAACAACCCGGTCGAGAAAGTCATCAAGTGAGCCAAGCTAATCGTGGGGTGAAACGCCTAGGCTTTTTTTACACCTCTGTGTGCGCCAGATGAGAACTACTCCAGCGATCTCTCTTACTCCTTACTGACCTAGGGAAGAATAGTATGATCTTGGAATGCTCTCTCTTCTGCTTCGAGTCTAGTCGCAGGCCGCAAGAAGCTTGCATCGTCAAGATGGGCTTGTAACAAATCAACTTAATGTCGATAGACTTCAGGGGCTGGGGAACCAATCATGATGATCGTGTTCATTACGGTTCTGTGGGACCCAAGGCGATATCGTACAAGACTGTCGCGATTGATTATTGATGGAGATGGCAGATTATCTCAGGAGAAGGGCCGGTGTGTACGGTACCGTAACTACAGGCGAGTTACTACTGGGCCCTGGCTCGTGGTCGTCGACAAGAACATGGCATCTGCAGAGAGCAAAAAAGACGAAGCCACCCACGTATGGTGCCCTGACCTCGCGCATAGCGACTGGATATTGGTGATTTTTTTTTTTGGAGAGTGGCATCGGATCGCGGCGAATTAGCTCAGCGGGACCGTCAGTTGCTGATGATGGTGGGGATCGTTCTCCATTTCTTTCTCTAAGGCCTCCCCCAAGCGGGTTAGGGCGGCGATGAGACCTGTCAATCCCTACTGTATCCATATCATTCTTTCCTGACGTGATTTGTTCGATGAAGGCTAAGTACCCAAGGTTCCGAATCCCAGCTACGGGGCGCATTTCTCTTGTTGACTGACTGCTACGAGAGCGTATCCAGCGTCTCCGGATTCCTAGAATAGCAGCTTACTCTCTGTGAGTTTTTTTTTCTGGGTTCCTTGGATGTCGTAGGACCCTTGATTATGACGGACCCTGGGCAGCTCAAGCCATCAATCAGCGCGATCTGGAAGTGGGCTGCGCGAACAGACGGCTGTTACGTCTGTGCTGAGCTGCCATCATGCATGGTTGGGGTGAGAAAATTGTTTCATGCCTTCAAACGTCTAGCCGTGAGTTGCGATGTGAGGAATTACATGGGGACGACTTTCTTGCAGATAAGGCGGGCGGAAGGACAGGGGACTCGGAGGGAGTGTTGCACATCAACGTGAGGCACGAGGTTCCACGTTCCTTGCGCGTGTCGTTCACATGGCGACCCAGGCAGGGCATGGATGATGGACGGCGAAGACCGAAATTTCCCGGTGTGACAGAGCGGCTATTCCCAAGACGAAGAGATTTCCCGGAAGCTCCATCTTCGGGGGCAGGCAGTGCTGATTACCGAATCCGACAGGCGTGCAGAGATTGGGTTTGGACGACAAGCATGACCTGCAGACAAAGAGCTGGGGGAAAAGATCGACAGCGACGCTGGCATGCCAAAAAGACACCTGCTAAAACGAGCATATGACGGTGGGGTCGACGAAAGAAGGTTTAATTAAGGATCATATCTCCGCAGTAGCGTCTGTCTGGGAGAGCGTGCGTCTGATGCTGCGGGTTGGGCTGTCGGAGGCGACTGACGTCCGTGCGAGTGGATGATTGATGGAAATGAGGGGATGGCGACAGGGATGGCCAGCAGATCTCAGGCTTCGGCGCTGGGGCGAGCGATCAAGGGATTCCAGTATCGTCCTGGAATCCTGCCGGTTTGGGCTTAGCGCGACCCGGCGAACGTGTCAGCAGCGTGGCTTGGACGGCCGTTGCTCGCGGCCCAATCAGCGCGCCCGCCGTCTTCCACAGCCATGGCTCGCGTCGCTCCACGGCGTTTCGACGATGCTTCGACGCCCGCCCTGCCTCGCCTCCCCACCGGCGCCCCACGGACGCTGCAACGCCGATTCCAGGGCTGACTCGCCCTGCGACGGCACTGGACGGCGCCTGGGTGCACGGCAGACGCTGTGCGCGGTGCACAGTGCTCTGTGCTCCGTCATCCCAGGCAGCGCGCCAAGAGCCGGGGGTGGGCGCTGATTGAGGATGGCTTGGAGCTGGGGAGATGGTGAAACAGCTTTCCAGCTCCCTTCGCGCTAGCAATCCGGACCGGCATCGGCGCCGGCCTGCTTATGTGATCACGACTTCCCCCGCCGCCAATCAGGGGCCGCCTCTCTCTCCGGGCTCGTGCCAAGCCCCCAAAGCTGTCTATCAGTCGGATGTCCTCCGTCCAGAGTACAGATCCAGCACGCACTGTCCAGTGTCCTACCACCGAATCCTCCGTCCGGATTCTGTACGGAGGTAGAGCGCTGTTCTGATGTGATCCATCCTAGCCTTCTTTGACGTCATCCTGCGCTTCGCATCGAGCGCCTGCGATGGCGAGCTGGAGTGCTGTGTCGCTCGCTTGCGTCTGCCACTGGCATCCACTCAATTTCCCCCTAACTGCAGGGCCCCGCTTGTTCCTGCGCCACTCCTGGTATCAGAGAAATTAATCGCGTTGTGCGAGCTCCACATCGAAGCTGCAGCCGCCTTCGCTTGAGCCTCTGGTAGGAGCATCCGCTCGAAGGATTCCAGAACGCATCTTAAAGTGCGTATCATTCGTCCGTTACTTTATCCGTTGCACCTAGAAGCCAGGCCCTGGAGCACACACGTCGGTACAGAGCTGCGGAGTACTCCGTACAGCCCTTCACACACACCGCTGGATGCACCGCCAGCAGACCGTACTGTAGTTCCATGCAAGGCTAACGTCGCTCCATTTTGCCAATCGAATGCCGGCCTCGACGTCGATACAGCTTCCTTTTCGAGCAAGTCTGATTGCTGATAGATACGGAGGATTATTATTGTGAAACGTTGAATCATGAGCCACTACTCTGCTCATACAGAAGAAACGATTGCTACGGAGATACGGACAACGATGAGATTCGCGTCATCGTTTCCCTTTCAAGACTCGTACATGGATGGTTCGGTGGTTGTGCTTGGCATGAACTATGATGGCTACTGGGCCAATCATCGCCAATGCGATTTTTGAAACGCGCAGGCTTGAATTGGATAAGAATTTCTTCTTCGCTCGGGTTTTTTTATCTCCCCCATCCGAGCCTATTAATTCCATGGGACGGTGCTTGGACCGCTTTGAGACGTAACCTTGATTTTTCCAGTAGGCTTGGATGCGGGCTAAGCCTGTCTGCTATCTGTCTGCTGTCTGTCTGCCTGGCTGGCTTTGTTTAACGTGACTAACTTGCTAGTGAGGTGCTTGTTTTCATAGGAGATCTGGATGTAAGTTTTTGCGTGGTCAGACCACAGTACTCCGCACTCCGTACGGAGTAATAAGATAGCAGAGTGAGTTAGCTAGGGATGGATGTCACGCAATAATCAAGATCTTATCTCATTGAGTTTTTTTTTTTTGCTCTTGTGAATTTTAATCTCAGCTGATTTCTGCATTCAGAGGACGGTGTACAGAGTACAGTCAATCAAATCAAATACTAATCTAATCAGTAGTAGTATGTAACTATGTTAAGAACTTTCGCGCCCTCCTTCCCTTTTCTTTCTTTCTTCCTCACTTGCTTTTGATTATTTAACATACTTTAATATACTTTTTATTCTATTTTTCCCCCATCCCATAGATCCCTTCACCCTTCCTCCTTCCCCACCATTCACCAAGTAGATGTACTGTACAGTACTAATCTTGGTCCATATAAACTACGGAGTAAAAAATATGGAGTACTCCATACTCCATAGTACTCCGTATGTTTGTTTAGATTAAACTTCTTGACGATGGGGGAGGCCTCCGGAGGGGAGGGAAGAATGGGGATGTCGTAATAATTAACTAACAAGTTCTTTTTTTTTCCAGCAAAACTGGAATTGGAAATTTATCCCAGGGGGTGGCTTGGCTTGGTTTGGCTTGGTTGGGTCAGGGTGGGTGGGTTGTTAACTTGTTAGTGTGTAGCCTTATGTAGACCCACTTGGGGAATTTTGTTCATGGATGAGTTCATTATTACTCCGTATTCAGTCAGGTACGGATACCAGGTACAGTACAGAGTACGGATATGGAATACCTTCAGGTTAGGTATACCTACCTAGCTACAGTGTAGTGTAGTATCCGAGTCTTAGCAAGTTCAGGGTTCATGGTATTAGTCTTTTCTTTTCTTTTCTTTCTTCTAGAATTGTTTAGTCCTGTTAGTTAGGTACTGTACTGTACAACAGACTCATTTCTATCACTTGTTGGTTATCAACTACAAACTAGCAGGAACAGAGTCTTCGATTTAAGTATTCCAAATCATATCTTCGCCAGCCAATTAATTATTTTATTTTGCTTAACTTGACTCTAACTGTTTGATTCCGACTGGCTGGCCAACTAAGAAACTGGGCGCGTTACACATCTCTCTTTTTTGCCCCTGTAATCAGAAAGTTTTAGTTTAGGATGGTAGCATCCCATCAATCCACCTACCGAGCAAAAATTTACGAGCACCCGGTCGACTGCCCTTCCTGTTCTAGTTGGTGAGCAACGCCGCCCTGAGCTCGCGCGATTGAGGGTGAGCAGGGAGGTCGCGCGAGGGTCGCGCGACTTACCCTTAGTCATTCAGCTAAGATAGACTAGTCTCACATTCTTTATAGCGTAATTCCCGCCCTAACGGCGCATTTCCTAAAGCCGCTCAAATTTAAAGTATTTCAAACCGCCAAAAACAGCGAATTTTTATATAAATTTATTATCTAGAGCGCTATGGGCATTAATTCCTTTTATGCCTCACTATGTTATACTTATTATACCTTAGTAGAGCACGCATAGGCACTTATAAGACTATCTCTATGGCTATAGTGGCTTTAACTTAAATCCTATCCTTACTGGCCTAAGCAAGCTATTAACCTTTTTATATGGTTAATAAACCTTTATAAAATAGCTATTCTTTAGATCTCCCTTACCTTTTTTTTATTTTCTTATTTGTAGCTTATAAATTGTGGTTTTCCTTTACTAAGAGAGCTACATTATGTATTGCCATTTGGTAACCCTTTATAAGCTAATTAAGGGCTGTATTTGCAGGGCTTAGAGGGCTCTATATATGCTATTTTAAAAAGGCCCTAATCATTGCAGACTGTAGTTACAATTCAATAATATTATGAGGTGTCTATATGATTAATGCCGAGCCGCATATTATTCTCAACTAAGTGCCCATATAAATGCTTGAGGACTATAAAATAGCCAATATTAAGAGGCTGAAGAAATATGATAAATGTGTAAGCATATATACCAGGATAATATTATTTTGAGTATAGTAATGGCATGAAAATGCTTATAAAGATGAAAGATGATCCATTGAAGTGTAACGGTTTGCACCATCCTTCCGTCACTGCCATACGATCACATATCGCCTCGATGGCTCATCGATGGAGGGGCGCTGAGGTGTAAGGTGCTCAGAACGCTCAGAAGAGGGGTAGAGCGGGGTAAACAAAGAACCTGACGCCTAGTAACTATATAGAATCTCCCTCCTAGGCAACTGTTATGGACCAACAAAATGAGGCGCTGTCCAACACAGCGATGCAGGATGAAACAATACCCTGCAAGGCAGAGACAAGGATTCGAGGAATCATGTGACAATATACCATAAGGACTACAAGAAATGGTATACAACATACCATAAGAGATACTAAGGAAGGTATACAGAATAGTACCATTAGGGAGGAACATAAAAGGACATTTATTCCTATTCATATATCTAGTCTTTCTAGATTGCACTCAATTCCTTCAATCCATTCAATCTATATTACTAAGATACTTACTTTGGGGGTCAGTAAGACATCTTACTACTAGTAGTATACCTTGGTATAGCTGAGTAGGTGTTGCCTCTAACCTAGTTGCATGTTGATCTTGTTTATCTTGCTAAGTCTCGCTAAGGAGCAGGTCCAGTGGTGTCTCTGCAGAGCAGGCCTTTCTGGCGCCCATCTGCATATTGGGGAGTAGGTGAGTCTTTCCGCGAGATCTTGGAGATACCGCGCTGTTACCGCTTTAATGATTTTCCCTATCGTGCTAAACAGCGTGACCGCCCGCCAGACCCGCGGGGAGTAATCTGGCTTTCCAGGATTGCGCAGGACGACTGTTCTGGCCTGTTGGAAGATTCGAGTGATACTGCCAATCCCAGCCGACTAGAAAGAAGAGCTCTACCCGCTGACCGCTGGGATGGGAGATTCCTGATGGGATTTGGGATGGGATCCCATCCCATCAAAATTGGGACAAAGTATTTGTAAAGAATAGGAGATGGGAATTTCCCTTTTAGGAGTAGATGGGAATAAGAATTTCCTATCTCATTTTAGAAATTTAGGGATGGAAATAAGAATTTTTTATCTTATAATATAAGATTATTCTTATTCCCATTTTCTTTTTTTTTTAAAAAAAATTCCTATTATTAATTATATGGTTTCCTTTCCATATGGAGTCCCTTTCCATGTGGAATCCTCTTCCATACGGAATCCCTTTCCATGTCGATTTCCTTTCTGTGTGGAAGGTAATTCCACGTGGATTTCATTTCCATGCGGAACCCCTTTCCATATGGAATCTCTTTTCAGACCAACTAATCTGTTTAGACCGCCCGATCTTTTTAGACTCTCCGGTCTTTTACACGGACCTCCTAGCCTTTCTTTGTACGGACGAATTCTCTTTACTTGTGAAGTGAAACTTTGCTTCTAATATGTCTTAGATATAGCTACCAGGATTCTCTATGGCTATGGATGGAAGTCCCTTGGATCGTGTGGCTTCAGATTGACGCTTTCTCACAGCCGTCAGCTTTCCAGCCATCCTTATTGATATATTCTCTCTCTTTACCCACGATGGGAAGAAGAGGCAGTCTTCACTGGCGATGATGCCGTATTTAACACCCTCTAATCTATTTTCAAAATCGGCTCGCGCCGCTTACCTGCACCTACAAAACAGGGTGAGCAACTCAGCTACCGTCCTCAGCTTGTCATCGAGTCAGGCTGGGTGGCTCTTATAGCCGCATAAAATGGCAAATTCGATTTGCGGGATAAGAGGGAAGGGTTCGTAGAAATATAAATGAGTTTGGGTGAGCGAATCACCTTAGCTGGATGATCTGACCACCTTACTCACCCAGCTCACCCGTTAAAGCGGCAGTGTCCAAGTGAGGAAGGAGATGTCCAAGTGAGGAAGGAGAGAGCTGCTCGCAGATTTTTGAACGATATTTTGACCTATCTATCTATCTATCAACATGTACCGTACTGTATACTCCGTAGTAAATAAAAACACAAAGAGCCAAAAATAGAATCTTCGAATCCTTGTAAATCCTACTTATTCTTGGCATGAAGGAATCGAACGAACGAAGGAAGGAAGCAGGAACAAAGGAGGGAAAGGAAGGGGACGTTATGTTGTTACAAAATGATAAATTTAGATACGTACTGTACGTATACCCAGGTACATGGTACATGGTACCGTGGTACCGTAGTAAGTACCCCTCTCGATCGAGTGTTCTCCCCTACTGGTTACCATGGACTGAGAAATTAAAATATATAAAAATAAAATAAATTAAATAAATAGTAACAGGACTAGTTGTAATACATGTCATTTTTTTTAAAAAAAAAAAAGAAAAAAATAGTGTTTTCGTTAGTTGTCTACTTACCTGACTCATTACGTACATACTGCCTTGCAGCGCCCCCGTCTGCAATTTTACAGTCCAACTATTTATTATTTAGACAGAGTTATTTCATAGTAATTCAATGAAACAAAATGAAATGAAATACAATGAAATGAACCGTATGATGTCCTACAGTGCAAAACACTCACTGTCTACACAGTCCACGCTGACATCTTGTATAGTAACAATAGTATGTCTAGGGAGATAATAGATGACAACTGCAGTTAACCACATTAATTAAAGTATCTCAATCGCTGTGTAATTTCACTACATTATTTATTTCTAAATCAGTACCCACGAGCCCTCAGCCTATGTTATAAATACAGATACAGATAGATGAATGCTAAAGCATATCGAGCTTGCTTAGCTGCGAATTAATTAATAAGACCAGGAAGAAGGCAATCAAATCAAACGGAGTTTTGACTCGCACCTCCATTATACAAGGATCGGGGTTATATCGAGCCCTGGCCCATTGTATGTATGTACAGTACATACGTAAATTCTATACCGAATAGAATAGAATAGCATAGTATAAAGAGAAGATTCGACTTAACTCTCGTTGATAATAATCAACTCGTTAAAACAGAAATCGTTAACACGATGATAATAAAGACGGAATTTACGTTGACTAAGAACTGGAATTCTTACATATTTGACAAGACTGGAAATAATAATAGTAAAAAAGACAATTGCTAGATGATAGAGGTGAATATTAGAATCACGAAGAAGAAGAGAGAGAAAGAACATAGCAGACAGGTAATTCTCACACAGTACACAGACAAATAGATAAGTTCAATTTCATCAATTAAGTAATAGTTAATTAGCCTGGATAAACACAAATCTGTTCGTCACCTAATTACCTAGGTAGTAAGTACTGCATAGTGAGTAAGCACTGTTGTCAACATTTTCATCGTTGTGTTATTATTTATTATCATCATCGTCTATGTCGATGAAGACGGTAAAGACGGTTGGTGATTTTGACTGTTTGACTAACAGAACTCGTAATAGTATGAAAGACGATGAAATACTCAAAAAAGACGAGGGAATAGGCTGATTATAAGTCCAATTAATCCTTTGTCTTGGATACCTGTTTACTTTATACAACCCTAGAACTTCAGGCGTTGATAGGACTCAATATAAGATCCAGAATAAACAGAATAGACCCATTCAAGTTCAAGCCTCTTCTGATGATCTGTTGTAGTTAAACAGTATAAGAGTATTGACTATACTTTAATCCTATCTGTGCTATGCCGAGATCCTTTAATTCTGAATTTAGCAATATGCGTATTATATCTAGAGAAATGTAATGTCTAGACTAGTTCTCGGTCTAGCTCCTTTGATATACATGTAAATGCCTGTTTCTGCCTATATACTACCAAATATAATACTGTGCCTAAATAGCAACTATGAGATCTTATAGCTATACTCTCAAAACAGGGCGAGAAAAAAAAAACTCCGTCGTGAATAGAACTACTCGTTTACTAAAGTGCTCGACAAGCACTAGAGGAAATACTTGGCTTTGTCCCAGCTTAATTATGGCTTCGTATAGGCCAAAAAAAAAGTCCGGAATATACCTCCTAACCTTGGCTGTATGAGGAACAGAGAGCTATGTAGGTCTTTCAACAGGGAATCTCAGTGGAATCCCACGATTACATGTCAGACAGCCTCTATCACCGGCAAAGCGAAGAGAAGAGAGTTGTTATTGTCAGTAAAAAAAATTATCCCGAGCTAAGCACTATTACCATCTAGATCACTTGTCCAGCATGGCCATATCCTGCAATAGCTGCACAACCTCTAGACCCCCTAACCTAATATCTATCGGCGCAAATGATAACCTGATCGAACAGTGATGACGTGAGAGGACAGGAAGATGAGAAAATAGACTGATTTTTTTTCCAAAAAACTCCTAGGAATGGTCATCTTCTATCTCCTTCTTTTGTCTTAGATACCGACTGATTCACCGGTCACATAACTACTACTCCTAGGCGCTGACAATATCAATAACCAGACGAGTCTAGTAAGTATTAAGCTTTATCTTAGATTATATAGAACATATTGAAGATTCCACTCGTTGTTTGACAGCTACTTGAGGCATGATTGATGTTGTTATTATATTAGTCTGATCAAGAGGTGTCGAAGGAAAGTAAGTGCCTACCTAGGTAGGTAAGTAGGTAATAAAAGGATTTACCTACTCGAAGGTAATAGATATACATATCGAAGAGTCTAATGTTATTTCTCCATCTAAGGATTATATTTTCAATTCCTACGATATCTAAACTATAAAAGATTATATACTTCAAGGCATGAAAGCTATTTTAGAAAGAAAAAAATTATTTAAATAAAACACAATTGTGAAAATCTGGACCATTTTTCCTAAAAAATCGAAAAAAAAACAGATATAATCAAGTTTAACATTTCCTTTTTTTTTTCTGTAGAAGATACCTCTCCACAAGCTAATATATTATAAATTGCAAGGTGTTATTATTTTTTTTTAGAATAGTACACAGGAATAACAATTTTCACACACGGCGAAAAAAAAAGAGGAATTCATCTGGTCAGAATCAATCAAGAAAAAAAAAACTACATAAGAAGTAATAAATAGTAGCACGGCCACACTTTCCACTTTCTAACCCCCTTCCTCCCTTCCCCGCAGCAAGCAAGAATGAGATATATATCATTATTAGACAAGAGAGGAAACTAACTATTATATTACCTAGGTACCTACCTAGTCCAGGAATGGATGTCATGGACCAGAGCCCGTACGTATGTACAGAGTACATTACATTAGATTATGAATTATATGTATAGTTCTCGACATTAGCAGGTAAACGATTTAACTATTAGGAAGACCTCTGTAATTGTGGCGTATCCTTCAGATCTATTTAGTGGCCGTTGATATAATCCAGAACCATCAAAGATTGTATTCGAGAATAATGTTATTATCGCAACTTTAGCATCAAAATGTATTATTATAGTCTGACTCGATTATGTCTGCAGCAGAACTGACCCTGACCTAGCTCGTGAATTAGCATCTAGTAATAAGAGGGGGTAAAAATCCTACAAGCTCCGCGTATCGAAAGAATCATACTAAATTGGGTATACTACATACACGAAGAACCGCATAAAGTAAAGAATTTTTAAGTAAAGTGGTCATATCGACAAGAACGAAGACGAAGACAGAAATGCATCACGCCAGTAAAAGTCCATCAACCTGACCTGCTACTAGCAGCCTCCGAACTGTCATGCACCACACAGAGCAGATACTTCCGGTCCGGCACGACGACAATCTCATGCTTTTTCGTCCGCAGCCGGAGCAGCTTGACTTCATCGTCCTCTTCTCTCTCGTGGTGCTCGGCTTCGGCGTCGTCGCTATTCTTGTTGCTGCTGCTGCTGCTGCCAATCCCGTCCTCGACGCCGTTGCTGATGCCGTATCCGTTTTCGGCCGCGTTGCCGTTGGCCGACGGCGGATGGGACAGCGAGTGACTCAGGGCGGCTGCGCTGGTCACAAAGGCGTGGATGTGCGCCGCCAGGGCTTCTCCCTGGCTGGGCCTGTACGGCTGTTGCTGGGTGGTAGATGACGAAGAAGAGTTCGTGCGCTCATGCGAGGTAGTGCCCGAATCGGATGTGGTCGTGGAGGAGGACGGCTCTACGCCATTTCCGCGTGGATTATTGCTGCTGCTGCTGCTGCTGTTCGACGCCAGCAGCCCGGTGCTCTGGATGATGGAGCCATCTTTGCGAGAGAGGATCAGGGTCGACTGCACGCCTGGGCGCGAGGTCAGGTGGGACAGCAAGGCCGAGACATGCTGCGGAATCTGCTGCGACGGAGGAAATCAGCAATTACAACACACGACATAGTTCTGCTGAACGAATCGCACAGACTCACCGCTGTCTGGGCCATCCTCCTGGCGGGCAGAGTTGAGGCTGGTCAGAGAAGGAGGGCCAACACGTCATGCAGCCAGCTCTCATCTCTCATGGCGCATCGCCGGTCGGGCAGCCAGGCGGAAGATCGACAAGCTGTCTTGTGACTGGCTGGGAGCGCGCGCTGGTCCCTGATGACTAAGCAGGGGCCCGTTCACATGCCGCCTAAATATATCGTCGATCGATCAACGTCGCCAACAAGGGGCCTTGGCCAGCGTAATGATTTAATAGTAATGAATTCTAAATTCAATAATAGGCGCCAGCTGTCCAATTGCAGGGTGTCCTTTTTCGAGTTGCTGGTCTTCTCCTTTTCTCGTCTTAAATTTATACCCTGTCGTACCGAGTATACCCAAGTGAACTTCAACTTCCTCCTCCATAGACCTCCCCCCGCCAATACGGACGATGATCGATATATTCGACCTCTTCCTCCGCTTCCGGGTCCCCAGCCGGCCCCAGAACAAGAGCAAGGCCGGCTGGTTCGGCCTCGTGCGCCGCGACGACAACAAACACACCACCGAGTCGGTGCCGCAGCGGGTTCTGCTGGCGCTGGAGGAGGTGCCCAAATGGTACGACGTCAACCCGTTCATCCTGGGCGGCTACCGGCACGAGACGAACTCGCTGCTGGGCTGTCTGCAGAGCTGGACGTACCTGCACAACGAGTCGGGCAACATCTACTCGCACCTGATCCCGGCGATCGCGGCGGTTTTCGGCCATCGGTTCCTGTACCAGTACCTGCGCAATGAGTACGCGAATCTGCACGAGAAAGACTGGCGCGTGATCTCGCTGCAGCTGTGGACGGTCCTCGTCTGCCTGTCGACGTCAACGTTGTACCACACCATGACGAACCATTCGCCGCGCGTGGCCCATAAGTGTCTGCTGTACGACTACATGGGGATCATCACGGTGATGCTGGGAAATTTCATCAGCGGGATCTACTTTGGCTTCTACTGCGAGCCGCGCCTGCGACTAACGTATTGGACACTGGTAAGCAGTCGATCGTCTATCATCCAAACCAAGCTAGCTAATCACTGTAGATCTCCGTCCTGGGCCTCGTGACCGGCGTCATCCTGCTGACGCCCAAGTTCCATGGCCCGCAATGGCGCAGGTTCCGGCTGAACTGCTTCATCCTGACGGGGTTCTCTGCCTTTGCGCCGATCGGCCACGGCACGCTGCGGTGGGGGATGGAGTTTGTGCGGAAAACGGGGGTGCCGTATTATTTTGCAGAGGGTGCGTTAGTCTTGATTGGATGTTATTTCTACGAGGTAAGATTCCTTCTTCGTCTTCTGTCGGTGTATGTCCATGCTGACGGCTTCAAGCGACGCGTCCCCGAGCGACACTTCCCCGGGAAATTCGACATCTGGTGGCATTCGCACACGATCTGGCATCTGTTTGTCGTTATGGCGATTGGAATGCACATCTTAGGGCTGCTGAGCGCGCTGGACTATGATTACTATAATCGATCAGCCTGTCGGGCGTGATCTATATCCATTCATGAGCATCGTGCTCTGCTATTTATAAACTAGACTAGACTATATAATACCGGGTTAAAGGCAGGCAGGAAAAGGAGGGCAAGGCGAAACAAAGGGAATAGACTTAGACGGTTCGGTTGGTCCGTTGGTTTGGCTCATTGATTTGATTTTATTTATTTATGCATTGTATTACTCAGTCATCATTGTATTATTATCATCTTTCCAAGGCCCTTCCTCTTCTCTTCTTCGTTTGTCCCATATTTCCCATTTGTCATTGCCATTATCATTATCATTGTTTCAATCAAACAACAATACTTCATTCCTCCCCTCCTCCTCCTCGAAATCGTCAGTTATCGAACGTGTTTTCTCACCGCTCTCTGTCTTTCTTCCTCTCCTGTAGAAAGCAAGCAAGCAAGCAAGCAAGAATCAGTATCAAAATCAATACCAATATAATCAATCAATCAATCAAATTGACAAGTAAGGAAGTCGAATTCAAACTCTGCGAAATAAAGAAGAAAAATTGAAAAGATTGGAACTGCTTGTTATAAAATAGGGAAAAAAAAGATAGAGAGAAGACATGATCATGTTCTTTTTTATTTTGTTTTTGTTGAACTTCTTACCTAAAGATCATCACCAAATGGGGGACAAAAAGAGGAAAAAAATCCAGTCAGTAAAAAAAAAAAGGGAAAACAAAAACAAACAGCAAGAAAAAAAAACTCCACTAGAAGAAAAAAAAAACACAAAGATCCAGGGTGAGATAGGATAAGTAGGTAGATTATAATAATTATACAGTAGTAATACTCACTCACCAATCTCCCCACCCAAAGCCTTCGAAACCGTCTCTTGAGCAGACTGCCAAAGACTCTTATTTTCACCAGCACCACCGTCAGCAGCGGCAGCGGGTTGATTACCCTCCGCTGCCGTCGTCGTCGTCGGCGTCGTAGCCCTCTGCGGGAATCTCGATTCGGGAGATTGTAGAGGCTGGGCGGTGGATTTGCTGTCTCCTGCAGAAATCATTCATTCATTCATCGCCATGTATAGAGAGGGTTATGGGGTACGTACCAGGCTGCAGCGCAGAAGATACCCTGTTGGCCACGTCGTTGACTGTGTCTTTGGCTTGGTCGTAGTAGGACTGGTTCGGTTCAGTAAGTCACCCTGACAGGGAAAACGAGTAAGTAGGTAGGTAGTTTACCTTGTCGGCCATGGTGAATCAAGCCTGTTCTTCGTCTCGACTTGACTCCAGACGCCAGGTAAGCTCGTTTCGGTGCAACTAATTGAATGAACCAGGTATGTATGCAATTTACCTAAGTAGGTAGGGTGACTAGCTTATCTTAGCTATGTACGAACTTTTGGCGTGAGATGATCCGAGTTTGGATGGAAGCCGGCCGCTAGATCTTTATATATATATTATCTGTCGTCTCACAAAAAATCAAGAATATGTAATACAAGATGCGATTGTGAGGGGTAGGTAAATGACAGGGGTACATGCTGTGTGTCCGATTGAATGGCGTTCAAATGCGAATGATGTCATCATCACCATATCCAGGTGTAACACAACCACGGCAGCAGCATCGGTCATGTGATATGGATATTATCATTCGTACTACTTCAACCGTCATCTTACAAGACCGACCATCGTCTAAATAGATTATGTTCCACTCGCCTCCGTTGGTGCAACCTAACTACCATCGATTAAACCTGACTTGACAGATGGCCGCCAGTCTAACCAGCCATCCCAGTCAATCATACACAGACAGACGAGTGGACAAGACATTACCAAAACCACAAAACAAAAAGCAAACAGTGCGCACTTCTGCCCGGCGCCCAGCCCACAAACATCAAAAAAAAACCCCACATTAACTCATATCATAGAACTCATAAAGGAAAGACAGAAAGAAAAACTGGGCTGGGCCACCGCGACAGACGCGATTGTATCAATCAATAAAGCAGCAAAAACCACAAAACCAGACACAAAAACACAACAAAAAAAAACCAGCAAACATATCTCTAAAATATTCGCCATCCGGTGTAGCGCAGACCGTGAGAGACTGACAGCAGAGAAAAGGTTCCAGACCCGAGACGAATGCCCATTAATGGAATAATCCAGTCTCCCATCGACCCAGATCGTATCGTATTATATCGTCAGAGAGTCAAACCCAAGCAGACGCAATGTCCGAGGTCCCAACATTAGTAGCCTGTTCTAACCCATAAGTGCCAGGCAATCTAGCGTGTGGAATCAACACGAGCATCACGTCATAAGTCATCCCCGTGCCCGTACCCAGCCCAGTTTGTCCCATCTATAAAGAAATCAAGAATGAGCATCAATCGCAGAGATGTAGCGACTGTTAGAGATGTAGAGTTGCAAGTTGTAGAGCTTCTAGCCAAGACAAGAGCCTACAGACTCATTGTCAACCACTCCCACTCCTGACTGCTGCCGCTCTGGCCCCCAGCGAGACTGTGATGCGCCGGGTTGGTCGCCGCAGGAGGCATCGCCGGAGCCAGCGGGACAACTTTCGACCTGCCCGAAGCTTTCCCACCAGCCTCCTCGGTCTCATTTTCCTGAAGCACGCTTGACAGCGATCCGATCGAGCCCTTGTCAAGTCGCTTCTGGCGCTTCGGAGCAACTTGCACCGACCCCCGTGCCTGGGTAGCCCCGGCTGAAGGCGTAGACTTGGGAGGAGCGGCGGCAATAGGCACCACACCGCTCTTGGTCCCGCCAGAAACACTGGTGGGCGTCGTGCCCGCAGTCGAGCCCGTTGAAGGCGGAGACTCGGAGGCATTGGCACTCTGCGATTTACTCGACGTCGGCGGCGTCGTCACCGGCGTCTGCTGCACAGAGTTCTTCCGGGTATTCTTCTTGGATCGGGAGTTTGCCCCCAGGGCCAGACTGTTTCCGCCGCCTCGATTCCGCTTCTTGATCACATCCGTTTTGAGGGAGAGCGGACGAACAACGCCGTGCAACTTCAGGAACAGACCGCAGGCATTGCATAGAGGCTGGCCCTCCGGGTTGCGTCGCCATAGTGGCGTGGTCTGCGTAAAGCAATTCGTACAAGTCGTCGGGCCGTTACCGCTCTGCTCATTATTCTTCTGGCCTCCGGGGCTTGCCGGCCGGGATGGAACAGCACTGTTGACCCCGGATTCGGGCGGCGTGTTTGGCGACGTATGTGACTGGTTGTTCATACTCTGGTGAGCGAGCTGGTTGGTATTGGGAGTCGACGCTGTACGCGCGATCTTGGGCCTCCTTGGATCCTGATCTCGGTTCCGCATCTCGCTGATGGACGCTGCAGACCCGTGGGCCCGACCGAGACTTTCGCCCTCGTTCCAATCCCGCGACTGATCCATCGGGTCACCAGAACCAATCGTGACGTGCTTTTGATGCCGCAGACTGGTGAAATTGGGCATCGAGTTGAAGTGGCCGGGGAAAGAGGCATCCCACTGCATCCCGGAGTTGATATCCATCGACCCATTATCCACCGAGTGGAAGTCGGTCTGTATGGTCATGCTCCTGTCTGGGAATGGGTTGCCGTCTTCCTCCTCGTTGTCGGAGTCAGCGCCAAAGGTAAACATGTTCTCGCTGCTCGTCAAGTTCAAGCTCTGGTGTGAAGGGGCTGCGGAGAAGTCACCCTGTCCGAGCACCCGGGACGGGTCCACGTGTTGCTGAGGCATCGAAAACCCGGGCGAGGGAATATTGGAGGACGGCCCGCTCATAGAATTGAATGCAGCACCTTCATTGTTGCTGTTGTTGTGGCTGTTGCTGCTGTTGTTATTGTTGTTGGCATTGAACATGTAACGAGGCTGCAACGATGCCGTCAGGTTCGATGATCGATGGGCAGCATAGGTCGGCACTCGACGATGAGATCGTGCATCGATCGACCCCTGCTCAAAGTACACGGGGTGGTCCCCGTCGAAGGGCTGCGGCGTGGAGGCGGTAGACTGGTAGCCGGAAGGCGGGGGCGAATAGAAATCGGTCGAGTTCAACGACGAGCCCATGGGCGTTTGGGCGTAGAGATGGCCAAACGGACCCGTCGTCACCACCGGAGACTCTGTCGGAGAGAAGGTGAAATTCTGCTGGAAAGGGCCGGCTGAAGTGAGGATCGGATCATCGTTGAGATGGAACGTCTCCAGACTGAAGGGCACGCTCGGGGAGGTGTGATTAGTGCTTGGGAACGCCGAGTGAGGCTGGTCCAGGTGGTAGTCCGTCATGCCGGCATCCAGGTCCGGATCATTGGGGATGATCAGGTTCCCACCCACTGGATGTACTTGAGGCGAGAAATCGGCCGGTCGCTTGCGAGTCTTTACAGTGCACAGTCAGAATTACATTTAACAAAAATCGCGACGGGGAGAGTCCTGCCTTTCTTTCGTCCACACTAGTCTTCCGAACCCGGCGTTGGACGTAGCTGAACTCCTCGTTCCGGCGCTGGTCCTGAGGAGGATACGGCGCAGATGCTGGCACCAGGTTACCATGCGACGACGGCTGCTGACCTTTGCGACCTTTGATGGGGATGGCGGAAGCCACAGCGGTGCCAGAGTCCGACGTGTTTTCAGCCGGCGTGTTATCAGCAGACGTCTTGTCCGCCGATGTCTTGTCAGCTGAGGGAGAGGTGGGAACGCCCGCGGGTGAGCCGATCGAGGAAGGGATGATGAAGTCGTCCAGGTTCATGAAATCCACCGCGGGGGCGGATGTCGTCGTGCTCTCAGCAGCGGTTGTCGTGCTTTCCGTCGTGGTGGCAGTGGTGGTGGTCGTGCTCTCAGTCGTGGTTGTAACAACCGTCTGATCAGAGGACTTTCGAAGCTGAGCAATGCCGCTGGGAGCGGGATTATCCTTCTCCTTCTTCTGAGAAGCAGCAGCAAGACTATAGCAAAGTGTGGTTTGATCAGCATCCAGATGACCCTGAGAGATCCCCAAGGCAAGGGTAGAGATAAGAGCGAGAGATGTTGCAACGCCGAAGCAAGAGAGGGGCAATGGCAGGGGCAGCAGCAGCTAGCGTCTGCCGCTACAGTAGCAGTAGCAGCCGCAGCCAGACGATAAAATAAATAGCAACAATGCCAGAAAAGAAAAGAAAGAAACCTACCGCTGCTCTCGTTCCCTTTCCTGGCGCTTCAAGCTCATGGCCATCATGCGCCAGGTCAGGTTCTCCATGCGTTCCTGGTTGGGCAACCTGGACTTGGTCCTCGAGTAGAGCTTCCATATCTGCGTCGCTAGAGGATCCTTCCTCTGCATCTCGTCGGGGCTTTCCACCGGGCTCCGGGGGGCGCCATCTTGCCAGTCCGGGAAGACGGACTCGCGCAACAGCCCCCCGTTGACGATACTGTCGTGAAATGGGAAATCCAGCTTGTCGTCTTTCGCGGCCAGCGCCAACGTGGTGAACAGTCAATGCGATGGCTGTCACAGAGACACGGATACGAGCCCCATGCAATCAGTCTGGGGAACGGCGGGATTGCAAATGGAGGACTGACGGGCGGCGAGGGAGATGATGAGAGATCGTCGTCCGGACACCAACACAGGGAGACGGCGCAGCGTCGGGGGGGGGTTGGTTTCGACAGGGCCAGCGGCGGCAGATGGGCAGGTGGAGGAGGAGGAGGTTGTAGCGGATGTGGTGGTTGGAGGATTAGTTCGAGGTCGTAGTGCAGGCAGGCCGTGGTGGTGGTGGAGAGGAAGGTGCCGGGCGGGCAGGGCTGGGCTGGCTGGACTGGCAGCGGGCCTGGACGTCGTGACGGTACCACCTGTATTCGCGTTACGCCTGGTAATCGCGGCCGTGCGCGGCAATACCGACTCGGAGGGGCTCCCCAGGCATCGGCTTCTCCCCGTCAGGGAACGGGGGCGGCAGTTCTGGACAGGCGGAGGGCGTTGGACGATGAGCCTTGCGCAGGTGGTGAGGTTGCTGACAGTCAATGGATGGAAATCAACTCGCGGATGCAATTGATTGTATGGGGAGAGGCGGCTTTTTGTCTGTCTTTTCCTTTTTGCCTGCTTGTAACGACGACGACGTCTGCTAAGACTGCTAGTCCGTATCTACCAGGCAGTAGGTAACTTAAATTCTCTAATCATGATTTTTGCGGATGCGCTCTCGGACAGCGCCCGCTCTGGGTCTCGAGTCCGGCCTCTCTCTGGAGGCGCAGGTGCCGTGGTTCGGCCGGGGCCCGACGAGGCCTCGCCGCCTCCCGGGTGTTAATGTCTGTAATTACGCTGAAAACGCGGATGTCCGTACCGTACGCCTGTGACCGTAATTCTGTTACCGTACAGATCGATCTGCTATGCCTTCACTCCAGTAGCTATAGTTTCCTCCTGGTGGCGCGCTGTTCTTCAGCGGTCCGCCAGAAAGCAAGAACCGAAGGACTCGAAATTAATTATCCGATTCGAACTGGCTGAGATGTGAGAAGTTGCTCTGGACGTAAAGTCATACCTAAGTCCGAACAGAGCGACCACGATCCCAATAGGATCTCGGTGTTTTATAAGAACTGGTAGAGAGTACTCAGTAATCTGTTCTAGAGTAATCTGTTCTAGGTCTTGATTCCAACCTCTAGAGGCATGCTGTTACAAACACCCTGGCATTATTGATGGTGTGAGATCTCTGATAGAGGGCCATGCCAGCCGGTCACTAGTGGAAACGGCCACTAAGCTAGTGCACTCCAGCAGGCTCGGGAGAATTGTCTTACAACTTCTTAGATCGCCTGCAGCTTAAGAGTTAGACTAACGTATGGAGCATTCTGTACTCCTAAGCGCTCTATCCTGAGTGATATCCGGCCAGTTCCACTGCTCCCGCAGCCGCAGCTGAGTTTCGATATGAACCAGCAGAAGAAACGCGGAGGAAGGCACGAGGATGGTTTTCTCGAACACGCGAGGCCCAGTCGGAGTGGGAAGGAGACCTGCAAAAACGGCCGCAAGTGTAACGCGATTCGATCGGGGGCAAAAACCGAGGACCACTAACGTTGCGTGTCCGGCTGTGGGGTGAACTGGCTGAAAGCACGGATCAAGATGGCCGGACCGCGGCCCATCCATCGTTGCCGGGCTTGGATGTGGCTGTTAACCATGCAGCCCTAGCGCAGAACATAAGACGCTGGACATAGCAGGCACCTGCTCCGTGCATGTATGGAGTACTCCATAGGTACTCCGTAAGACGGAGTCTGGATAAAGCGACAGTCCGACCGTTCAGCATTGCTAGAGCTAATCTTGATTATTGAATTCGAAGAAAGCAGCTGAAAGACAGGGATGGATAGCATCCTGCCGCTTAAAAATATCCATTACCCAGGGCGTCGGTTATTCTAGGCACAAGACAGGGGACTTTCGCATGGGTATATTAGTCGACGCCAATCGCGCGTCAAGCAAAAAACCCCGGTCAACGATCGACCCCTAGAGCGGACTGCGCTGTTCCGTACGGAGTAGACAGCCGAAGCTATTATTGAGAGCTTTCCTTTCGTTGCATTCTACTGCCCTCAGATCGCCAGCGTAGATCTCCTGATTTAGGCAAGTTTCACTCCACACTGCATCTGTCAGGAGCAGGATTTGACACGATTCCGATTCGCCTGGTTTCTGTTGTTGTCAGGTCGTCTGATATCTTTCCTGTTTCCCATGAGGCGCGCAGAAAAGTTGACGATGAATTCCAGAAGTCCAAGAACTACGTAGATATTTGCCAAGAGAGTGCACTGTATAAAGGCGATCGACAAAGGATGGGCCTCCACTGGAGTACGGCAGTGCTGGATTCAGAATAGCGACCTCGTGGTTGACCTGGAGCTACGCCACCAGAGGCGAGGTGGGGAGACTTGGCAACAGGAGGGGCCTGGCGATGCCGAGAGAGCAAACTTAATTAACAGCATTGGCTAGGTACAGTCCCTAGCTAAGTAAGTAGGTCAGTAGCCTAGATTAGTAACTAACGGTGCTCCGTACTCCGTACTCCGTATGGCTGATGTCTGCTTGTCGCGCGATACGGAGAAAAGACCGAACTGGGTGCCTTTCCCGCAGAGGGAGGAGGGATGCCAAAGCAGGGGTTCGAAGCCCCACAATCACTGGTGATACTCATGTCAGTGGAATTAAACATATATCCGGCAAGTACAAAGTACACTGTACGGAGGACAAACCTGAATGCACGGAGGATCGGTTCCTTTAAGGAACGGCCCCGATGGGACCTCATATAGGTAACTACCTATACCGTTGGTTATTATTAAGTACGGAGTAAGTGCTAGGGAATGCTGGAGGCTCGTGCCCTACCCGCCCGGCCAACGGATGGCGACGGATTACTAAGCCAAGCATGTGAGAGGACCACAGGATGAGGGCAAGTAATGACATCCATCGCCAGGTCGCTGCAAATAAACACAAGCAGATAGTAATATGGACACTCCAGATCGAAAACAAAGTTAGATGATTGACCCATCCTGAAGCATGGAATGCATTGCTGCAAGATGAAAGTATAGATAGCGAACATGTACTCCGTAGGTTACCACGACACGAACGACGCGTATCCACAGGGTGATCCACCCACTCGGGGACTGTTAAGTGTTAACGTTTGCACGAGTCTCGTGTCTGACTTCCGAGTCGGTCAGAGAGATGATTCATACCGCGTTCCATGGACATGATATCGATACTCTTGTACTGCTATTCTTATTACTGACAAATATATAACCGTTTATTAGATCTGATGGGAGAATTCAACCGCCAACCAATCACTGCAATCGAATTCGTAAAACCAGTCAGGCAATGAGGGGCCTTACATGCACACACTTAAATGACTGAGATTGCTACGATTGATTGATTGGGTTGCACATTGCAACCAGCATGTCGTTGTCGTTGATATGATTAGCATCAGAGATTCTATTATTATCAGGTATTATATTATTCCATTATTTATAATTTATCGTTGATACTATTGCAACCAACAGACGTCACTTTATCTGATGCACATGCACTCCTGTCCACTAATCCTACAGAAAAGCGTGCCCTAGCCCCTAAGCTAGACTCTAGTAACCCGTGCCTTATATCCGACTGGAGCTCGGAGAACTGTCCTGCAGCACTATACTAGGCAGTGGGGTTGTGCACGCGTGAGGCTTGAGTTTAAATGAGAGAGAGGGGCACTTCCGCCACCTGCTTGCTCCCTCTCTTTTTTCCTCCCCGGTCAGCTTCCTATATTACCCGAGTCTGGTTATTAACAGATTACGCTGTAGGTATGGTATGTATGGTATGGTCTGGTAATACCTTCTCGATGGGTATTGCATGTGAAATGGATCATTTATCGAGTGCACGATAATATCACGATAATAATGTCCTCTAATCTTATCGATTACTGTGACTTCATTCTTTATCTCGATATTCCCATCTATTCTCGAAAGAAGAATAAATGAATCTACGCGCAAAGGTGAGATGCTTGCAATCACCAGACCTACGTCGACCTCTAATGGCTGGTTCCTCCGATCGGATACGGCTTCTCGGCCGACCGTACTCGTACACGACTGCAAGTTCGTTCTCGTTCAAATCAGATCGGAGCAAACACTTCCAGCAAACTCTGAGATTAATTTCTTCTGTTGCTGCCTTTCTTGCAGAAACATGCAGAGTCGTAGTGATGCGGAGCGAGTGTACTCTCACCATGCACGTAAGCCTCGAACAGGAAAGAGGTCTAGATGCCAAGAGGACTGTCTCCCTATATATATCATAGAGAATAATATTGGATGTTAGGTCTGGTCCCTTCAGCGCGGTAACCGCTAATTAATCCTGCTCTCAGTAGCCTGTCGGTGTAAATCTCAACCGCCCGCCGTCGCATTCTGCAGACAGCGATGATCCTGGTCGTGGCTTGCATATCACATGTCCAAAAGACGTGTATGCCACAATCCGACCACGCTGCGCGTATGGACGTCTTATGCTGATTCTGGTCCTGTTAAAGATTAATCGGTTCAGGAATAAACAAGGACGATATTCTAGACCGCTGCCCTGGGGATTCGTTCCAGATCCAGCACTGGTTACTTGGGAGCTGCTGTAATACCGTACCGAAAGTTGAAACGCGGTACGAACACCGCGTATGTAATGTTACACATCTGGTACCGTACGCCAGCACGGATCCACCAACCATACCAGGCGGAACCGCGGGGCTGGATCAACTGCAGCACCTTGCACACGCCAAATTCCTGATCCTACCTACCTGGAGCTATCGCACGGCGTCCACTATGCTCGTCCTGGACGGATCGGCGGCGCGGCAGACCTCATCGCAGGCACGCGAAGTACACAGTTGGAGTATGACGTTGGAGGGCAAAGCTCAGCTGCAGAGAATAGAGTTCCCCGGCTAATTGCCCGGCAGCAAATGACGGTCGCGCCAGCCTGGGTGATTCCGGATCCCGCCAGTCACCGCCCTGCGCACTATCGCCGCCCCAACGACGCCTTATCTCGATTAGATACCTCATCCGATTCCGTAATGCTCTGCTCGGCATTGTGCTCTGCTCTCACCGACTCATCTGCTGCCGACGTGATTCGGAATACACTGCGGCACCCCTTCCCGACAACCGCACATCCACGAGAGTTGTACGGAGTACTCGATCTCACAACACCAGGATGGTCGTGTGCCCAGATGAAACGTGGCCTGTGAATGGTCCGGGAGCCGCGGGTCGTAGTGGCAAGGGAGATAGCAGGAGGCAACTCATGCGACTTATCGGGATGCACGCAGGGATCGGGCCTCCCGATCCACGGTTCAGCTGCTGAGTGGAAACATTCCCGAGGAATCAAAGGGACCGCAGTAATAATCCTTCGCCCTCCGTTCTTCAGCCCAGCCAGGACCGGCGATAACTCGTCAACGGCGACATCATCAGGCCCGACGATCCAACACAACAGGGTTGCAGAGGGCGAGTCAGGGCAGAGAGTCCCTGAGATAGCGGACGGCGGAAGGGATGCGTCGTTGACTTGCACAGAGTGGGCGGTGGGCGGCCCCCACGCTATCGATTCGCCGATTCCTATTCGCGCGTTGCCGAGGCTTGGTCAGCATGCGGCAGGCTCGCCCTTTTTGCGGCTGCTGCGCTTGCTCCAAAAATCCGACAGGATCGCCCATTGCTGGATGCTCATCCCATTGCTGCATCGCTGATCGTGGATAATCAATTAGCCAGTTCATTTCCAGGATATTATTAGGCAGTTTCAGGAGAAATGTGGGACTGGAGAACACACGCAGCATCTCCTCAAAGAACCGCATCGCATCTGGGGAACGTTTCCACTGTCCCGTCGTAATGGAAAAAACCAGCCTCCTTCAGGCAACAGGTCTCGAGTCACTGTTCACTTCGAACGGTGTCGTGTGCTTGCTGCTGAATAAAGCAAGCTGTCTCGTGCTCAAGCGTTTCAACAGGTCGTAGTCCAATGCTGTAAACCACCTGAAGCCCACTGCCATTAGGCACCTGACGTGAACAGAACGAACACTGGCGACAGGCAATCGAGCTAAAAAGAAAAATAGTTCCTTCACATTCGACCTGCTCTGAGAAATTGTCGAACTCCCAGAGACCCTGGTGGGAAAAGGAGGCTCGCATGAAACTGTCCGCTGGCAAAGGACTGCTGCAATATTTATAGAGGTGTCTCCTGCAAGAACTCTGTTAAGTCTGGTATGATCCCACCGACACTGATAAGCACACAATCCGCTTCTCGACAAATGATAGGGAATCGATAATGGCCATATCGAAGCGGTCACGGGGGGTACCTCCATAAGGGGGCCGCGAGATCAAAGAAACGGCTTTCCATTGCCCATCGATAACAGAGGATTGTCCATCAACAGCCCACTGTGGTAGATACTGGCTGCTTTCGGCAGGTAAGCAGGACCACCAACGGATAAGGCACGCAGCATCCACCCATGTTAGCGGATGATCTTCCGTCTGTAGTGACACCGTTTACTGGGAATCCCTGTCTCTCCAGATAAGGAGAAGAGAATTCTCCACGGAGATTTGTACAGTACACTTAACCGTCTCACATTGGCTGGAGCAAAGAGTAGTTTATCTCTGTCTCTCGCTTCCTATGGATGTATTCGGTCGACTAGGACCAATTCTAAGAAATGTTATCAGCTTGATATCTTCCGTGTAGCTAATAGGATAACCGGGGTATTACTTACTTGTCGATCATGCCGTCGATAAGTTCTCTTTGTTCGACTCTATCTACGCATTGAACGAGGTGGAAGGGCAAAGAAGGAGGAGGATGTCCTCCATGCTCCTGATGGAGTACAGAGTATGCCCTTTTAAATGTGTGGTGTCATCCTTATTTTACCTTTTCGATAGAGATCTTCATGATGCCACCGATAGAAAGATGGCGCCATTGCTCGCGTGCCTGATTAAATTTTATCTCTATCTCCTCGGAGATCCGCTTCGCTATCACTGATAGGGAAACAGCACACAACCAAGGTTCTCTTCACGGTGCAATGATGGCTTTCTTTTTATTCATTTCTTTTAGTCTTTAATTTGCTTGTTGAAAGAGGCTGTCTGACAGGGTCCATTCGTTTTGTAGTATTGCTTGTCAAGCACCGCATTACGAAGTTGATGTGGGGGATCGTCGATCCTCGATAGAAGAGAATTGACTTGCTTTGATGAGAATGGCGTGATATGAACTCATCGAGGACCATTATTATTGCTGCTCTTTCTCTCTTAACCAATATCTACAGATACAGCCTGTCCTCCAGGCCTCCCTCAGGATCTTACTTCTCCCCATGAAGACCGCACAAACTTTTGATCCTCTCTCATACAAGTAAGTGGCCACAACTTTCCTTGGCCTTTTTTAAAAAAAATTCAATTGAATTACCACTACCCTGGTCATTATAGCATCGGACGCCACATGAGGCTTCAAGCATGTCTCCGTGGTGTAGTTGGTTATCACGCAAGTCTCATACTTAGTGTATGACATTGAAGACAACTTCAATGACATCTTGTGAGATCTTGAGGTCCGGAGTTCGATCCTCCGCGGGGACATTTTTTTTACCTTTTCTTTTTATCTTTAGAAATTATATAATCGGACCCACATAGGAGAGATACCAAATCGAGATAAGTGATGGACTATAAACAGATAAAAGACCTGGCCGGAGAAGATCATTCTGAGGAGCATAGTGAACCTAGGAGAAAACTGGAACAGATATTTTTTTCCCCTTCTCTGCCATGTGTTCTATATTTGTTGCCTGTTAACAGTTCGACAGCTGAATGCAGATCATTCTAATCAAATGTCCTCTTTTGAAGAAAGTAAAGTTCGATGATGTCTCCGGATCTTTCCCTCATTGGACTTTCGCACAGGGTTAATACCGTCATCAGTTTTCTCCGATCCTGGAATTGGACAAGTTCGGAGCTGTGGTCGTACGTCCTTCAACCTTTCCTCAAGGGAGAAATAAATGTAACCTTGACTGATAAATTGATAATTATTTTCTTATGCTTTGTGCTGTTCTTTTTTAAATATTTCAGGCCTATTTCGTATGAATCATAATAGCATGATGGCCTATTATAACTTGGAAATATTAAAGAACTTAACAAGGAAATTTAATTCACGACCTCATGGATTGCAACATGGGAAAAATAAAGTGAAATTTGTTCTACAGTTCCGTTTAACTTTTCATGGCTTTCTTCATCGCTGTTGGCCTTTTGTTTTATTTTTTTTATTTTTTCCCCCTGCCTCTTTTCCTCATTATTCTTGTTTTTCTGTTGAATATACGTTTCCATCAAGCTGCTGATCTACATATCTATCAGAAACAGAATATCCAATGACACATCCTATCTTAGCTCATACTATGCGCGAATTCATTAGTGACTCAAGAAGACTATTGTTTGTCCTTCCACGTACGACCGGTTGGTTGCCCTCCATTCCTTCTTATACCAACGCTCTATGCCAGCATATGTTCTTTCACTTGTGGTTATGTTCTCCAAATTGGCAATGCTGACCTTTTCCAGATATCACAAGCAGCAAGGCTTCATTGAAGTCTGGGAAGAAGCGATCTTGTACTGTACATATATATCTCTAGGTCATCATTATCATCCTATCGGTCTCGTAACTGCGTCTTTTCTTCGTTCTAGTTTGATACACTAAAAATTTACTACTATTCATTTTTGAACACCTAGTCCAATTGAGTAAATTTAACCATTAACATTGGAGTCTGATATTGTGGTTTCATATCATGACGGTCAAATTTCCATGGAGTAACTAAATTAAGTAGTTTCCCAGAATAATAATATATATAGTGCGGGAATTAAAAAGTGCCAAAGCCTTAGTCTACTGGGAATAACAAAATCCATATTCGATTGTACCAGTATTAGGGATAATCCTATTATATATATTTAATATAGTTGAATATTGCTTAAGCTATCGTCTATTACTTAATACATTTATGTCGAGAAGATAGGCTCTTCGTTATTATGTTATTGTCGATAATGGAAGAATATTTATTTATTCATACTCAAAACAGAAGTCTAATATCGGCAAGAACACGCGTTGACGCGGATCTGCTGCGTCTACGGAGTAGACGACAACCAGTGGAAATCCAGCTGTCAGCAAAGGAAGTAATCTTCATCGAGTTGATTTCATCGAATTGATTTCCTCAATTAGAAAAGACACAGGATAAAGATCAAAACAAAATGAAGGTGGGGCAACATTAGTAGTTGCTTGTCCATAGCAAAATCTACTGCGTATAGTCAAGGCGGATGATCTAGAACATACCTTGTATTACTACCCCGCACCACGCCATATTAATAATTAGACGGAGAACAGCTTCATTTCCTGGAAGGAAGGGAATATGAGGGCTAGCCATGAACACATATATATTTCCGTACAGTTAAACTGGTGGTTAGATTACTAGATTCTGATGACGTTGGGGTAGTGAAATTGGCGCTGAGATCTATCCCACCTAGAATGAATTATGCCATGGTAAGGAGTAATTCTTGTGATTGATCTCAATGCTAGTTTCACTACATATTATTAATAATATGGTGATTTTTACTAATGACTGTTAATGTTTATGTTGGGCTGTAATTAGGTCAGTCGAATTAGTAATCATGATGAACCTTTTTCAGGGGGAGGGTATTGAATAGGTTAAATATAAACATTCATGGCCAAAGTTTAGTAGCATTTTTATTAGAAATACGATTTCTAGTCTTCCGTACCTGATTAAGTGAAACAGGGGTATATGGCGTAATCGAGGGGTACACAGAGCAATCTCTGCTGCACGACATTGCTAGCGCCTCCGGATAAGATAAGGGAAACCCCCTGACATCAAAAGCTGGATCGATCGATTCTATAGAAACTAATAGTCTATTCCAGCTAGCTTCTGATCCATTCAATGACCTAGGAAAATCGCTGTGACATCGTTCACATCACCCATCTTGGCGGGGAAGACTGAAGCCATCGGCACGGATCATGCAGCTTACCAATCAAGACATCACTAACCGGGTGGGATGGAGGGGCTCCTTTCCCCACCTGATGTACCTGGGAGTACATATAAATAGTATGAGAGATCTGGCATTCGATCTGATTCCTGCTCTCCAATTGACGACAGTACATCCCGATAACCCGTTTGGTAGACGTCACCCACAATGGTCCTCAAACTCCACGGAACTCCCCTCTCGACCTGTGTGAAACGGGTCCGACTGGCCCTCGAGGAGAAAGGGATTGAGTACGAGATCGTGCCGGTCGACCTGTCCAAGGGCGAGCACAAGACTCCGGCGTACCTCGAGAAGCAGCCTTTTGGCAAGGTGCCTGTGCTGGAGGATGACGGTTTCTTCATTTTCGGTAGTCCCATCACCTAGCTAATCTATGTACCTTGGTGGTCGTTTAATGCTAATAACCTACAGAAAGTAGAGCCATTGCCCAGTACATCGCCAACAAGTACCGCGGCCAGGGCATTGATCTGGCTCCTTCGGAGTCGCAGCTGAAGGAATACGCCTTGTTCCAGCAGGTATGTCCATACATACATTACCATAATATACGTGCTTATCTATTCTCCTTTTGCAGGCCGTCTCCATCGAACAATCCTACTTCGACCCTCCTGCCTCGGGCATCGCCTACGAGAAAATCTTCAAGGCCTTCCATGGCGGCGGACCCGCCGACGAGACCAAGGTCGCTGCGCTGGTCGCCAAGCTTGAAGAGACGCTGGCCGGATACGAGCGCATCCTCTCGAAGCAGCCCTACCTCGCGGGCGACAAGCTCACCCTGGCGGATCTCTTCCACCTGCCCTACGCGACCCTCGTTGAGAATCTGGGCTACAAGGACTTGTACGCCAAGTACCCGGCCTTCTCGAAGTGGTTGGCTGGGCTGCAGGCTAGGGAGAGCTGGAAGAAGGTTAATGTGTGAGTTGAGTATATAGACGAAGTAAACAGTGATGAACATAGCGTTTTCAATGAACATATTTCTATATAGAAGTTACAACTTATACCGATCTTCTGCTTCATCTATTTCGTAGGAAGGCTGTTCTGTGCAAGAAAGAATTGAAGCCCTATCTGTTTATCAACATTAATAGGAAATGTATGGAATTAATTAGACTAAACTGTATAGCAATAAATACGTCACGGAGTAAATATCGATATAGTAGATATTATTACTTATTTACCATGAATGCGAGCTTACTTCATCAGCCTTATATCAATAGTAACCCGTAATCAATTCTCTCACAACACTCTGACTTATTGAATAAATCCAGACGAATGCTCAATATATATTTCAAACTATCAGCAAAGAACTGATAACTAGTATTATAAGAATCGATCCAGATGTTTTGATATACTATATATATAGTACGGAGAATAGCCGAGTCAGGTGGGGTCTCTTACCCCTCCTCAGTTATCTCTCTATCTAGATTATCTAGGCGCAGTCTGCAATCATGCACAATAGTGAGCTTCAGTCAGCCAAGCAAGAAACGTGACAGAGACTATATATATCTATATATCTGTATATATGTGAAAATCGGTCATATCTGCATAAGCCGATCAACATGTCTACCTTTAACGTCGCGCAGGCAAGAGCCCGTTTCCCGGCGCTGCAGCAGCCGCAGATCTATCTTGACAATGCTGGTATGATAATATCATTTCATAAAGTGCTTTTAATCCGGTCCTGAAGTATAATTACATTCTCATAATTGCATTATTCTAATGATGATTCAGGAGGAAGCCAGGTCTTGGATACCGTGATTGATTCGTAAGTAAAGTACCTTCCTTATTCCTTCACCTTTGTGTATGTAGGTATATGGCAGGTATCTGATCTGATATAAATGAATCAGCATTCGGGATTATCTCTCTCGGACAAACGTCCAGCTAGGAGCGACATACAATATCTCTCGAGCATCGTCAGCCGCGTACGACAATGCTTATCAGGCGGCTGCGAAATTCATCAATGCGAGTCCGGACGAAGTAAAACCTACATTGCCTTACCAGTGTGGAAGATTCCTCCTCCTGCTAATGATGTGCATGTAGATCGTATTCGGCGCATCCAGCACCCAGCTCCTCCACAACCTCTCCACCGCGCTGGACTTCCAGCCCGGCGACGAGCTGATCCTGTCGAAGCTGAACCACGAAGCAAACACGGCTGCATGGGTCCGCACGGCGCAGCGGTTCGGCTTGACAGTGAAATGGTGGTCTGCTGCTGACGCAACCAACCCCGTATGTGATCTTGATGAGTTGAAGACGCTGCTGTCCGATAAGACGAAGCTGGTGGCTTGTCCCCATGCGTCGAATATCACCGGCACCATCACCAAGGTCAAGGAGATTGCGGATGTTGTGCATTCATTTCCGAATGTATGATCTGCTGTCGAAGCTTTCGTTCAAAAGGATGATATGCCAACTGATTGCAACAGGCACTGCTCTGCGTCGACGGTGTCGCCCTGGCGCCCCACAGACAGGTCGATGTGAAAGCGCTTGATGTGGATTTTTATGTACGATCACATACTTCTACACTATGCTACATGCCTATTCTATAGCATGCTAATGCCAGCAGGCCTTCTCCTGGTACAAAGTCTACGGCCCTCACATCGCCCAGCTATACGCTTCGTCCCGTGTGCATTCGCACATTAACTCGCTGGCCCACTTCTTCAAGGACGACCTGCCTCAGACCCTCGACGTCAAGCTCAACCTTGCATCGGTGAACTATGAGCTGGTGCAGAGCATCCCGCGGGTAGTGGACTACTTTGGCCCGGATCCGGCGAGTACATGGGCGCAGATCGCTGCGTATGAGGAGAAACTGCAGTCGATCTTGCTGGACTTCTTGAATAGTTGTAGCAATGTCACCATCTACGGCGAGCCATCTTCTAGCAAAGACCTGCGCGTGCCCGTCATCAGCTTCACCGTCAAAGGGATGAAGAGCCAGCAGCTGGTCGAGGAGGTCGAGAAACGGTCCCAGCTGGGATTCCGCAGCGGACATATGTACAGCTACCGCTTGCTCAAGGACGTATTTGGACTTGAGGATGTTGAGGACGGAGTGATCAGAGTGAGCATGCTGCATTACAATACGGGTGAGTACGATTACATCCTGTCCTCGCCATTTTGCTGTCGAGTGAAACAGAGCAATCTGCTGATACGATATGATTGTCCTAGAGGATGAAATCAACGAGCTCGTAAGGGTGTTGAAGGAGGTTATTCCACAGGAATAGAAAGGGCATCAATCTGTTTGAATTGATTAGTTGTAAGAGAGAATAATCAAGCGTAATATACCGATCAAGTTGTTGCTGCCTCAGGCAGAAAGGCTAGGTGAAAGCCAGTCACGTGGTGATATAAAAAAGTGTGGTCTTGGCATTAGACATCGACCAAGACCTTCCCCATCTAAAATATCGATAGTTATCCTTATTCTTGTCGACGGCCATTACTCTCATATTTCTTTTTCAGACAATCTCTATAATTCTCATAATTACAGGTACATTATCCATAACAGTGTACCTGCTCATCCCGTCGTCAGTGCGGGAGTACAGAAAGAAAAAAAAAAAACAACAAAGAGAAAATTCCAATTTGACAAACGGAAAGAACCAAGACATTTAAACGGAAAGAACCAAGACATTTAAATGTTCAATAAGGATTTGCCATTGCAGAGGGAGAGATAATCAGTTGCTGTCTTTTCTTGTTACTATTTTTGACGTGACAAAATGGGATCGAGTAAGAGGAAGAAGAAGGAGAAGCAGAAGGATTTTCAGGTGAGTGGACATATACCAATACTGAAGAAAAAAAAAGAAAACTAAAATCTGGCGTAATTGTTTAATACTTGAGATTGATGAAGCTGACTACTGTCTATTCTAGAAACCGAAACTGAAGGTTGGCAAGCCTAAGCCCAAGCCTTCAAATTATACAGATACGAGTTTTCGCTCAAAAGGTGAGCATGAATGGCTTCTTTCAACAGTTACATATCTGCTGATTGAAGGTACAGCCATCGTCGTAAACCAGCAGTCTCTGTCAGTATCAGCTCCATCAGCTGATTCCCAGTTCTCGCATCATCTGTCGCTGCTGTCGTCCAAGTCAGAGACACAGCGTCGCGAGTCTCTTGCCCATCTCACCACCTCGGTTGCCTCCCGGCCGGTGGATTCACCTCTGCCGCAGCCGGTCAGCATGATCCTGCCGACCGTTGTGCCGCTGCTTCTGGACGGCAGCAACGGCGTCAGAACGCAACTGCTGAAGTTCCTGCGAACGCTGCCCGAGTCCGAGATCGAGGACCACGCTCCGCAGCTGCTGCCGTACATTCGCGCCGGCATGACCCATCTGGCGGCAGATATTCGCGTTTCAGCTGTCGAAGCGCTGTCCTGGCTGGTCGAGTTGGCCGGATCGGAAGTAGTATCCTGCGCGGGCGGCTGGATCAAGACGCTGAACTGCTTTCTCTCCCTACTAGGATGGCATACTGAAGAGTCGGCCAAGTGGTCGTCAAACCGGAGCTCCTTTGGCAAGGCTGGCAGCGAGGGCAAACCCATGGTCAAAGCCCTGCATACGCTGGCGGAGTTCCTCCGCGCTGGCATCGGCAAGGAGGAGGACGACGACGAGGAAATGGAAGATATTGACGAACAAAACGGCGAATCTTCGATATTCCCTCTTGACCAAACAGTGATGCAAAACATGATCCCATCCAAATCCGGCCCGTATGCCTACCTGAATCTGTTTGGTCAGCCGCGGGACGCGGAAGGGGAGATGTACGAGACTCGCGAAGACCGATATCGGGTCTTTTCCGAGAAGTTCCGCATCCCGATTGAGCGAGGAGTGGAAAATGCTCGCAAGGAAGGAGGTGATGTTGGGCGAGCGTCGGCTGCTGTGGCGAAAGTGCTTCGAGAGGCGACCTCAGCTTCTTAGCTTGTTTTGATATGGACTATGTTGTCGAAGAGAAATAGTGGCCAGGACCGGAATTGACAGCCTGGTTTGTGCGAGTAGCATGATTTCCGTCGACCTCAGTGCAGGTTGGAGGTCCTCGATTTGTCGTCATGCTCGCAGCTGTAGCAGCGTCGAGCAGATGACAGATATTTCAGCAACTTATTCCCGCCAGAAAGCGTCCGCCCTCCACGATAATCTCGGATTTCTGGCTTGAGCAAAGGGTGAGACGACGCTGTGACGGAAGCCAATAATCCGGTCGAGGACATGATAGCGAGAGCCATGCCATCAGTGATGGCTGCTCAGTGCCAATCTCTTGGACGCTTCCATAAGAATAAGAGCAGAGAGCATCTAGTTGGGCTCGCTCACCATCTCAAAGAGCGCACATAATGCTGAGCGAAGAGCTGATTGCAGCTACTCGTGCTGTACGGCCACTAAAATAAGAGAACGTTTTCATTACACAGCGCAAAACTCATCAATGAGGGAGAGAGCTCAATGGCAGTTGAATAGTCATATTCGTCACTGGGTAGTAATAGAAATAAAGCAATACTCCTGCTATTAACTGCCGACAGGCCGCTCTAAACTTCTGCATATTTATAATAGTTTCATATGTCCCAGATCTTGTCTATGGTACACTATAGCCACCACTTTTGTATCATGACTAGAACTCACTACCATACGAGAGGGGGATGTGATTAGAATCAGACCTGCATATTTAGATAGAGTACTGCATTGAGCTAGACGGGATTTTGCCTTAGCTGGCAGTGCTGCACTTCGTTCACTAGGTTGTTATTCGTCCATGGGATACATATATGCATGGCCAAGTGGCTACCTCCTTGACACATGCATGAATAACAAGGCTAATGTGGACTTCAGGCTCATGCCGGCAAATCAGGATATGTGCATACATTGCTAGTGCGTGTCTCTGACTAGTATCCTTGCCCTCGTCGTTCCCGCATGTCGAGTTCCCCCAAGGTTGACGTAGTTTGTCCAGTGTCTTGTGTGAGGGCTTTTAATATAGCCTGGACGGTGTCTTCCTAAGGTTGAAAATATAACAGCTCTGTCCCATTGAAAACAACTTATTGTATCGACTACCATGAAAATCCTCGCCATCACAGCTGCGTTCCTGGGCGGGATGTTCGAGACCGCCGTTCCAGATCCCATCCCCTGTGTATGTCTCTGGACGACTGAGGGGAACGAAGAAAGCTGCTAAATAGACTGATAAGTGCGCGGCCCTCAGCTCAACCGCCCTGCAAAGCAAAGTTTTCTATCCAGGAAGCACGCCATATCAGCGGTCCGTGGAATCGTATTTCGCCGTCAACGCGCAGTTAGAACCCTCATGTATCGTCCAGCCTCTCTCTGCAGAGGATGTTTCTATCGCTGTTTCTACCCTCGTTCAGAATAGTGATTTAGAGCCATGCCAGTTCGCAGTCCGCTCCGGTGGCCATACCACCTGGGCCGGAGCAGCAGACATCCCGCCGGGCGTCACGATCGATCTGTCGATGATGAACCCGACGACCTATCACTCCGAGAATTCAACAGCATCAATTCTTCCAGGCGCGAGATGGAAGTCTGTCTATCAGACGCTCGATGCGTTTGGTGTCGCAGTCCCGGGAGGTCGAGCAGGACCTGTGGGAGTGGGCGGCTTTACTATCGGAGGTGAGACCAGTCGATTCTAAAGGTAATTGAATTGACACACAGCTTATATTCAGGTGGCAATTCCTTCTTTGCCGCGCGTTACGGTTTCGTATGTGACAATGTCGTCAATTTTGAGGTATGTGCAGTACATGTGTAGTCTTCCGATGGACCAGCTTGCCATGCTGGTATCTATCATATCTCAGCTCGTACTCGCCAACGGAAGCATCATCAACGCAAACAGCCAGACCAATTCCGACCTATTCAAAGCTCTTAAAGGGGGCTCCAACAACTTCGGCATCGTCACCAAGATCGATCTGTCCGCTTTCCCGCAGGGCGATCTCTGGGGCGGCGTGGTGCGCTACGACAATTCGACCTCGACGAGAGCTCAACTCGTTCCCGCTATCGTTAATTTTACGAACCATGTCGAGGACGATCCCTTTGCGTCGCTGATTACCTTCTGGCAGTATTCGTCTGCGTTGGGTGCGAATGTCTTCATCAATGCCCTTGAGTATACCAAGCCGGTGGTGAACCCGTCTGCCTTTAGCCAGATCCTCAGAATTGCTAATACATCGAGTACCATGCGGATTACGAATTTAGACGAGCTGACGACGGAGTTGGCACAAGTGTCTGGTTTTCGGTAGTATAACTCGCTTGTATCTTTTTTCCCTATTTGGCAACTCCTAATCTCTATCTATCTAGGCAACTCTTTCTCACATTGACATTCCGAGATACGCGCGAGCAATCCACGCAGACAACGAGTTCATCTACCTCGACTATTCTGACAAATGGCAGAATCCCCTGCGGAGTTATGGTGCGAAGAACCTGGCCTTTCTCAGAAAGGTTGCGGAGAAGTATGATCCTTCGGGCGTGTTTCAGAGACTGGTCCCTGGGAGGTTTAAGGTGACTGGTGCTTGATGTCTTTATCCTTAGTATCATGGATGGGAATTTAGTACTCTTGTTGGGTGGAAAGAAACGTCGAATGGAATTCTTTTATCCTATTCCTCCGCTACGCAGTCTACCATCTACTGTCTACATTTTTGATGATATACGTCTGCGATTCTACTAAAATGGTGAAAATCATACAGTCAGTCAATCAGTTAGTCAATGCTCTTCACTTAGCCCCTCCGACCGTTAAAAAAAGACATTCTGATGATGCTTTAGTGTGTCAATTTCTACACTCGCAAACAGTACAATCTCCTGTAAGGCGAGATTCACACCAGTACAGGATTTGTTGTCTTATACTCCATTGTCCTAACCTACCCATATCGTATACCGTACATACTGTATACTACTTATAGGAGCTGTCTACCTATAGAAATCGATCCAGATTTGTAACGAATTTCTTGAACCCACTCTTTTCTTGGCTATCTGCATCTCTCCCAGCTCGCATGGCATTCTTCTCTTCGTCGCTTCCTGCCAGCTGCGAGTCTGGCTCCACGCCCTCCACGACAGTTGCGCGGCCGTCGTAAATTTCATCAGGCAGAACCGCACGGTCAATGAGCGTTTCTGTGGCAGGGAAGATGTACGAAAGGAGAAGATACACCAAGCTGGTGCCGACAAAACCTAGCAGCCAGCCGAATTGGTACGGGTGGACGCCGACGCCGACGTCGATGCTGCTGTTGACCGAGTTGATCAGGCCCGGGATGCTGGGCACCACGCCGCAGATGAACGCAACAATGGCACGCCAGTTGACTCCACCAAACGAGTATCGATAGATGCCGTCGGGATGGTACAGAGCTAACGAGTCGTATTTTCGTTTCTTGACTAGCCAGAAGTCGAAAGCCATGATCCCCGCAATGGGCCCGAGGAACACGGCATATGCGGACATGAAATTCAGGAAACTCCCTGCGGACTCGAGGATCTTCCACGGCACAAGACACCACGCCAGAATGGCGCACAGAATCTGTCCGCGGCGGATGTTGAGATATCGCGGTACAAGCGCAGCAAAGTCGTTGGCGGCGGAGAGCGAGTTAGCCGAGATGTTGACGCCCAGAGATGCCAGGGCGAAGGAAAAGGCACCAAAGAAGCGGCATGCCCGACTGCTCCAGTGGCTGATCAAGACGTTGGGATCCCATGGGATCTCGGCCAGGTTATATCTGGCTTGGCCGGCAGATGAGGCTGCGACACCGATGAAAGCGATAAAGGTGAAGATAATCGGCAACATCGGGATATACAGCAGTTGCCACTTGACGCTGACACGAGAGTACCGAGAGAAGTCCGACTATTATCTCCAAAGTCAGCCTTTCATTCCGTTGAGTCTTCCGCCAGTGTGGGTTTCACCTGATTGACGCTGAGCGTTGCATAATTGCCAATCGTCGAAGTCAGACTGGCGAGCCATAACCAGCTATATTGAGAACCTGATACCGTTGCCTTCTGCTCAAAGATCTTACCGCCGCCCTCCGCCACGAAGGCCCAGATCAAAATGGCAATCCAAGCAATTGGAACGATGATGGATTTCGCCATGAACAGCCAGCGGAGCTTGTTTGGATGCGCGCATAGGAAGGGGAACTGGATGATCCAGAAGATCACAAAGCTGACCATGCCGTTGGTGGTGATCCCTTGGTCTGCAGGGATGTCGTTTTTCAGGCGCAGATAACTTGGCCAGATCGCGCCGATCATCACCGTGACCGAATTGCTGCCATTCACCGTTTGGATGGCAAACCAGAATATTGCCAGAATGATCCGCGATATGATGGCGACATAGGAACCCCAGAAACCCCAGCTTGCTCGGGCCAGCACGGGGAAAGGAGAGTGGTATATAGCGCCGATGGCCCCGTTGGCGGAGATGACGATGGAGATAATAAGGAAAGAGACGGCAACGATGACAAGAGATTCGCGGTAGGTTAGACCGACGGCAATGATGCCGCTGGCGAATTCCCACGTCGCGGCATTGAATGCGTCCGATATCCAGTAGGCTGTTTGGTCCCGTCAATCTGCGGAACACAATTACACAATTCCAACTAAAGCAAGTCATCAGGTCATACCAACAAGACTGGTGACACCCCATTTCCTCCGATGAAGCGGAATCGGGTCGAGGTCGCGATTGGTCCATCGTGAAGAGCCGTCTGCAAAGGCCGACTTCTCCTGGGCTACACGGAGCCTTGGGCGGTCGAACTTCATTGTGAAGGAAATCAGCAGGGAGAAAAGCACAATAAACGATCAACTCAGGAGCGGGGTGGAAGGTCTACCCCTTATTAACTATGCCTGGGAGAGGTTCCTCGTATTGATGATAAGCAACGAGCGCCGTGGAAGCGATAGGGCCCTTTTGGCTTCTCCTTGCCTCCTGCAGGCGTCACTGCTAGCTGCGTCGTACGGTTCTTGGATCCTGATAAGGAATGTGATAAGGAATGGACTGATTAGGTAGGGATGCCCCTGTTGGCTGGGTGTTATCGCGGTATCACAATCATTCTGACATGAGGGAACATCACTCTGTATGTTGGTGTGTAGCCGTGTCTCCATGAGATGCGTTGTCTCTGATCAACTGACCACTTCAATACTTTCCTGCAAGGCATGCTGCTACCCAGATGGAATTGGAAGTGTAGTGTTGTTCTTGTCTACTCCGTACTCTCTGGATGGGTCTGGAGAAGTCTCCCCACTCTTGTGCTGCCAAGCCTTTCTTTCACGATAAGCGTGAAGTCGAGGACCAAGTAAGCACAGCAAATAGAAAAAAAACTAGAAAATATAAGGAAAGAAAGAAAAAAAGAAAGAAAGAGGATGAAAGAAGTGTGCTAAATTATGCTATTGACTAGCCTAACCACTAAAGCAGTGACACTGGTTCCATGATGCTATACATGTACAGACCCATGTCACACAGCTGGAAGGCTGATGCTGAGATATTGATAACTGCAAAGCGACCAGCAAGTTACGATAAAATCAAAGAGACGTCTTCGTAACCGCATGCCATGCAGAATGACACATGCTGCTCCACAAACAAATCCGAGTATTTGATATCTCTCCTGCCTATGACCGACAATGCTTACGCATCCTCACCGGGCAGCCGGACATCGTCCCAGCCACGTCCATCACCAACGCCAGGCAAACTGCGATCCTTCCGAATGCCATTCCATTCAGTCATGTTGATCCATCCGATTTGCTGGAGATCGCCAAATCCACCGATCCAATATGCCTTAGTCACAACCATCTTTGCCCAGAAACCCGCGTGCGGACTGTCTGGATTTCCCGGTAACCATGCCTCGGCATCAGGATGGGAAGCGAGGAAGCACGACTCCAGCGCCTGTCTCGTTTCGTTTGCGATCGGGGTAGGGAAGCGCTCTACATATCCCAAAAGCGACACACGAGGAAGGCCAGCGGCACTCAGTGGGAAGCCTGGGTAGAGCGGCGAGGTCTTGTTGAGGTGATCCCACCAGTCGATCGAGAGGCTAATGTTGGAGCCTGCTGCTGCATTCTGGAAGGTAGTCGAAACATAAAGACCCAGGAGAATCGGGTTACCCTGTGGACCGCCATCATCAGCGTCGAGCAACGCCTCCTCGCAGTCCGCGATATACTCAGGGAGGCTGATCGATTGACCCGCAAGGGCAGGAGGCACGCGTGTATTCGGAGATGGTGGCGGGTAAATTGTCGAAGCAACGCCAAACTTGGACAGCGCCAGCAGGCGACGAGCCATCAAGGTGGACGTAAACCAGGACGGACGAGTCGTGATGGTCATTTCCTGCTGATCTTGCTGGACGGCTTCATTGTGATGTCCTGGGTCGATATAGACATCATCCTGGGAATTGATCCGAATGGAGAACCGTGGCTTTGGTGGAGAGGAAGCCAGTGTCGGATCCTCTTTCTCGTTGGCCACAGACGTCACAAAGTCTTTGAGGGGATCATCATCTTTCAGCAGAGTCTGATCCTGCAGTCCATTGTCCGATCCACCAAGAGGAACGCCAGAAACCTGAAGAGAAAATAGGACCACCAAGACAGAAGAAATGAGAAGGAGTTTGAGGAATGAAGGTACGCTTCCCCGGCTTCCAACCATGGTGGTATGGTGCTGATTGCTTGAAGACGCGTCTGAGAATCCCTTCTTTCCCACAGTGAGCGACAGATAATAGAATGCAGATGCGTCTACAGTCAGGAAACGAGAGGAGTAGTAGACGTCGGTCAGTTGAAATAAATGTCCAACATGGGCCACAACGCGACTGCCGCGGTGACACAGGAGGGTCTTAGCAGTGAAGCTGGCAGGTGGGGAAGTTTCCATAACCGTCACTGTCTTCCGACTTACAGTTATCGAGGAGGACGATCTTATCTGATGGTGCTAGTCTAGAAACAGCTAGACTGAACTCTCTCTCTGCGTGACAGTCACTAAAGTTCACAAATCACGTGAAGGCACAGCATCATCTGACTTTCCGGGACTTCCCGGGAGGACCCACACTCCACTCTGACCTATTGAATTAGGTAGTCGATGATGATGTGTGGACAGCAAAGCCGTACTATATGCAAGATATTCTTGAAACCCTTCATTCTCACAAACTTTTACCTTGAATTAAACAACGAGGATCTATATTCACTTAGCAAGACTCAGGCATAGATATATATGCTCATCCGCTCTGTGTGTGACAGTACGATTAGATGAACAGAAAGATATTAATTAACTGACAAGACGCAAGACCTACAAAGGAAATGGTGGCAATTAATCAGGTTCTATTTTTTTGTTTATCCTCTATCCTCTATGGAATTCTGGGTCTAACCAAAGAAAAAAAATAAAAGAAAAGAAGAAAAGAGAGAGATTTTGCCGGTTGCTTGACAGTAACTCATACATCGTCCATGCCATACACATCACATCAGTCTTTCAAGGTAGTCAATAGTGTTGACTGATGCCAGACAGAGTCAGTGTGTGATCTCTCACCACTACCACTCCTCTGGGTTGTTTCCATGACGGCCTCCGGCCAACTTCCAGCTAAAGTATTCGGCATCTGTCCACTGTATATTGATTCCGGCCTTAGAGAGATCGGTTGCTGAATCCCAGTCCACGAGATAACTTTGGACAACATCCATTAGTCTGTCTGCTCTAAGGGAAGGTATACGATTATCGAAGAGAACGTACCATTTGTTCTGATCACTGTCCCAGAGGAGGTTCTGCCTGCCAGGGTCGGTTTGCCCCCATCCACAATTGACGCAGTCACTATATTGAGGCTGGCGTTAGATTGCATGTCTCAGCTATAAAAGGAGGACGGCGAACTGGTGTCTTACAGATAAGCTTCTTTAAAGGCTTTTCTGATATTGTCACGTTCCTCCCGGGTCATGTTATCCCAGAAGGGATCAACTGGATCCTCAGCGCCTTTTTGCGCCCCCAGAGGTTGGCCTGGACACTCGGTCATTAGGATAAACCAGGTATGCCAATTATCCTCTCCTAACTCATTCCGGTCTATCAGATGCGGAGCCGATTTGCACTTGTTTTTACGGAGCCCATCCAGTGCTGCGATCTCCATTTTGATGACGTCGCCCATGTAACTCCGTACCTCTTCAAACTTCCCAGAGGGTTCACTAGGTTTAGGGTTAGGGTACCTGTAAATTTTTATTGGTGGTCAATTAATTGAATCCATAGCGATCAAGTATCTGACTGAACAGTAACATACAGCATCACGATTTTGATTACCGCCCTCTCCTTTGCAGCTGAATCGTCCCTATAGCAGCGAAACACGAATCGCTTCTCCTTGAAATCCTCCACCACATCGAGTTCTGGTAGTGACGCGAAGAATGGTATCTTGTGGTCGAGCTCCTGAGACAATATCCAAGTTGAGGAGGTTTGGGGAAATTCCACCTTTGTTCCTACCACGAACTTCATTTTTGAAGTTCTAGAGGACAGGAGAATAGCTTGAATGATACGGATAGTGGTCTTGTCGTCTCTGCTAGGATAGTATCAAGCAAGGTTCTGGATATAGGGAATGCCAGGATAGGGTTAAATCGAAGGAAATCTGCTGTTGGCTTTTGATTCAGTACTCGATAGGCAGTATGGAGGAACAGGACCTGTCGATAGTGATCTGTATAGGTAAGAGGAAGGAAGGGAAAGCTCCATTCTTTTCCCTCTATTTCTCTCTCTGAGATATGACTCCTCAAACTTGACAACTGACGGCATTTTTCGATGTCACCGGAGAAGGCCGTGACTGTCTTCACAGAATCGCTCATTTCCTGATAATGGTATTGAAAGAGAAGAGAGATCCCGTCTGTGAAAAGACAAGGCTGCAATTATGACGGTGAATTCCTTTGATCAGTCGACACAGTTTATTTATTTCTTTGAACGCACTGCTTTGTTCCTTCACAGAGACAGTGGTATGGTGAAAGGGACTGTTAAACATTTATTTTGACTCAATAATTACTATTAGGAAGCAATTTTTATAATGTCAACTACTATAGAAAGCCAGGAAAGAACCTAAGTAATCTATACTCATGCTCTTTTCTAGTTACATATTCATTACTATAATTAGAGTCATTGCCATATCTTGACTCCTGAATTATTAATATAACATTATGAGGAAGTAACACTTTTCGAGTCATTTAGATAAAATAATATCTCCTGGATTTGATCTTAATAGCGAGACCTCACTCAGATTTTACTCGCGAAAATGCCCAAGTCATGTCAAATAATTTGAAGGAGATGTCACTAATTATCATAGTACAAGAAGAAGACAGATCTCGAGCAATATTTCTACTTTTTGTTTCTTGATTAGTTTGTTCTTTCTCGAAAAGAAAAAAACGATACCTAACTATTATGCCAAAAAAAATCCTCTAGATTCTGTCGGAAGGTTCCGAAATGCTCAGCATCAACATCCTCTGCCTGTTGCAAAATATCTAAGAGGATGGAAATGGAAATAAAGAAGACACGGGATCTGTCTAAGAACTTCTCTTGTACTCCCATATACATACATAAATAAGTAAATATCTGTAGAAATCCTCCTCCAGAAGACCTTTCTTCCCCAATCATTCTTGCTCCTTCATTAGATTGCTAGCATCAATCAGCTCAGAGACTGTTTTTTATGCTAATGCCTGACTGCCTGTTCCACTGACACTTGTCTCGAAAGCTTTATACACTTGCGTAGGTACCTACCTATTTGCTGGACCATATAGGAAAGAAAAATGGTCTAAGCCGCATACAGCTTTACATACATACTTGACTGACTAGATTGGAAGTGTTTTTTTCTTTTAATTTCGAATTGATCTCCTTGGAGAATTGCTTGATGGAATAACTACGGAATAGTAAAGGATGTCAATCCCTCCAATGTAATTAATAATAGGGCTTGATTCTTGAAGCGAACACATAAGATAAATAAAGATGCCCAGCTATGCTTAAAAAAAATATCATGTAGATTTCGTGGTAAAACTAGGTACGGAGTATATCTATAGCAACTAACCCTAGTTGTACGGAGGAGTGCCAAATTTACGTATATCGTTTTCTACTGTATACGCATCAAAAGATATCAATATTCTCAATACTTAAATTAATAATATCTGATCCTTATGATGATATCAAAAAACGGAGTACAAAAATTTCACCTATGCTTTCAAAGCAAAAGAAATATCTGGGTTCCTCTATCTAATCTATATGACTTACTGACCGAGATGACTGATACGGAGTATACATAGATGTGCAAGAGCGGTCAGCAGTGGCAGAACAGACCCAAAAGTGGTCCATAATCTATTAACAAAAGCGGCAAGGGCCGCAAGGCTGGCAGACGCCTAACCGAAATAGGAACCTACCTGACAGATCCATGGATTCGGATAATCACATGATCGCTAAACCCCATCAGGTACTGTACCAATCTAACGCCCCGATCTCACCCGACTTATTACTCCATACGGTATACACCGCACACCGTACCTAGATACCCAAGCCGAATCATTCCGGCTTTTTTGATTTGAACCGTCCTTGTAGGCTTGTACTCTCCACGTGTCGTTGCTTGCGCCGTTTGACAGAGCTGTCACCGCATCGGCACTTGCTGTACTGTATGTACAGTATGTGGCCTGTGCCTTCGATGCGGTGAGTCATCCTGTCAGTAGTACTCCGTAGTCTAACTAGCGGATACTCCGTAAGCTGAAGCAGGGAATTCCACCTGATCGTATGATCGTCGTGGGCTTTTTTCACGCCACAGCGGACCTGGCTAATAAGAATCGAATTCCTCGATTCCGGATCAGGAGCTCAAGCCCCTTTCCCTCCACCAGGCCACAGTGGAATGATAGGGTACCAACAAGAGTGGATACACGGTGAGTCAGACTTGGGGAAGATGCTGTGCTAGGCATACAGACCTCGTGACATGGACGGTGAATATGGTCGCTGCTGCCTGTTGGCCAACCGCTCACCTGTTGCCACAGAAGTTGGGGCCAACGGCTGCCTATACGGAGTACTACTGAAGCTTTGACGACAATCTATGGACATCACGATCGTCGGGATTATTATGGTGGCATTGATAGCCTACCTAGACTATGTACATTTCCACAGCTGACTACGCCCGCTTTCGATAGAGAACGGGCGCGCCTGTGAAAAGAAGAGGTAAATGATGACACCAGTTAAGAAAGAAAACACGTAGATTGTACTCCGCGATATGCCTGCTCGCCTCCGCCCCGCCTGCATGGGAAAGCCCTTCCAGAAAAGACAGTAGAAAGAAAACAAAAGAAAGCCCATTGTGCCGACCGCACGCCGTGTGAATGACAAGACACCGAGAAACGGAAAGAAATGACAGAATGAGGAGCACGCCGCAATGAAAACCATATTTACGTACATCATACAGGATATAGAGATGATGACATAGAGATCGATCTTCCACATGGAACAGGCAGGCAGAGGCCAGCAAGCACGCAGGACACAACGTAGAAGACTTTCCTGACTCCTGACAACAGCTGGGTATATATACAAACGCAGTCCTTTCAAGAGACTCGGAAACTCATCACGATCATGTTCTTTCTGCGGGCTCACCCCGGCTGTCGCTGAGTCCTCCGCATGCCATTGAGGACCATTATAGATTCATGAGAGTAAACTTCGGGGAAAAAAAAAAGGCACCTCAGTTCATGAAATCGGCCTGACCACCGGCATCGAGAGCCACTCTGCGAACTTCCGTGCTGCAGCAAGCACGCTTGGTGCCGCCCGTGCCTTTTTGGCTGGGCAGCTGGACAGGCAGCTTCATGGAGCTCAACTGACCATCTAGTGGAGACTGCAGTCCCTTAGCTTGAGGAACCAGGAACGAATCCGCAACGCTCTGGTCCGGCAGGACGACCCCATTGTCTTGAACCGCGTGCAACGCCATCAGCTGGCGAACATTACTCTGTAACGGATGGTCTTCTGACGTTGTCCGACCTCGTTTCCTGCATCGTCTGGACTCACGAGGAGGCTCCGGCGTGGGGTTAGAGCGTGGGACAGCTCCAGACAGCTCACAGAGACCTTGGGCGGCTTCCTGAGCAGAAGCGCTGAGGTCGACCGGAGTGTCGAGAGAGAAGTTGGACAGATCGGGCACTGAGCCAGTCGCCCCTGTGTCAGTGTCCGGGGAACTATAGATGTCCCCAAATGATGTCTCGTCGATTGGTGACGCAATCGCCAAGTTCTTTCTGCACTCTTTCAGGGAGTTGGTGGCGCAACGACGAGTCGCCGTGACAGCCAATCGAGGCTGAAGTGGCGCGCAAGTCCCAGATGCGCACGAAGAGATTGACGAAGATCTTGACGAGCGAGAGGAGATCGTCGAGACGTCGGAGACCATCGACTCAGGAGACGAGGCAGAAGAGGTGGATCGCGCGAGAGAAGAGCGGCGAACCAGAGACGGATAACCGTCCGGGTTTCCGGGTTTGTTACAGAACACGGCTGACGGGCGTTGATCAAGCGTGGAGCGCGCCATGCACATATTCTGAGCCTGAGAGATCGCTGCACAGATCGACGGCCGTCGAGAACAGGCACCACCAGCACTCGCAGCAGGAGTACCGGCAGCGTTAGACTGTGGTGTCATCTGTGGCGTGGGCAGCAGGCCAAGCTTGGGCAGGGCTGGCAGAGTCGGGTTCGGACATTCCATGCGAGGCGTAGGCTCTAGGGTTAAAGGAATATTGCCAGAGCAGGTCGGGGTCTGCTCATTCGACGACGGCAAGCCAGTCGCCGTACCCTCGCGTCCGGACGAGCTGCGCGGCGAGGAAGACTCAGCAGCGGAGACCATTTCGAAGCCAAAAAGGCCAGAGGGGCTAGATGGCTCCACGTCGACGGTATCCAACTCCGGAGTCAGCTTCGGGATGATTGTCCGCCAGCACTCTCCACTAGGCGCGATGCCCGCGCTGGGCGTAAACTTGAGGACAATGTCCGTCCATCGCTGGTAGATAGCTTCTGGAATGTGCAGCTTCCAATCCACCGCTTCCAGGAACATCAATTCGTTCTGGTTAATTTCCAGCGTGTTGAGACCCGAGATCTTGCTCCAAGCCCGGGCGGAATAGTTCCGGTCTTGTAAGTATTTGGATGCAAGAATCAGGGCTGCCAGAAACATGCGTCTACCGCATTGCATCGCCCGGGCAACCGGCTTATCACGAGGTTGCTCCATGGTAAAATCATGTTTCGGGACGTGCGATTTGATCTTGATGAGATAGTATAGTGCGACCTGCAGGGTGCTATAGCTAGTACGAGACCTTCGCAACGTTTCTTGAATGAAAGTGCGAAGGGGTAGAACGCCCTTACACCCAAGGGAGGAATCGCTCCGAAGAGCAACCCCGGACAGAGGCCATATGGTCTCAACGATCTGAGAGGCGGTGTCTTATATGAACAGGACTTAGCAAAATGAAACACCGCATTGAATCGTCTCCATTCAAGACTTACCGACGAGGTTGTCAACGAAACTGACCTTGCGGTCACACTGACGCACGAGCGATGGCAGCGGCCGAGGGCAGGATGCGGGAGCTCCGTTCGACGGGGCAACAGAACTGTTTGTGCGTCGAGGGTGCTTCCGCAACTCCGGCGGCACGGCAGGGTCAGCAACTTTAGGAGCACATCCTCTAATTCCACCTCGAGAAGAACGGGAAGTAGATTCACTTGGATGAGGCAAACCTCGACCAGCTGCCTGGCTTTCCCCTGTCACGTCGTTCTCCCAAATGACATCTACGGCATTGGTTGACGACGAAGAGATTGAGCTCTGTGAAGATACGCAGTCCAAGGAGAAGATCGAGGAGGCAGAGGAAGAGGCGGAAGACGCGACCGATGAAGTGTATGGATGAGCATTGGTCGTCTTCTGTTGGCTCGGGTTTGAGAGATTCAAACCCAAGACGTCCATCCCGGACATATCCGAACGACTGCCAAGATTCGCGAGTGACTCTCTAAACCGGTAAGTCGTCGCAGGACTTTATATAAAATATAGAGCCAGGGTCGGATACAAAGCCGACGGGATGGCCGATTTTGAAACCGTGGATAGCAATTAAACCGTTGCGCGAAAACCGTGAAAGGGAACCGAGAGAGACGGCCGTCTTTTATCGCAGGCGACGGCGGGCCCTTGGGGGTCGAAGATCTCCAGTTTGAGAATAGATGGCGTTTTGAGGAAGAGAAAATAGGTTGTCAGAGTATGGATGGGACGAACAGGTCAAGAGATGGACAGCGACAAAAGACAAGAATCCACAGGACCGATCACCGGATGTAGAACTCCAACGTAGATCAAGCCGGTTTCACGTCAAACAGACCGCTTCGAGAGCCTCGCAGATATACCCGGAAAGCTTCAGGGACACCAATTGGGACTCTTGGAAAGACTGCTATCTAGTCTCTCTTTTCAGAGGCAAACAACGGTCTTGTCGGACAGTCGGAGATCTGAAGAGCTGGATTCTGCAACACGGATGATCGGTTCAATGGGGGCTTCGGCAGCAGGGTACATTTTGGAATCTGGAGACCGGGTATAAATAGAATAAGTCGATAAAAACGGCGGACTGTTTAACAAGCAGGCAGCATCCCCTTGGATCCGGAGCTTGTCAAGGCAGTCAGCGGTCTATTATCGACGGAGTCAGGGACCGTGAGGCGCTATAAAGCCGCAGTCGGAGGTAAGAGCGAGCTGGGAGAGGCAAGGCGAATCAGCACGGAGCTTCCAATGGGAGCTCTGGGAAGAGAAAGATGTGATTAAAGCTCTTCTCTTTCCCGTGTCTATCTATTGATTGGCAACGGACATGGGATGGAATACCCAGCCGGGTGACAGGTGCAGAGCAAGGACCAAAGCGGAAGTGATAGTGACTAAGAGCAGCAAGCAAGACAGGCCACTATCCAGCCAACCGCTCCCAGCAATGAAGGGATATAGATATATGCCCAGCAAGCAGGCAACAGAGCACGGCGACAAGCGAGTGCGAAATTACTCACCTCACTATTTGACTCCAAGTAGGTGGCGAGTGGCGGATCAGGAGACTGGGGCCCCGGCGGGAGACAGGGACGCGCTGATCAGGAGGCAAAACACCACCCGAGCAGGCAGGCGACGGCACAAAGAGCAGGGCGACAGGATCCAAGAGAGACCACTCTCACCGTGGGATGCACAGGCACGAGAGTGAGTCTACTTGGACCGGGAGGAGTATATTATACGAAAGGAGCAAACGGAGCGGGTCGCGGGTATGACTGTAACACGATGAGTCTTCAGGCCCCAAAGATAGAATCATGGGCTGGGCTGCGAGGGTGCCGATAGCGGGCAGCAGTGGCCACTGGCTAGCAGCGGTGGCAGCCTGCCTGGGCTCGGTTGGGCAGGGAAACGGGGGCTGGTTTTCCGCTACCGTGGGCGGCCTGCCACCGCGAAGGCTGGCAACGGGGGCTCCGGGGAGGCAAAAAAAAAGAGAGAGAGAAGAAGGCAAGCTATCTCACCAGACCACGACACCCAGCCAGACCCAGATGATCCCTTACTGGATCCGTCAGACAAGAGAGCGGTCCTGCCTAGGATTTTATTTGCCGCTGCGCAACAGGCAACAGGCAGCAAAGGGGGCGCAGAACTGAGATCGTGACCACAACAAGGACAAAAAGAACAATGGCAGGCTGTAACAGCGAGAGACCAGGGCAGGCGCAAAAGAAAGAAAGGCAGGATCAAACAAAGCGCATAGATCGCTATTAGTGTATACAGGCGTCTTCTAGCAGACTTCTAACAGCCGGACTGTCGGTAGCCAGTTCATTGCGAACGTTGGCTGGAGAGGAGAAGAGAGGCCCTGCGACTCCGGGGTTCTGATTACTTTTAATGACTCTACTGCGACGCATAAATTGCTGCTTGGAGTGCTTTTTGCCTGTGTCTCCTGCATCATTAACTCGCATCCTCGAAGTTTTCGGCCTAGTCCATCCTGGCCTGCCCCGCCAACGGACTAAGCGCTGCCACAGCCAACCACGACGCGGCACACCCACCGGGCAGCGCCACCCTGGACGAGGCAAGCAAGCACAGTCATCGACTCATCCCATGAAGACGATGACTCCGCACCCTCTCCTCATTCCAAATCACTGCCGACTACTTCTCTGCCTGCTTGGTCCACAACCGGCATCCGGTGAACGGAGCTTCAGACAGCTGGATCAGTGAGATATGATTACTCAGTGCTCCGTATCCATGGTTCGTCATCTCTTCTGTCACGTGGAAAAGAGCCATAAAGAACGATAATATTAATAAATACTGATATTCAGTAGTCATAATAGATAAATTGGTAGTAAGAGGGTCCAATAAATATAATATCTTCCGCATAGATATCACCTCGACTGAAGTCAGACTGGAAAAGCTGGTCTTCCTCATCTCCCTATCTGACAAATTGTCAGTTAACTGTTGGACACTGTACAACATCCGTCATCATCAAAGCCGTTTTTCTACAATAAACAGTCAATAGTTGGCAATATTTCCGGCTTTGTCACACAGCTTACTTGGCAGACAACTGTTACTGTATCAAATATCCTGTACGCCTTGTTCATCAAGAGCTTCGGGTTCCTGTTACTCCACACTCAGGCAGAGAACAGCTCATAAGGACAATCGTATCAGTATTATTATTATCCACCAAACTATATATATATCTTCTTTCTGTTCAGGTGACTCGAAGCAAAGTCAGCAATCAGCAAAAGACTTGTGGGGAAAGCTACATGTACATGTACACACGTATACACAGGTATACCTGAACTCTAAGCCGTGTCCACCTAACAGCACATTGTTCTTAAGGTGAACTAAAAGTACTAGTACATGATCAAGCAGAGTCACACAAAGATCGACCAGCAGCATGATATCAACCTTGTCTGATAAAACTATCAGCAGTGGGACTGTTCCCACAGCCTTCTTTTCATCGACTCTCAGAAAAGCGGGCTTGACAGTTGCCACCAATTTTTTTCCCCTCTTAGTAAGCTCCGTACTATCTCACGGATCGAGTCATCCAGGATGGGCTGTGACAGTTCAGGATTCGCCCGCGCAGCCAGCCACCGCGAGCAGTTCAGAGTTTGGCGCCCATCGGTCGCCTTCCCGTTTCGCCTTCTGCCTGCAGCGACCAACTCGATGGGAGGGGCTCCCCGGGTCACCACGGAACCAATGAGCAACCGCTCGATTACAATCGCGTCCCCCAATGACGATATGCTTTTTTCGCTCGTTGTGATTGGCCTCCAGCTGGAGGGCTCTGGATGGCGGGCGGAATCTTCGAACGCCTGCATGTCTTCTACAGTCGAAGGACTCGAAGCTTGCCAGCCTCGAGGTAGCTGCCCTAGATAGCTAGGCTCGAGACTAGTTCATGCAGTTCATCTTCCTCTCCGCTCTTTGCTGTCACCGCCCCATCTCACGTGTCTTGCTGTGTCTGCGTCAGAGTGGGGGCATATACCATAGTTACGGCTTTCACGCATCTCCCGCCTATCTCGGCTGACTAGCTGTAGAGCTTTCTGTAGGATACCAGTGCTGTAAAGAGTCCTGCCCAGTATGATATTTCAGTTGCGGGACTATCACTCCTAAGAAATGCCTGCGATAATCGGCTCATATTTTCTCGTTGGTTCAGAAGATGATCGTTCCTGAATCCTGTCATAGAATGTTCTTAACCGCATCAGGAAATGAGATCGCTAGGAATGACATATACCATCATCCGAAAATGACTCATGAGCAAAATACTATGTAGAGAGGAAATCCATTTGAGGGTTTAGATATTTCACATTCGGGACACAATATATTATGAATCATGCCTCTACAGCTTCAAATTTTCTAGACCCTAGTTATTTATTTAATGGCAATCTTCCAATCCTGTCCTTCTTGTCATGGTAGGCAAACACACGATCGTGACAATCCATACTTGCACATAAATCTAAGACCAGCTCCATTATGGTTTATTGTGAGTAATAGTAGTTCAATAACAGCATTTAGAAGAACATTCTCCTAAATCCTCACTCAGAGATCAGGAAGCCAACAATAAATACCTTTTTTTTCAGACAATGACAATAAGAGAGGGAGCCATTATTAATTCAGTACTCTGCTGCTGGCGGTGTTGGTCATGAAAAAGTGGCTTTTAATTAATGACTTTTATAGATACGTATCAAAAGTCGCCTAAATAAAGACTTCTTTGTTTTTTCAATTACCAAATAACAGACACAGGTATATACATAAGCGTATCTGTACAGTCCACCTGGATCTCTTGGTGAGAGCTGAAGTGGAGATATCCCATATCGTACATATGTCCCAAATCGAACAAGTCTGGTCCATCTTGATCATCGGCAGCCCCAACGTGATGCTTTTATGCTTATGCTTGATATCCTGAGATTGTAGTCAGGGCAGGTTCCCGGATGGTGTATCTGACGCGTCCGCGAATGTCAGGATAGTAACTAGCGGCCCTTGTAACGGCAGCTCAAGCAATTTCGAGACCCTTGGGCCTACCCTTCACATCACTGCTTCCGCAAGCAGTGACGGTAATGATACCTGCGATGGCATCCTTTCCCCAACTGACTGTCGGTTTTCCCGCGAGGGTCCTCACCAGCTTTGGAGGCTTTTTCTAAACGGGCCATTCCTTTTTTTTCCAACCCGCGGAGGAGTTCATGTCCATGTTCATATATTTGCGAAAGGCCTCGATGGGCCTAGCTAGGCTGCCTCACTTGGTTAAGATAAATGACCCGGGCTCGCCAACGAGCGGATTTTCGTCCATGTACTCGTCACCGTATTTGGACAGCAGAGTTAATGCTTCCATAAGGCTTCGCGTATCCTGGAACGCACTGCTACTCACGTTCGCTCCTGCGAGCGGAGCCTTGGTCGGTGCCTGACCATCTGGCACAGGAGTGCCCTCTTTGCTCTGCTGAGATTGTGCCGCTGCTGCCGTCGTCTGCTGAGAGGTATCGGTGAGCTGCTTGGGACCAGGAGGCATGTAGGTATGTCCGTAAGCCGGCGTGAAGATCGGGAGTGGAGAGGCGGTGTTGAGGAGCTTGGTCAGAGACGTCACGGCCGAGAGCTAGATAGACAGGTCAATCCTGCTCCTCCCTTTTTTGACCAGTGTGAAATCCAAGACTTACAAGTCTGTTCCCCACAACACTAGCAATAGATGGCGCCATGTAAATACAATCCCCCACGACGTAGTACGTCGACAGAACCACAACATCGTCCTCCATCCCGGGCCGCTTCTGCCTCAATTGCTTCCGAATCACCCAGATATTCGACGGCTCGTGCGCAAACGTGGTCTCCGACTGCGCAGCAGCCTGCAGCGGATCGTACGTGACCATGAACTCCAGTCCCTGCATCGTCTTCAACCTGCCCTCGAACGCTTCGCGCGTCTCGACGAAATGGCGAAAGGATTCATTGTAGCTGGCTTGGATGGCCAGGGAGGCGTTGTTCGAGGTCGGGTCAAAGAAGGGCGATTCGGCGAAGTAGAAGAGGACTGTCCATCAGCAATTAGAATGGTCCTGATCGAGTGGAAAGAGCTGCATACTGTTGTTTGAATGGAGATAACCCCCCATCATCTGGACGTGCTGGGGTGATCGCCAGAACACCTCCTCCAGCGAGACATCTTGTGAGCGATCCATGAAACCGATCCAGATAAATTATCGCAGGTATCTTCCCTGTAGAGAATAAATCAGGGAGTGTCGCAAAGATGCGAATGAGAGGTATGGCGTCACTCAGAACTACTGAGTACCTAGCTTAGCAGCATAAGCTTGATGCCACGGCATCGGAGAGGTTTGTCTTGTTTGCATTGCTGTTTTACATACTGCGGAGTACTAAGTCTCCTTGAATTGTTACTCTTATTACAACTGCTGCTGCTATTACTCTCCTATGGAAAAGAATCGTATCATTATTGTCACTAATGTATTACTTGCCGCCATTCTTGACTAGTCAGCATGGACAGTGAGTGTCCACCATTGTATGCACATCCATGTGTAGTACATGTCCAGAGATCATGTATTTTTATATTGCGCATGACTAAATCTCTGATTTGTATCATTGGTACTCTGCTCGAAGTCCTATATATAAAGTACACCATTGTTTTCGTTCACCTGCAGAATTCGTGGTTTGAGTCAATCACCACTCGAGTTCCCGTTGTCCGTAACTGCCAACTAGAGGAGAAAAACCATTGAAGAGGCGTTAAGGAAAAGGGATTGTCATTCGCAACTTATCGATTTCTTGAAGGCATACAACCGCCGCGATCCAAGCAAAGCTCCGAAGCCTCTTCTTCTTGGAGCTCTTGTACCGGGCCGTGGCATCATCCAACGCAACCCAGAAACATGCGATTGAACGTTCGAGAGCCTGGTCCTCACTATCTGAGTCCTGACCGAGAATCATCGATATTGTCCAGTCCACCAGACGGTCATAGTCTATAGACACTTAGAAACATGCATGTTATCGTAATCTCTGAGTCTCACCTTCTCTCATGCTTTTCGACGCTTCCTTCTGCCGTTTGGTCTGTTTGTGACTTTCGCCCATGATGTTTCCGATGAAAACTTCGATTTCGGTGAGAGATGTCTTCCACGACGTGTCGGAGTACTGGTACATCAGATCTTGTAGATCGTCCTCGTAGCTAACGCATTCGTAAGCAACTTGCAGATATGGACGGTACAAGGTGCCAAAGATATGGCTCACATCTCTTTGATCTCTCTCGCAGTGGCTATGCAATGTGTCCAAATGAAGCCTGCAGTTTCATGCTCAACGTACTGCCATAGAGCTGTGAGAAGGTTTACCGGCCGCTCTTTCGGCAAAGTTTGCAGGTCTTGGAGAAATTCCTTCTCGTCTATTGCTCTGTAAAGCTGGCCTAAGACACGCTTACTTTTGTAGTAGCGGATAAGTCGTCGGCCGCCATCGTCGTCATCATCGTTATCGTCTTCCTCGCCATATATGTGCTCTCTCTCAGACGAAAGAAGCTCGATACTCTCCGCAATATGGACACGGGGACCTGGAGCCATGAAGTCGGGTCGGTAAGGCGGATACTTAGGTATTCGAGAAACATCCACCTGCTAAGTTCAGCGATTCCGATGCGGTAAGCATACTTCAAAGAACATACAGGTTTGCCCGTCTTTGAAAAGTCAACGGCTGTGGAATGTAACTCAGCCAAAGTCAGGCAATCAGCGTCGAACGTGCCCGCCGGTCTCTGATCAGCAGAAGAATTTTATGAGTTGTAGCGATTCTCCCCAACTGATCCTGACGCATAAAAGTTATGAAAAAATCTGCGATATCATCGATTTGGACCGGCCGATTGAGAACTATGTCTGTACCTCTGGGATAATCCGCAGGTTCTGCAATCTTCTGCGGCTTCAGTCGGTCATCATAGATGATGTTGAAGAGATCGCCGTCCAAGTCACCACCGCTCAGCTTACTCGGGAGATCTCTGTTGCCTTTCTGGCTAAAGACGACACAATTGTGTAATTTGCGAAGGGGAGAATCCTCGGGAACATCGATAGCATTTACTAACTGCACGTCGCCGGGATGAAAAGCCGGCGAACGTGTGACGACCACGTTCTTTCGGACGAGGATCTCTCGGTAGAAACGTTCACTGAGAACGGGACAGAATATCTCCCCTTCGTTCAAAATACCGGTTTCATCCATGATGCCATAGAGAGTCACAGCTTTAGGTACCCGAATCCGAGCGCGGTATTTGAGGTCCCGCAATTTTATGATGACCGCCAGTTCCACTGCTTGTCTGAGAAAGTCATCCTGTGTATGGCTCAGGTCCAGCGATTTCAAGACAGAAATAAGTCAGGGTAGACGTGTTGACCTCGCCATGTGAGATTGTTCCAAAAATTTTGCCGTTTGCTCAGCCGATTGCACAGTCTGTCGAAGTGTTTCGATCTCATCTCCTTGCAACTCCAGGAATGCTTCAGCCGGCACCCCCAGATCCTCGAGAATCTTGATGAGCTGCGCGTTCAAGAAGAAGGGGAGCTTCTCGATTCCAGACCCACATGTCTCTATATTCCAGTCGTCTGCAGCTTCGAATTTGACCATGGATTTCCGGAGCATTATCTCTGGGCCTTTCTTCGAGCTGTCCAACGACAGCATACCTTTTGCTCCTGAGGAATCCAATTAGTCTGGTATACTTCATGTTGTAATGCATCCAGAATATTACAGTATCTTACCTGATAATCGAATCTGAAACACTGTAGGCCGAACCGATGCGCGAGAGGATACTCTCTATAAATTTTCCACAGAACTTCCTTTGATAGAGTGCCACAACCGTCGCTGAACACGCGACCATTCCTTTCTACATCCTCAGCTCTTCTGACGATGCGAGGATCTATCGCAATGGAGGTCAGGGTATCAGAAAACGTCTGCCCGATCCTGGCCGCAAATTTCGCAGGCGAGTAGATGTGTTGGAAATTCCCCAGCTTGTGAATCATGCGGGACACATCCACGAGCTCGCCATTGCAGATAAAGTTGGCCATGAACCAACATGTCCGCGCCCTCAATGAAGAGTGGGAGAATCCGAGAAAGTTGAAATGGCGATCTGCGATGATGATCCCATCCCTCAGAATCATCCGGAACCGATCGTAGTATATGCCATCTAGGTTGGATGTGATGTCGTACATGATCGGATCCCCAGTTTCCTCAACAAACTCCACGCGAAGAAAAAAATCATTGAATCTTGAAAATCTTCTCAAAACTCGGTTCTGAGTTTCGGGGTACGGTCCGCATAGATAGATACCCGTGGGTGCGACTGTAGCTCTGTGGACTTCTGTCTGGTTTTGGTGCACATGTCCAGGTCTTCCTGTATCCAGAAACTCCGACACTTTTCCCTCTTCAATCTCGGTGAGGATTTCGATTAACCTCTCGGAATCAAACTCAGAGCTATCCACATTTGGACAGGGACGCTGGAGCTTCCTTGGTAGCTTCTGAAACACATTGACTGCAACATCTAACCGTCTCCTAGAGAGCAGAGCATACGCATATGGAAAGAGGCCAATAACTGTCGAAGGCGGAAGCTCTCCGTTCCAGACAAGCATCTGAAGCTGATACTTGATCCGAAATGGAAATATCTGTGCCGTGAGTAACACCAAGAACTTTCCAAGTTGTTCTGCGTACGGAACAGAGTCTGGAAATCGTCTATCAATCCACCTATCTAGGGGTGGAATATAACGCTCGTTGGAAAGCATATGGACCAGGCGAATGTCAGTCGTATCTCTCAGGAGAACCCTATATGTGAAACATGTAGCCACTATGTGTTTGTGTCCGTCGTTGAGGAAACTTAGTCTCTTCCTGTTCTTGTCTTCCTTATCTTTCGTAGTAGTGATGGAAGCTCGTGTAGCTATTTCGTAGATACGGGGAGCACCTGTGCAGGTGAAGACCAGTGATTGTGTGGTGTATCCACCATGGTAAATCGATCCATACATGCTCCAGTAGTCGAACTCCAGTCGATATTTCTTTTGTAGATTGGAAGGATTTTGGATCGTCACAACTAGAATGGTGTATCCAAATTTGATCATTCCTGTTTCTGCTAGACTGTGGTACTCTCGAAAAATAGGCGTTTCTTCAAGGTAATCAAATACTCCGCAGGACAGAGAGACGATGTAGAATGCTCTCCGTTTCTCCTGAAGAGTCATTTTGTCTCCCAGCAGTCATTGAAGTAAGGACCCTTTTCTGCCGTTGACATTCCTCCTCTTTAAGAGTCTCAAGAAGAAGTTCATCTGGTTTAAACTTTCCTTCCTCAATAAAGATCGGGGTGTCAAATAACATAAGCCTCCGGTTAGGAGCTACCCTTTGCCCTTTTGGCACTTTAGGGCATTTTCTCCAGCAACCGACGTGCCTTCTGGACATCGGGTATTGTTAATGTCGCATGTCCCTTGGTGTGCTTCTTGCATTCGAATGTAAAAATCCCGAGTTCCGCAAGGATAGGCTTGAGAGCTCTTTTGAGACGCCTCTTGTCGAGATGGTCAGGTACGTTCCGACAAAAGATATCCATGTCTGCGGTTGTCAGCGCAGCAAAAAAGAGATGGTGTTATTCATATGATAGGAAGACAAGCGCCGTTCACCAGGTGAAGAATGGGGAATTTCAGTTAGGCATTTCCTCGATTGGTTTGTGAGAGTTCTCAAGGTGAGCTCTGAGGATAAGCGAGTGAAAAGAGCGAGGGTGAAGGACTTGAAAGATAAGGTGGAGGGGCAGGGCTGGATGGCGTTGGAAGATGGCGTGTTTTCGAGACTGCAGCCAGGCAACTGACAGGGTATGTTGACAGTTCACTCATAACGTGACCTGCCGGAACAACCCGTTTAATATTCTCTGAATTGCAAATGGATACTTGAACGACCAGGAAAAAGGATCTGCCTGATGGAATGATTTATATCGAGAAAGGGCTTGATAGCACTTTGCCTTCAAGAACTGATGACGAATAATCCATATAACGTTGTCTTGGTTCTAGGTTTCAGTATCGTACAGAGAATATAATCTGAGGCCCAGAAGTTGCTAAACGTCTTTCTTTGGCAGGGAAAGATTAGCAGACTGTGTTCCAGGCACATAGCAATCTTGACTGTTCAACAAAGAACCTACAAAATGGACAAATACAACCAGCCATGATGACGTGGTGAAAAAATAACCCAGCGATGGTTATATGAGAAAGGCATGCCATTAATCATAAACAGTATTCCTGCTTCTCTTATTATTTCTTGGATGCAGTTATTTTGGTGCATATTGGTAAAACCAAAGACTTGCATCGAAACTTGTGAGTCTATAATAGTTCAGATTATAGTTCAAACAGGCCGATATAATCAAAGGAGTAGGTAGTTAGTCTACCCATCCATTACATTGCAAGACACCCATTTTTAATTTTGATATTCTACTGCTCGTCTAGCCCTTCTAGAAAATATGGCTGTAGACTACAGAAAACAGAGAAGTGAACTCATCTCTAGAAGATTGCTTCTTCCACACTTTTCGGAGATCCGTCGTCCAATAAAGTCGGAGCGAATCCATTTGCTTTCTGACTGTCTGTTTGTCTGTCTAAACGGTGACAAGCCTGGAAGAATTTCATGAAGTCTGACATAAACCAGGGATTTTCGGTCTAGTAAATAATTTCCAGCTTTTCTTGTTTCTTATCTCAATAGACGATCACTAGTTCAAACACAGTCACTCCGAAAAATAATATCTCCTATCTGTACCATGATCACTTAAATTTCCACTTACCTTGACCTTATTACTACTGCAATTGTGATGGCTCGGCTCAGCTCGGGACATTCCTTTGAGACAGGACACTCCTTCAAGACAAAAGAAGCTTTCTTTGACCAGTTTGCAGAATCTATCGTTGGGACTTTCCGAAGGACAAAGGGTGTTTCTAAGCAAAGAGACTTCCTGATGCATGCAGAAAATCCTAAATATAGAGACTAAGGTTAATGATCAAAGGAAATAATATTTTCAGAAAAGGAATCGCATTTGGGGCAGAATAACACTTCCATTCTTTATGTACTGAGTCTTTTCTTCCTTAGTTTTGGCTTTTCGTACGTAGGTAGCCAAATGAGGTTACCTATCTCTTAAATTTGATTGTACCACCACAGCAATTTCTAGTCTCAAATTACTATATCAGGATACCCTCCCAAAACTAAAAGTCATAGACTTTCTTCTAGTAATTAAGACATAGGTCACGATTACTATAATCCAAATCTAAGCGGCTTGATTCCGAAATTTCATGAGAATAACTAACCAGCAGAAAAGCGACAGGTTTGCCCAACAGATCAACAGATAGATAGAGGTCGTCGTGACCGTACTGTATATACGATGATTTTCTCTTGATACTTTATTCAGTGACCGTTCTAGTAGAAACGTTGCAGTAAAAGTTCCCATAAAGGTAGTGGTCAAAAGATCAGTAAATTTGAGGTAGGTACCTCTACTGTAGAACTAAACTAGCTGTCAACGACATTCAACAATAATAGTTTGAGGAAGTACTGTGGATACATTATTCTAGAGAGGTAATACTATTAGTTGTAGTAACTGACTACGATCTGGAAGATGCAAGCCAACCCCGCTGGGCACACGGATCCAGTCCGCTGCCCCGCTATTTAGTTAGTGATAATTCTCATTACCTAAAGCCAGAACAACCTACCCCTCGAGCTGAGTCGAGCATGTGTTTGCGAGACATGTCAGCAGAATAACCAGAAATGGCAGGATCCACTGCTGCAATGTGTTGCCATCCATGGTCCATGGATGCAGCGTTCTCCGTCCAACCATACCATACCGTAGCAGGTACCTATCACTCACGCTCCGTAGCTAACCTGCCGTTTTACGGATTATTGTTGCACGAACCTGATGCTCCGTACCTCGTTTTTTTTTCTACTATATAGGGCCATAGGTACCTAGGTACCTTTTCTCCACATCGCTATTTTCGTCCACTGTCTTTTTTCTTTCCTTGGCTTGGCATAAAAACTAGGGCAAAACTCTAAAGAATCTACGTCACTCACTTTTCTTCCCCTGAGTTTGGATACCGTATTTAGTACTCTGTACCCATCAAAGAGAACAGGCCACTTCGCCGCTTTATTTTTGGTAGAAACATACTCGATCGTTTTTCAACATGACCACTGAGCAACAGAAAGATAAGCCAACAGTTGTCTGTGTGTTGTACGTGTGAATTTTGAAGATTGGTGATTTCTTGACGTTCTTCTGACTCACTTCTCTTACTTGACAGCTGTGGCTCTGTGGCGGGGAACAACCCCGTTCATCTGGAAGCTGCGCGCGCCCTCGCCTACGAATTCCACAAGAACAATGTCCACCTCGTCTACGGTGGCGGCACCAATGGCCTGATGGGCGAGCTGGCCCGAACGCTGGTCTCGCTCTCCGGCCCGCAAGCCGTCCACGGCGTCATCCCCCGCGCCCTGATCAAGGTCGAGGACGGATACAAGAACTCGGCGGAGCCGACGCCGACGGAAAGCGAGGCTGAAGAGGGCAAGACCCAGAAGGGCGCCGGCAAGGCGCACGAGCGCACCCTCCCCTCGCTGATGGACAAGACGACTCTGCTGAAGGAGACCGAGTACGGCATCACCACCATCGTGCCGGACATGCATACCCGGAAGCGTCTGATGGCCACGAAGGTGCTCGAGGGCGGCCCCGGGTCCGGGTTCGTCGCCCTAGCAGGCGGATTCGGAACCATCGAGGAGGTCATGGAGATGACGACGTGGAACCAGCTGGGCATCCACAAGGTTGGCGTCGTCCTGCTCAATATCAATGGCTACTGGGACGGACTGCTGCAGTGGGTGCAGAACGCCGTCAAGGAAGGGTTTGTCAGCGAGGCCAATGGCAAGATCCTCGTGTCCGTCAACGATGTCAACGACGTCTTGCCGAGATTAAGGGAGTACAAGGCCAGTGCGGACCGATTGCAGCTGAACTGGGGTGAGGAGTAGAGGAGAAGCCGTGTCGGAGTGCCTACTGGAATTAGATATCCCGGCTGATTTGTATTTGGTATTCAGGGTGGTGGTACGGTAGACGAATAGACAAAAGATGGATACGGTAGATGATGCCCTTACGACATTGCAATGCATGAAGGCTATGGCTCTGATACACATTAACTGTCTCATGTCATCGCATAGTAAAAACTTCCACAGGAAGGAAAATATCTCAAGACTTTTTTAATATCTAGAAGGACATTCCCTCTATTATTATTATGAGTCCACTTCCATCTCCCCTCCGGCGCCTTCGGAGGCATGGTCCAGAGCCTCGAGCAGAGGCGCCACCTCCTGGCCGTCGTACAGCTTAAAGTTCTCGATCTTGTTCTTTGAGCCGGGGGGAGCCAGACCAACAACACCCACAGTCGTATTATCGACAGTAAGCTCCTTATCCTGGGACAACGTCTCCTTGAGCGCTTTCAACCCGTGGCTGATCAGCTGTTCCCGGCTGCTATCATGGAACTGCTCCAGATTTTTTTCCAGATACGTCCGGGCCATCTGGGACCGAGCGCCAATTGCGCACGCCAGCATCTCCTGTGTCAACCCCGACGGTTGGAACTCATACAGATGAGGCCCGGAGTCGTCCACGCCGGCGACGAGGAGTCCGACACCGTAAGGTCGCTTGCCGTAATGCTGTGTGTTGGTTTGAGCGCGGTCCCCGATCTGGGAGACAATCCGGTCCAGAGGAATAGCGCGGCCGTAGGTCATCCTTGACCCCAGAGACTGCTGCTTCATGAAGTTCGAGAGCACGCGGGCATCGGAGGAAAGACCAGCAATGGCAATACCCATATGGGAATCGATTTCGATAACCTTCTTCTGGTAAGAGGAGAGCTCTTCGGCGTTGCGCTGGACGAGACGAAAATCAGTTTCCATAACTGGAAATATAACGATCTACTCATCGTCATCTGACAGGTTCGTACCTTTAAGCCGACGAGGACGGCATGTGTTTTGCTCACGAGCCCTACTACGACCGAACCCTGCTTCACAGCCTCCTGCGCATATTCGACCTGGAATATCCGCCCCTGCGGCGAACTATGGAGGAATAAATCAGCACCCCCGACGCTTGCAAAACATGCGATCAACCTTACAAGGTCACTGAATCGTTATCGTAGTTGTTTCTGAACATGACGGAGGACTAGGGATGGGAAAGGCGGGAAGTGTCGGACAAGCTGGCAGGAGGGATAGAAGGGCTTCCGAAGGAGCACAGCAAGAAGAAGGAAGACAGTGGAGTATTGTTGGGGAGAGTGTGAAGAGCTGGTTATACAGGGACTGCTGGCTATCGATGCGGCAGGCAGTGAGCGACGACGCGGTGACCTGGAGCTCCCAGCCCGTTTGGGACAAAGTGTGGCTTGTGCCGCTTTGTCAGTTGTTACTCCAGCCGCCAAGCCTCACCTCCCACCTGCATTGCTGGAGCTGTCGCCGAGGCCAGTCCAACACCACGTTGCGACACAGGGCACTTCCACCCAAGCAGTTGAGCTGCGTTTCTTTTCGCATGAAGGGCATATCTGTGCGACTACTCTGATGCACATAGGGCGTCTCCAGTCCTGTCCGCTCCATTGCCTTGTCTGACGCCGACTCTGCTTCTTCGAGACTACCATCAGGCAACCACTAGGTCCACGCCTTCGTTCCAGCTCCAGGTTCAACCGCAGCTCGTCAACCATGGCAGGGTTAAAAACGATAATAGTTCTCTCTTTTGTACGGTCCTTGTTGATTTTGTCCTGGGCGATAATTGCGATTGATGCCTGACTGAGAAACAGATTCTGGCCATCGGCTTCCTTCTGGTCATCCTTTCTTCAGCCCTGTGGCACAATTTCCTTCCTCTGCTCGTCGTTGCAACCTACGTGATTGCGCCCTTGCCCAACTGGATATGCAGTCGGTGTGCGAACCCGGACGATTTCATTGAGAGCTCCGGCAATGCCGCGGCTGACTTTGGGCGTTTCCTGACGGGGTTCCTTGTTTTGATGGGAATTGGTATGTTTATTCGCCAGTCAGAAGAAAGTCAAATAATGGGCTCGAGATCTCCAATATTTGGGGGCAATTGAATGTGTCAGATTGGACTTAGGCTAATGTTCCGGCCGCAGCACTCCCAACCGTTCTCGCTCACAGCGGCGCCATTGAAGTCCCAGCAATGATCATGTCGATCCTCGGGGGCCTTCTTATATACGGGACTATCATCAGTTTTACTATGTTTTTTAGGGAGCAGGAAGAGTTCTGAATGACATGTCTATGACCGTGGGCGTATTGACGTCGAGTGTCTCAAGAGGAGGTCTTAGATGAGCGCTATAATTTATCGCATTTTATGCCTACTCTGCTTACTACTGTCGGCACACTCGAGTTCCAGTTTCTGTATGCTGAGCGTACCTTTATATCCCTGCTTGTGATTTTGGTGTCTTTTGAATTGCTGCGATGATTTGCCATGTGTTCCGTATTGGTTTATGTACTATAAGCACGAGATGGAATAGAGACTCTATGAGGAAGTCTGGCGATTCGATATTTGGCAAACTTCCAATTGCACAACAGGTAGTTGGGCTTGTTCGACTCAATCGAGATATTGTCACGTGACACCGTGTCCCATTTCAGCAGGCGCGACGCGTGCGTAAATGACATTATCACCATTGCACTCAGTACACTCCAACCGAGCACACTGAATGAATGGATTAAAACGTGAGATAATAATGAGCTACAGCAGGACGCAATGGAGGTTTGGTCGGGGAATATCGCAACAGGCACAGGATCGTTAGGTAAGTACAAGCGAACTCAACACGTGTCCATGATGATAAGCAGGACTGGGGCGCTGACTATATCATTATCATAGCGGTCAAACTTCTCAATTCTTCTCCACATCGCCAATGTGTGATTCCAAAAGATGTGAAACTCTCCCTCCACAGCCTCGTGAACCCGGCATTGATACCACTCTACGCCCGCGCGGGGCCCAGCGTCGAAGTACACAGTACCAACATAGAAACTTCGCAATGGCTCAAGACCAGACTATTGGGCAGCATTTGGTTGGAAGAGGATGATGACCTTGACAGATGCAAATCAATGCAATGCCCGGTCGGCCTTCTTATCAGCGTCGAAGGCTCCGGGGGAGGCCATCCCTCTGGATGCATTGTGTCGGATCTTCTTATCTACGGGGTCTTGTCCACCCCAGAAACTCTAGGGCGACCTCCTTCACCTCCGAACTCTTCTTCTCCAGGAGATATGATGCAGGATGAGCTGCATCTTGCACTCAAGCGAGATCTGCGGATATATGCTGCACCGTTATCGGCGTCTTTCGTGCAAAAAGCTCAGAGCCTGCCTTCTCCGCCTTCAAGTCCGGAGAATAATAATTCGGGATGTGAGCCTGAGTTTGCCCAATTCATTCCGGATCTACGATCGCCAAGTCCGAAGCGAAAGCGCATAGCGACGATTTTTGAGGTTGCTGCGCAGCACCACAGGAGAGTCCGGCAACGGGGAGGAGAAGCAGTATCGCAACTAATGGCCACTGCAACCTCACTGTCCCAGACAGCTCCTCATCTACCTCCGTTGACGGTAAAGAAGGAGCCGGAAGAAGTCGGCAAACCTGCCTTGGAGAGATTGGGATCGAGACGGTCACGATCTGTTTCTCTGAGCGGGAATCTGCGTGTTGGTAAGACTCCGGATGCGCGCGAAGATCCCAGACCTAGCACCGCGAAAGGCCAAATTCGTCGGACAGCGAGCAAACGAGAGCTCTCTCATTCTTTTCTCGAGACAGAAAGTCAGCCAGCAGCACCGTCTCCTCTGCCTGCCGGCCAGGAAGATGAAGAGTCGGAGGCATCGCCAAAAGATGCTGAGACGATCATATCTGAGAATAAGGCCTTGATTACTCGCACAATACTGACATGCATGCGTCTGTACGGCTATCACCGGAAAGCCAGCCGATCGTCTTCTACGAGCAAGAACAACGTCACAAATTCCCACCAGGATGTCGATCCCCTAAACGAGGACAGCATTGTTGCAGAAACTTTGACTGCGCCAGCGGAGCATGGTCATGGTCCAGCTATCTCGGACGAGGACGAATTCAAGGCCATGTACCACGCGACGTACAAAGCATCCACGTTTGCACTGCGGAAATACCTCAAGGAGAGACGTCCTCCCTCAGACGACATTTCCACAAGCGTGACTGTTCCGGTCCTATCGAAAGAGAGAGTAACCAACGTAGTAGACGGCATTCTAAAGCTGTTTTGCGAGGATAACTGAGCAATTTTCTTTCCTGTGGGAAATTTCATGCATTTCCAGCGCGGGCGCAAGTGGAATTGCAAGCGAGAGAAGGAAGAAGGCGATATTTGGTTCATGAATTTTACGTTGCATGAATGGATATATAGATAGGTCTAACTTGGTTAAATATATGATATGATAGGTACGATATGACAATGACATTATGACCGTTTGTCTGAGATTAGGTTATACAAGCTTGCTTCTCTTTCTTCTTTTCTCTATTCTCGTAGATTTAATTATTAGTGATCAACAATAGGTCCATCATATAACAATCTAAATGAAATGAATGCCATCAACCTGACTGACCGATTAATTGACCTGACACAGCCATACCCTTAGCTAGCTACTACGTAACAAGTCATCACTCCAACATACAAACACACATATAGATATAGATAGATATAACACAAAGTGGGGAAGGGAGTCAGGGTCATATAACGGAAAGGTCAACCGAACCACATGCCTGCCTATTCATATACCTATACCTATGCCTATACCTATTGTCTTAAATTGCATCAATAAATAAAGAAATAACCCCCATGCCGAATACATAATCCTAGGTAAAGAAACGAAAACAAAAACAACGTGACCGACCACATGATAATGATCATACAGCGAGTGTCTTTACTGAACTGGACTGAAGTGGACTGAACTGAAGTGCCTATCTATTCATTCGTTCGTTCGTTTGTTCATTCGTGCCTTCGTTCGTTCGCTCGCTCAGATCAGATCAGATCATCCATCAATGCCTGCTTCAATGCTCTATAGCTGCCTAGCTAGCCATAGGGATATAGTCATAGAGTTACAGAGCCAAAGTGTAGGTGTAGTCATCTTCCATGTTCTGCGATACCCAAAGGACGACGGTACTTGAACAACGAAGCGTACAAGTTAGCGAATCTTCGTCCCTCGTGAAGACAGGTAATTTGGAGGGCGGCGGCATACCTGAGCATTACCAAGCTGTTGGCAACGACGTTGGCGATGCCAAAGTAGAGCGTCGGCAGGGGGTAATTTTTAATGACGTATTTGAGGACCATGACTGTCTGTCAATCCCGAAGAAAAAAAAAGATAATTAGTATTTTGCCAATCAACCGGATTCCTTGTGATTTATTTGTATACTCACCACACTACCGGCCAACCCCCCTGCGAGCAACGCAAAGCCCAGAAAGAGCACAAACCGCGCTTTCCAAGCCACCTCGCTGCCGCTGTAGCTGTAGCTGTCGGCGCTCAGCCGCGACTTCTCGATCGTGTTGATCACCAGCATCCCCAGCGCGGAGCAGATGCCGGGGATCCAGTCGACGAACTTGACGTGCACGTTGGAGCCATTGCGCGAGCTGTGAGAGAAGGCCGCGGCGTCGACGAGGAAGAAGAATCCGAGGGAGAACTATAGACACAAGAAAAAGTGATTAATGATTTATTTCTTTCCGGCGCGATTTGAATGAGATTGGGAACTTTGAAAGTGCGAAAATAATAATAATGATAACAACAGACTCATGCGCTTAAGCGACATAGTCACGACATACCAATGCACCAGCAGAATAGACACCCGCGATGCGGATGTTGGAGTTGTTGAGCCATTCCGGCTTGGAGAACCGCCACAAGCGGTTATCTGAGGGATCCATGGTGCGGTCGCCAAGGAAGACAATTGCTGATACTGAGGTACAAGGAGGTTTCGAGGTCAGATGGGGCTGAACAGACAGACAGCTCTCTGAGTTGGATGCCTGTTGCGTTCCCGATGATGAGGTCGGGGTAGCAGACCAAGGCGGTTTAGCGTGGTTGGGAGCAACGCTCTTACATAATCTAAATGTGACATTATTCTCAATAACAGAACAGCAATCGTATCAATAAATTGATGGCAATTGGTCAAATTAGTAGGATTTCTATGTTGTGTTACTGGAATGGATTCAGCCTATGCATGACTTTTTCCGGCTATTCTGTCTCGTTCTCACTAACAATTATCAAATTGATATCATTCTGTCTTTGTAGATGGTCTTTTCGTCACTGGTATTGTACATACATACATGTACATTAATAAATCACTCGTGGGTAGTCCAGTGAACATCGTTCATATGTAGCCCAAGGACAATGGGTATCATCAAGTTCATCCAGCAAAATGGACATACAACACTAGTGTGATTTCCGGATCCGATAGATCTAGCAGATGTAAAGCCGCGTCAGCTCAATATCAAGAACTGCAAATGCTTTTGCAAACAACGCGACTCCTGCAACGGTACCTCCGAGTCTCTGCCATCACTACCGTAAGCAAGGCAGGACGTGAAGGATGTAAGCGGCGAGCGCTCTGCAATTCAGGTTTTTGTGGACGACGCAGCTTCCCACATCGCTACCCACAATTCGCATGATCAGGTGTCCTGACTCCCCATACTTCATTCGCCGGCATCACCTGCCAAGCGCCCGAAGAATTCAACTCTTGTACCCAGGATCTGCCATTCATGAAGACTCAACAGGGTGCGCCTTGAGTTTATCCATGATAGCGTCCACAGCTTTCATGTCTCCGGCATCGACTCGGTCTGCTGGGGCATACCCTGCAGGTAAATGTTTGACAAGCTCGTCCATGGCAGGCTGATAATTGCGCACTGCGGAAGACAGAGCATAGATGGCTTTTCTGCGGACTTGGGGGTCGGGATCAGAGGTTGAGAGAGAAAGGAGGGTCGGAAGAGCGTTGAGAACAAGGAGCTGTGCAGAGGAATTAGCATCTGTTCCTGTAGGAGGCCAATACATATCAAAACAGCATGACTTACCTTATCCTGACCCTTCTGGTTATTCTGCACGGCTGTACCAACGCACCATGCGGCCATGCGCCGCATGTCCGGTTCCTTGTGCTGGAGGAGCCCGATGAGAGGCGTCCACAGCCCCAACGGTTCCATGTTGTTGGCATTATCAATCGTCTCCACCAGCTGCTCGAAGTTGTCGAAGGCGATCAGCTTGTTTTCCAAGTCCACCTCATCCGAGAGCAGAGCGGCCATGGATTCCTTCATCAGTTCGGCATCGGAGGGACCACCAAAAAGAGCTGCCAGAACCTCCGGATCGAGACCACGAGTTGACGGCGGAGGCGCCGACGAGGGATCATTGGAATCTGTTGGTCGTCGGGCGGCATCCGAATTCTCAATACTCCACTTCAGGAGATCATTCATGCGAGGATCCATTTTGCGGTGGATGGAATTCAAACGAGGGCAAATATTTGCCAAGCAGAAATTCGTCTGTTGAGATATAGCGCCAGATTCCTTGGAGGAAGGGAGTGAAGAACAAGGAAGACGGATCTGCTTTACAGAATTGGATGAGTGATGAAAAGTATGTAGCTTGGATTTCGCATCTAATGTTGTATCTCTAAACTACTGACTACTGTGACGTTTTCTCGCTCTCACGACCCATAGTAGGTTCGCGCGGCAGCGGTTTCCTTCCACGCCCTTCCACTGCCAAGAAGCGCCTTAGTCAGCACTGTGGCGTTGTGGCTCAGCAGACCACAGCGTCGTGTCCCAGTTCTGTGGAAGTATCAATGTCATGAATTAGGGAGGATTCAGAACGGCAGCGGCATGTAGTTTGGTCCATACTAACTCCTTTTTGTCTTTTTGTCCCGGAGAACCTGCCTTGATGAATATCTCCGACATTGTAATTCTGCTGCTGCCACCGGCATGCCCCGCCAGCTGTGGCTGGAGCTCCCGCCAGCAACCCCGCGCCAGCGCACGCTCACCCTGCCGCGGATGTGCAAAATGGCGGTAAGCGGCAATCTCTGGCTGGACCTCGCAGGCCATGTTGCCCAACGACCCTTTGTCAGATTCCGCCGGGCACCCGACGACTCGCTAAAGATGCACAATGGACATCAATGTCGAATAGGAGGGAGATAATGTCACCTGCCACTGGCTGCGCGTCATCAGGATCAGGCAGGACGCCGTGAGGATTGGGATATCCAGCTGCCTGGACACGCAGAGCATTCTTGGACGGCAAGGACGTCTGTCGTCCGCAATGAGATACTGTTCTGCCTTTTGTACTCGTAAGCTGTTCTAGTCGACAGGAATTAGAGACGCAGCACGAAATAGGCAGCCTTGATCCCGCCGTTGGTATCTTCAAGGCGGTTTCCCAATGTAGGATCTGGCGGTCGTTTGCCTCAGCGCTTCCGCCCTGGCGGCCCCACGACGCGCAGGCCTGATGCCAGCGTTGCGGCATCCCGAGGCCCGCACTATGGGGTACGAGCAGGCCATTCATTACTGTTCTGCCTAGTTGTCCGGAGTACGTGGCAGCGGAGGGTTCTACGGTTCTGCTGGACGCGGTAGCAGGAGTGGAAATCAGCAGCAGAAAGAGGCCTGGCAGCCGTGGGCCGCTAGTGGCTCGCCAGGCGTCCAAGACGTCCCACCGCGGGCAGCGCAGCACCGCCAGGGAAGCCCGAGAGCCCCCAGCGCTGGCCAGCGTCAGGCGGCGCACACCAGAGGCTGCTAGTGCTGCCCCCCGTTGCCCACCCTGCCACACCGGCACCATCACAGCAACCTCCCGACCCAAACTCGGCTCGACTCTCAACATCTCCACCGTCGCGATCGCTTCTTCTCTTTTCCCACCTGTTTATCATCCACCTCCCTGGACTGTCGTCCTCCTCCCCGTCCTCCTCTCTCGATCCTTCTCAGACCACCTCTTTTCGACTCTCCCTTGCGTCTTACTCCTTTTTTCTCGTTTCCCTAGTCCACAACCGTCACCATGGAAGGTATGCCTTTTCCCTGTTTATGACACCTCAGCCGCTTCTGCCAGCACCCCGGCGCCACTGCCCCGGCGCAAAACACCTCGCCCTGATGGATGCTGACTTTTCTGCTCGTTACAGAGGAAGTTGCTGCCCTCGTTATTGACAATGGGTATGTCTCCCACACTGCCATCGGCCAGCCCTGGGTGGTCTCAGCCTGCTTGCCCACCGTGCTGCATTATCATCGCCATGGCTCCCCTCATTCTAGGCCTATCGATCCACGAAGGCCATCAGCCGTCCAAGACACCTCCTCCAAGGATGAAGCCGGACAGAAACTGATAGATTGTGTCTAGTTCGGGTATGTGCAAGGCCGGTTTCGCCGGTGACGATGCACCTCGAGCTGTTTTCCGTAAGTTAACCCCACGAATCGACTGCTCCCCTTGCCAGGTGCCCTTGCATAGTGGCTCCTCAGCCTCGTGCTGGCCCTGTAAAACGTGCATTACTGACAGCTCGCATAGCGTCCATTGTCGGCCGTCCCCGTCACCATGGGTATTTTCCCTTCCACTCCCGGCCGCATTCCCCCGCGAAAGAATGTGGTGAAACTAACTAGCCCCGTAGTATCATGATTGGTATGGGCCAGAAGGACTCGTACGTCGGTGATGAGGCACAGTCTAAGCGTGGTATCCTGACCCTGAGATACCCCATCGAGCACGGTGTCGTCACCAACTGGGATGACATGGAGAAGATCTGGCACCACACCTTCTACAATGAGCTGCGTGTCGCGCCCGAGGAGCACCCGGTCCTTCTGACTGAGGCTCCCATCAACCCCAAGTCCAACCGTGAGAAGATGACCCAGATCGTCTTCGAGACCTTCAACGCGCCCGCCTTCTACGTCTCCATCCAGGCCGTGCTGTCTCTGTACGCCTCCGGTCGTACCACCGGTATCGTGCTCGACTCCGGTGATGGTGTCACCCACGTCGTGCCCATCTACGAGGGTTTCGCCCTTCCCCACGCCATCTCGCGTGTCGACATGGCTGGTCGTGACCTGACCGACTACCTGATGAAGATCCTCGCCGAGCGCGGCTACACCTTCTCCACTACCGCTGAGCGTGAAATTGTCCGTGACATCAAGGAGAAGCTCTGCTACGTCGCTCTCGACTTCGAGCAGGAGATCCAGACCGCCTCCCAGAGCTCCAGCCTGGAGAAGTCCTACGAACTGCCTGACGGCCAGGTCATCACCATTGGCAACGAGCGTTTCCGTGCTCCGGAGGCTCTGTTCCAGCCTAGCGTTCTGGGTCTTGAGAGTGGTGGTATCCACGTCACCACCTTCAACTCCATCATGAAGTGTGATGTCGACGTTCGTAAGGATCTGTACGGCAACATTGTCATGGTATGTATATCCTTCGTTTTCTGCTTTGTGTGTTCGCAAAGGCGGAATAATGACTGACTCTTGTCTCTTTAATAGTCTGGTGGTACCACCATGTACCCTGGTATCTCCGACCGTATGCAGAAGGAAATCACCGCCCTTGCCCCGTCCTCCATGAAGGTCAAGATCATCGCTCCTCCTGAGCGTAAATACTCCGTCTGGATCGGTGGTTCCATCCTGGCCTCCCTGTCCACCTTCCAGCAGATGTGGATCTCGAAGCAGGAGTACGACGAGAGCGGTCCTTCCATCGTCCACCGCAAGTGCTTCTAAGGTACGAAAAGCAAACCGCTCCGCTTGGCTTCTTGACCTTCTTTTCTTCCTGTTTGTGACGGTCCTGACTTTTGGGGGGGTTGTTGTGTCCAGATGCGCCAGATGGTTGCTCGGTTGCTCGTTTATTCGTTGTTCCTTACCTGGTGTATCAAAATGTAAGTCGAATTACGATGGTGGCTGGTAGACCTCGAATTCGATCCATACGTGAGACTATTGAAACCTAGCGAACCCAAATAAATACTGTGGAAAATAAGAGAGAGAGAGAGACGGCTATGGAAGAATTTTCTTCTTAACTTTCGATCGTAAGGACTTTCTTTTCTACGCTGACCCGCTTAATTTACCACCTACGGGCAAGGAGGGACATTGCAGGAGACAAAAACAAATCAAAAAAAATTTTTTTACTATTAAAGGGCGAGCTTTGTTGGATGGAACGAAGTGCGTGGCGAAAGAAAAGGCATTACAATTATTTCTCCTATAGTTATATTTTTATCTTATTATCATTATCATCATTATCTTAAATTCTAGTACTTGTGCATTGCAGACAGTTTTTTTTTGCCCCTTGACTAAGTCCTTTCTGGACTTCCTACCAAGGTCGAATACGAAATAATACTCGAAACGAAACCAACAGAACGAAAAAAAAAAGGGACAGTGTGATATTACTATGTATAGTTATAGTAATACTCAGTACCTATTATATAGATCTGTAAACAGCGGAAATAGTTGAGATTGTGAGAGAAATTTCGAGCGAATACGGAGTATTAATTACCGGATATATAGGTTCTACTTCTTACATTGTATGTACCGTACATACTGTACATATCCTGGTGAGTAGATTAAGTAATTAATTAATTAATTTAATCGATCGATCAATCAGTTGATCAATATTCGAGTAAAAAAAAACCAAAAACATTTCAGCTAGAGGTTATTTATCTACATAGACAGTCATGAAATCTTTTTTCCTAGAGTCCTAGCCTAGCCTCCTCTCTCTCTTCCCTCATCTGTTTTGAATGTTAGTACTTCTGATTTTTATATGACATGGCATGCACGTATAATGTCTCTATCATTCTTCATCTCACGTTTTGGGGTAGGGGACTATAATCAATCCCATCTCTCCAATCCGGTCAAGATACAGCCCTCCTCGCCGTTACTCCGGATCTTCAGCTCTCCGACTCGGTACACTGTCTCGCCTTCCTTCTCGAGGATCTCCTGCACGGCAGCAACGCTGTCTTTGTCCACCACGAGGACCATGCCGACACCGCAGTTGAAGGCGCGCGACATCTCCTTGCTGGACACGTTGCCCGTCTTCTTCAGCCATTGGAATACCGGCGGCAGTTCCCACGTCGAGACGTCAATGTGGGCCGCCAGCGTCGGCGGCAGCATCCGCGGCACGTTCTCCACGAGCCCGCCGCCGGTGATGTGCGCCATGCCCTTGATGGCAGATAAGGTTTTGCTGCCGTCACGAGACGATACCTCGAGGGCTTTCAGGAGAGGCTTAACGTAGATGCGGGTTGGTGTGAGGAGGGCGGCACCCAGGGTGAGTTTCGAGGAAGACGAGAGCATCGAGAAGGGTGCCTCGTCCTCGTAGCGCAGGCCAGATCGCTCAACGATCTTCCGGATGAGAGAGTATCCATTGGAGTGCGGGCCCGAGGAGGCCAGGGCAAGCAAGACATCGCCCGGCTTCATGGAGGCCGTGTCGGGGAGAATGGTTCGAGCGTGTTCACCGGCCGTGTTAATGGCTCCCACTGCAGCTCCCACGGCATCATAGGCGCCATCGGTGAACAAGCCCGGCATCTCGGCTGTCTCGCCACCAATGAGCGCACACCCGGCCTGTACGCAGCCATCTGCCACACCGGATACGAATGCAGCAGCTGTATCGACTTCCAGCTTGCCGCAGGAGTAGCAATCCAGGAAAAAAAGTGGCTCCGCACCCTGCACAACCAGATCGTTGACGTTCATCGCAACCAGATCAATGCCGACGGTGTTGTGCACACCCACGGCGTGTGCAATTTTAAGCTTCGTTCCGACGCCGTCGATAGCGCCGATCAGGGTTGGGGAATGAGGATGGAAGGACGAGTTCGCCGCTGCAAGGGAGAAGGTACCTCCAAAGCCGCCGATGACAGCGTCAGAGCCCGGCCGGCGGGTGCGTGCCACGGACGACTTGATTCTGTTGACGAGATCATTTCCAGCATCAATGGAGACACCTGCGGCAGCGTATGTAAGACCCTCGCTGGGTTTTGCGGCGTCCCTAAAGGCCCGATGGGCGATATCCTTGCGGTAGAACATGCCCTCGAAGTGAATCGTGGAGATACCGACGTAGCTCTTGCGCACAGCCTCCTCAAGAGTTGGCGCCACAGCAGTGGCAGCAATAACGCGCCCGCCGGACGTTTTCAACACATTGTCGACGAGAGTAGTTCCCGCATGGAAAATCATGGTGTCCTCTGGGACCGGATCCAACGTGATAGGACGGCCCTTGGCGTACGACCCGGGGTATCCCTCTGCCACTGCGATGACGGTCGTGGAGAATTTGGGTTCGACCTTAATCGTTACGCCGTCTAACCAGTGCTCCGTGCAGGCGACCATAATCTCCGCCAAATCCGTGTCGTCGCTTAGCAGCGGGAGAATGGTCTGGGTTTCGGGGTCTCCGCCTCGAACATTGTATTCAAGGACCTTGGGGCCATTCTTCGTCATCATCAGACCAGTGAAGAGGATACCCACGAAAGGAAAGCCTAGTTCGTCAAAGTTAGATTAGAGGAGGAAAATGTAAGATATACACACGAACCTTCTCTTCTCATTCCGTTGATCGTGGGCTGGACTATGACCCGGTCAATTTCTTCCAGGGCCTCCTTCGAAGCAATCCGCGTCGGTGCATAGCACCCCATGCCTCCTGTATTTGGTCCCTTGTCACCGTCAAATACGCGCTTGTGGTCCTGAGCCGGCGGAAGCGATTTGATTGTGTAGCCGTCACTGAAGGTCAAGATGCTCAGCTCATCTCCCTCAAGGTATTCTTCAATGACAACTTCATCGCCCGCTGCACCAAACTGGCGGTCGAGCATGATCTCTCGTAGTGCGGCGTGTGCCTCCTCCTTCGATGTAGGAATGATGACGCCTTTCCCGGCAGCCAGGCCGCTGGCTTTGATGACCACGTCGTGGGTGACGGAATCGAGGTACTTCCGCGCAGCTTCATAGTCGGTGAAGTTCTCGTACTGTGCTGTTGGAATTTGGTGGCGTTTCATGAAGTCCTTGGCAAAAGCTTTAGAGCCTTCCATGCGAGCGGCAGCCTTGGACGGGCCAAAACATCTGATTCCCACTGTTCATGTACATTAATACGGTATTTACTACTTAGGCCTATCTTTGAGACATGGACGCAACATACCAGCTTGAAAGTAGCCTTGAATGCCATCCACCAGGGGCGCTTCGGGCCCAGGAACGACAAGATTGACATTGTGCTTCTGCGCCAGTGCCACCAGACCTGGGTAGTCATCACCTTTCACGTTGGCATTGACGATCTTAGGTGAGGTTCCCAGTCCGGTGCCGCCATTGCCCGGAGCGACATAGACGATGTCGACCGAGGGAGACTGACTCAGCTTCCAAGCAAGGGCATGCTCACGACCGCCGTTGCCGACGACGAGGACGCGCAGCCTTTCTTGGAGCATCTTCGACGTGGCGTTGACTCAATCTGGAACAATCGCTGTTATTCAATGTAATTAATACGGGATTTTAACGCTCTTCAACGGCCAGAAAAAAAATCCATACAGCAGGCGTTAAAGAAACGAGCAATGCAAGTAGATAGAAAGTATCAAATTTACATAATTCAAACTCTGAAATTGGGCCAATATCAATATCAAGACAAGACCGTATCAGCAGTATAGATGAAGTGATATCGCTACATGGGGAATCCTCGGAGGGGCATGAGCCCTAACCCACTCGCGGATTGCAGCAGCAGTTCGAAAGCAATCACAACGATTCTTCACAAACGGCCAAAAACGATGTCAACGCTTGACTCACCTTGTCAGCAACAATCGAGGAGCAATTGCCAGCGAACGAGCAGGTGCAATGGCAGGAATGGGCTGCCCGCATCTGGAAACTTTTTCTCTGGCGCGGCAGCTGCGTTTCTCCGACCCCGCCATCGGAGGGACAACGGCGCCCCGCCTGATGGCTTGCACGTGACTCCATTTCTATTCCGGGAAGTAGATACAGAGTATGGAAATACGGAGTACACAAGAGAATACAAAATTCAAATACACATTTCACTGTGATCAGTAGTGGATTCATTCCTAATTATACCTGAAAACGAGCATACAAGTTCCAAGGAGCGGTGGATCCTTTGGTCATAAGCCAGAAAACTACAACTTAGTTGACCTCACTTCTTATGGATATGTTTTCACGTTTTTATGGCATTTCTGAAATTTCGAGAAACAGGCCAATCTTCACAGAAATCAAAAAAAAAAAAAGAGAGAATGTTAGCATCCAAAAACAACACAATCTCTGGCAATGTGCCTCGTCAGTGTGTACCAATACACAAAAACAACATCGACTGCATTCTAAAATATACCACTCTTTAACAAACTTTCAATGACGCCATCCTCCTGAGCATCCACTTATTCAATCCAGGGGAAACTTTCAACTGAAACACCCTCGTCCTGTTCTGCGCTGCATTCAGTAATCCAAGGGAAGCTCTCAAATCCGCAATAGTTCGTTGTGACTCAGATATGAGTGTGGTTTTGGGAGGCATTGGAATACGCCTGGTGATTCTGTACGGTGCCTTCCAGCACCCGGACGGGGGCATCGTTGGTCCATCCAAAGACAATAGCGTAAACGATGCCCTGGCACTCTGGTGAGAGTTAATCAGATTATCCTGGTCGGCCACGTCCTCATCGAGTGTAGAGTTGGCATTGCTAAGGGAATATGCGCAGATAACGACGGGTAGACGCGCAGCATCTATGTCTCACGTGGGAGAGATGCATTCCAGAACGACGACCGTTTATACAGAGGTAAGATTTCTCATTAATGGAATCGAATGCGCGTCAAGGAAGGTTATGAATGCTTGCTTCTGATTGGTACCCGTGAGCTGAATTCTCAGCGAGTTTCCATTGGCTGCTTGTCGAGAAAGGGGCACACACGGCTTAGCCTGTTCGGGCAGGCGGTGTGGCCAGCCTTAGGCGCGTCCGCGAGCCTACCGAAAGGACTCCAAAAAAGTTGCTGGCGACGCTGGAAAAACTCATTGCTCCTCGCGCAGTGTCTTTCCTTCCCCGGGCTTCTGGATCGTCGATTCGTGAGGCATATTTCATGTCTATTCTTGTCCCCAGTCAATTGCCTCTCAGGTGTGTCTGAATGTTTCGGCGTTCTTTGCGGTCTGTTTCAGGCCCGCTCCGCAACCATGTTTGCCGCTCGTGTCTCCTAGCTCGCGTGATCGAGAATCCCATCCAAGACGTTCGGTTCTATACAACTGCTCCCTTCGAGTCTGGACCGAATGCGGAGTCACCCCCGAAGCCGCATGCATCCATCAGTTTTAACGATACAGATCTCGTGCGTACCCTGTCACTTATTTTTTGGTTCTCTTCGAATAGCAAAACTTAACTCCCGTCTCTCGCCCAGCAAAAAACTCCCACATCTGAGAACAATGCACTCACGGGTCGACATCGACGACAGGAGTCAGGGACACGCGGTCGCTCGGGACAAAATAATAGCTCGCCCACTAGACGGAACAGAAAGGTATCCGGCAAACTCAGCTCGAATCCGACTGTCCAAGAAAAGAGAGCGAAGCGCCAAGTTGCAAAGCAAAGAAAGGTGGCGAGCATAAAGAAAAAGGCCGCAAGAAAGAAGGCGACGCAAAAACGATCAACTCCCAAGCAACGTGAGACTACACTAACCGCAAAAGCTCGCTCGCAAAGACTGATTCGATTAGTACCAAGCCGCCCCCCGAAAACTCTTCCTTCTAAAGAAACTGCTTCCCGGAAAGAAATACAAGCAGCATTTTTCGAGGTTGACGATGATATAAAGCTGGCACACTTGTCGGCACTGGTGAAGGAAAAGCATAGTGGCTTCCTGCATTCTGATGAAGTTTCCGTCACTCGTAAGAATCTCAAAAACCCGGCCCGCATCTTGACACTTCTGGTCCTGACCTTATTTCAACAGCGCTCGCTATAGAGACTGCGCCAGTGCCGAATTTGTCTTTCGGACTTGACAGAGTCCTATTCAAGTAAGGCTATTTAGCTATGGATGAGGTTGTGAGGGATAAAGCTAATACGCCTCGCCAGTCCCGGCGTTTATCACCTCCGAGACCCGCGATCACGGGTTTACAATTTTGACCCCTATCTAGGTTCCATCATGCCTGTTTCCGAGTTCGATTTTACCGCGCTTAAGGAGTACATTACTTCGTCTAGAGATGAGACGTTGCTCAAACTGGCTATAAAGGAAGGCAAAAAATATGTTGGTTCTTCCTCCAGCATGACCTCTGTCCTCTCTCACTTCCACTACCTGTTATCTGCCTGGCGTGCAATCAATATAGACACCCTCTCCCAGGGCTTCCCGGATAGATTGCGCTCCTTCACGCGGTTACTGAGAGCTCCTGCCGCCATGTTTTTGAACTACAAGGACGGGGTGTATGCGATCGATGCGGACAAAGAGTTCGACACGGCAAACATCCTCATGAACCTTGGCAAGTCCATGGAAAAACTCCTCACCTCGTCAAAGGAGAAATATGAGCGTTACCGGAGGTCGAGCACCAACAAGATCACAGCGGAAGAGGAGAAGGCGGTTCCGGAGTCCTACCATTATTCAACGATGGGGGATTTTCTCATGCGGTCTCAGCTTGACGCCTACGACCCCCGACTTCCCGGGACTGGTATGTTTGACTTGAAGACAAGAGCCGTAGTCTCTATCCGAATGGATTCCAAGAACTTTGAGAATGGTTTGGGTTACGAGATCAAGGGCCGATTTGGAGAGTTTGAGTCGTATGAACGAGAGTACTACGACATGATCCGGGCTGCTTTCCTGAAGTACTCCCTTCAGGTGCGGATGGGCCGCATGGATGGAATCTTCGTGGCTTTCCACAATGTGGAGCGCATCTTTGGGTTTCAATACGTCAGTCTGCCAGAGATGGACCAGACGCTGCATGGCCAGAGCGACACCACCCTGGGCGATAAAGAATTCCAGTTCAGTCTGGCCCTGTGGAACACCATCCTCAACAAAGCCACCGCCAGGTTCCCGAAGCAGTCTCTGCGTTTTCACTTCGAGACGCGTGATGCACAAACTCCGTTCATGTACATATTCGCGGAACCGGTCACGGAGGAAGAAATCGAGGCCATTCAAACGAAAAACAAGAAGGATATTGAGGAATTCCAGCGACGTGTCTTGAACCTCGAGCCTAGGACAGACGGCGAATCTTCTGCTGATTCGTCTACAGAGCCGTCAACAGAATCACCAGGAGAGATCTCTTCGCCGGGAGAATCGGAGTACGTTAATCACGACACCACAGAAGCACCAGCACCGGCAGCAGAAGGGCAGGGAGAACAACAACAACAAGAACAAGAACAAGAACAACCTCGTGACGTGTTCGCGATGTTGCTGAGCATCAGCAGCACCGTCAACGGCAGGCCCGTAGCCCGACCCACGAACCTGACAGCGGAGGACAAATGGACGATAGAGTACGAACTCAGCGAGATCCAGGGCCCCCAGGTATGGAACTACTACCAGGCATGCCAGAAGCGGCGCGAGAAGGCCTTGTCCGGCCGCGGCGAGGACGAGACCGAAGTCGCCGGCAACGCCTACCTCCGCAAACTGCGCGAGATCAGCAAAGCAGGCCGCGAATGGCGCAAGGAGCAGAACCGCCTAGACGCCGAACAAGGCATCGTCGTCCTAGGCGACCCCATTGCTCCTAAATCGTCATGATCCTTATCTTGACGATGATGATTATGTTTCTTTTCTTTTCTTTTTTTTTTGCACCCCGCATGCATGAATGCATGATATAATTTATCTTTTTTTTTTCTCATTTTGATGTAATGGACTGACTGTTTGTATGCTCCTGTACTGTACTGTACTGTATACCAGTGTCCTTGTTTGTACTTGTACTGCACAATCCATGCATTGCATTGCATTTGCATGTATCACAATCACATCTTACCTACCCACCCTATTGGAGCCTTTATTATTTCTTTTTTTTTTCGGGGAGGACTCTGGGACAAAAAGTTAAACTTTATTTCATGTCGGGTATCAATCAAATGACCTCTCGCTCGCATTGTGATATTTACCAGAAAAGGAAAAGAAAAGAAAATCACCGGTCTGGTTTGGTTTTTAGGGTTTGTTCACAAGGGTGAGAAGAGAAGAGAAGGAAGGGAAGGAAGAGAAGTGAGAGTAATGAATGACTTTGCTCGGGATCTTGTGTTATTCATATTTATTTTATAATTTTTTTCTACCGTGTTCATTTCACAGGCGCTACGGTGTGTTTTGTTTTGTGTTGCACTGTATATATATGTCTATACAGCTCATATATACGGTTTTTGTAAAATAAATGATAGACAAGTCTGGTTTCGATACTCAATGCCATTACATTATTAGGTCTTGTGACAAAGAGTCGAGCTCGACTGTGACACTATCTACAAACACATTGCTTGAACACATTTCTTCCCATAGCATAGCATAGGAAAGAATGATGATCTTCTTCTTATGCATGACATGAGTGTTTTTTTTTTGTACAGGTCGCAAGAAGAAAAATGAGCCGAGCACACTCAAAACTGGAATCCCTCAGCATATTGATCATCTCAATCCGGGGTCCTTCATGAAGGTCAGACTGCCTCCGCCAAAAAAGGGAAAAAAAAAAAGGAAAAAGTGAGAGAGATTCCGCAAGTGCGCCAGAAACCCCCAAACCTTATTAAAAACCTGATAGCACCCGGAAACACGATGGAAAAAGGAAAAATGACAGAGACGGCAATGGTATCACGCTCGCTCGAAACAGGATGAGAAAACCAGATGTAGTAGGGCTGCCAGGCGAAAATGCAACGATAAGAGGCGGCTTCAAGTATTCACATGTCGGAAATCGCGGATTAGGAGAAAAAGCGGTACGATCGAGATCGGGGAATTAAGACAGAAAGACAGTCTTCTAGCTTCAATTTCAGCCGTGAGACATGAAGAGGATTCAAGAAAATTGCCAATGCGCAGATCAGAAGTCGGCTTCTATGCACAAATGAAGGGGAATTATTTCCAAAGAAGAGCGGGCGTATGTGCGGCTGTGGCATGGTTCACAATTCTGACTCGCGGATATTAGCGTTATTATGCCGTGAATTCGATGTCGACAGGGGAAAATCAATGGTCTTTTTTTGTGTTCGTTCCACTTTTGCTCATGAAATCGTGTTGCAGATGACATGAAGACTTCGCACTGTTCTCACAGTTCCACCTGCGGCGGTGACCAGATAATACGAGGCGGTTCGTCGCTCGTGACATAGGTTTCTTTCGACTCCGGCTCCGACTCTTCAAACCCATGAATCTGGCGTATTCCTCTGATGGCTGATGGACGACCACTAAGCAATTTTCGCAACGAGGAAGTAGCCAAGCCGGTGGCGGTCCGGCCACTCGGTGCGCCTGTACCCGTACTCGTCGAGACGGTGCTGGTGCTATACTTGCTGCGAATGCTACCAGAGATACTACCTGCAGGCCCTATGGCGGAAACTGGGAGCGCGAACTGAGGAGAGGAGGTAGGGGCAGCAGCGTAATGTTTTGACTGAAGATTTGCCGATTTGCCGGACGAAAAGGAGAGCGGCGACGTAGGTCGATCCTGGGAGGCGGAGTCGGCAGCACCATCAAAAAAGACATCTGCGCGTTCTGACTGCAAGTTGGACATGGTTGCCAGGGGTGACGAGCAGTCAGAACTCTCAACAGTAGCCTCCTTCGTCTCCATATCAGGACTTTCAGTACGGGATTCGGGCTCCGGTTCTTCAGTATGCGAAATCCGTTCAATTATAGATGTATCTAGGTCGAGTTTGCCGATCCCTTCCAGCAGCACGTTCAGGCTTCCTGCTGCAGTTGGCCGTTCATAACTGACGGTATCAACCTGGTCACGACCTTCCGCTTCCCCTGGCTCCAATGGGAGGCCATGCGCGAGACAGTAGTTTCTGTACAGATACCGTCGCAAGCGAGTCACTTCATTATCCCACTTCTTATTGAGAGAGAGCAGGGTAGCTTCCACTTCATTGCGGAGGGATTCAGGAGCCGAAGGCGCATGCTGGGCTGAGTGCGAGCCTGCAAAAGCACCATGTGTGGGAGCATGATGTTTGGCTAATCTGTGGCCTCCGGAAGGTTGTCCGACTGCGATGGCAGCATGGATTGAACGACGGATCGAACTTGCGGTGGAGGCCGAGCTGTGGGCACTCGAGTCCCGGTGGACACTCTCGACTTCCCGGCGAACTTTCTCAAGGGAGTGATATCGATCCGAATCCATCGTCGGGAGATATAGGACGGATTTGTTGCGCTCCAGACCATTGACAAGGACCGTAAACGACTGCAGGTTGATGTCATTGTTCTCACAATACACCTCGCGCAGAGAGCTATTCTCTTCCAAAACCGAGGCCAAGGTATTGGCACCCTGCAAGCCCAACTTTTGATGCTCGAGCCTCAGCACCTTCAGAGATTTGTTCTTCTTCAGTCCTGTGAGGGCCTCGTTCAGTCCAATCCCGAACCGAGCAACATCCAGATGAGCGTATTCGCCACTAATATCCAACTCCTCCAACGTTTCATTCTCTTCAAACATCAATTGCAATGCTTTGCATGTTTCGGGCCCAGCGTCGTAAGGGAGTGACGCCTTTGAGATATCCAGGTACTTCAATGATGTGTTCTTTCTCATAGCTTCGATCAGTTCGCGGAAATGTTCCTCCTTTTTAAAGTCGATCATCCGCATCGACAGGTGGGTCGGACCCTTGTTCTTTGCAATGGCGTCGAAAAGAAGAGCGTAATCTGTATCTAGGCGGTTCTCGCTAACGTAGAGGTGTAGATCCCGAGGCTTTCCGCTTGCAGGGGTCATGGAGTGAAGGAAGATTGCTACATCCGTCCCTGTCAGGCCACATTGGTCGAAACGCAAGACACGGAGAGATGACGACCGGTCACTGGCAAGGTAAGCGGCAATGGACTCGACAGTTTGCTGGTTCACTGAAGTCTGGCTCAAGGAAAGCTCCTCCAACCGCCAATTGAGCAGGGTTTCGGGAGCAATCAGAGGCTCCGGTCCGGACGTTCGGGCGACGCGCGAGAGGTCGATCTTCCGGATCTGACCAAAGTAGCCAATCTGCTGCTGAAACAGCTCCGGACTGAGACGGCCCTGCACGCCAGCTATGTTCACCGCCTCGAGCGTGCTCTCCTGGGCGGTAAAGGTCGACAAGACGAGATCGAGGTCATGGACAGAGAGGCCACAGTTGCCGACTTCAAGCGCCCGGAGGTGACTCGCTCTCTGTGAGGCAGCGTCGACCAGGTAGTCCAGATCCGACTCGCCCAGTTTGATGCCATTGAGCACGATCCAATCCACATTCGTCAGCTGTCGTCGACATAAGGGAAAGATCGCTTCGGGAATGCCGCAACCGGGGTCACGAACTCCGCCGTCGGCGACCGGATTTCGCGTCAGACAGAACGAGAAGTCGAGCCGCCGCAGTCGTTTGCTCTTTAATGCCAATGCGCGAATTTCCTGAGAGAGCACCGACAACCGGTCCTGTCCAGCAATGTGTACCTGGGCTCCCGCCCGCGTTAGAAAAGCGTCAAGATCCAGGCCGTAAGGGTCTCGCAGATCTTGCAGAACATCCAGATTGATCCCGCTGAAAGAGATGGAGACAAAGGATTCGTTATAACGAAGTGCTCGCATCACGGCTAACAGCTCCAAGGCAGTGTAGCGCTGGCGCTCCTTGGTCGAGGGTGGCAGCAGCTTGAAGCAGGGAGCGTCCTCGCAGTCGACGTCGATCGAATAGCGAATGTTAGAGGTGTCGATGTCATGCTTGCCGAGTAGGCAATTAGCGTTCGATCAAAGCAGCCAAAGTCCTCGTTGAGATCTGCTGCCGGAATGATATCCTCATCTGCAATCTCCGGGGGCGCTACCAGATCGTACGGCTGCTTGAGCCACAGAGGACGCAGGAATTCCGTTCGCTGACGGATCCAGAGCACAATGTCCACCACGTGCACAGATGCCAAATACAGGGAGACTGCCGGACGAAGAGGCATCCTGATCACTCACGTCAATACTCAGTGGATATTACTTGGCAGATCCAGGAATAGAGAGAGGAGACTACTTACCGGAAGCTCAGCTGGAAGCTGTCGTCTCCGGAACTCATCCACAAGGAGGTCATTGTCATAAGTCCAAAGGACATTCCCATCTCCACCTCGTTCAGGGACACAACTGAAGAACGGCTGGACGCCTTATGTAGGGGAAGTAAATGAATCTTGTGAGCCCCGATGGCCAGATAGCACACGGTGGCCGACAGCTTGGCAAGATCATCGGAAGAAGCTCGACCGGATTGTTTGCCCGCCGAGCGTTGAACCACCCGAAAGAGGTGGAAATGCTCCGGCTCGTAATCCCGCTCCTGATCCAGCACTCTTGCCGCATAGTCAATCGTCCTCTGGTCGAACGGCAATGGATCCACTGAGCGGATCGATTCCGCCGCTGAACGGATGCCGATGAGCCAGAGATTCTGCTCTTCGGGATCTGCCAATTGAATGCCTAGGAAGGCCGCCTTGTTGGTTCGTTCATCAATATAGGAAAGCTCAATGGCGGCTTGACATCGACCATCCTCTACCCTGTAAACAGACACTATGCTGTTCAATGGGATACCCGCGATATCACTACCGTGGGCGGGATGTGTCTGCTCCTGTAGAGACGCGACCGAAACGATCGATTGTCGACTGACTGGCGTAGCACGTCCCGAAGAAGACGCGATGGTAGGAAAAAACTCCGACGCCTTGGCCTGGCTTTTGAACCGAACCAGGTGAGTGTCCGTCAAGACCAGATAGTGACTCTTCTTCCGCCACATACTTCCAGTTGTCTGGACCTCTCCGTGGTGTAGAACGACATGGCCTAGGGTGTTCCTGGAGGAAAAACCAGCGGCAGCAGTGACCTCCTCTTCGTCCACCGACGAACCCTTCGAACGGTGACCCAAGACGGACTTGTCCTCATCTTCCTGTGAATGCATCGAGCGCAGGGATCCAAAGACGGAGGCACGCTTGGAACGCTGAAACGACTTGCGCTGGAACTTGAAGGTATCCGAAGAGCCAGTGGGAGTCGAACAGGCACGGTCCATGAGCTCCGAGTCAGCCGTACCGGGACGCGGAATGGCCAACAACAAACCGCTCGCTCGAACCGGGCTAGGATTACGGCCAAAGAAGGCAGAGTTCCGTCGGGATTTCTTCTTCATGGTGTACGACCCGTCGGAGGAAGACCGATCGTGGACTTGGGCAGTTGCAAGAGAAGTGGAGGAAGAAAGAGAGGTGCCAAACATGCTCAGGCTCCTTCTCCGCTCCTTCTTGTCAACAAGTTTCTCAGCCATGGTGACTAAAAGCTCGGCGGAAGAGTCAGGCGGGGCAAGAGGTGTGAAAGAAGAGGTTGCTATGATCGACGACGACGGCCGGGGCGTCGTTTCTGCTACATGAGTCCAGACCAGGATTAACGGTCAACTCAAGCCAACCCAGGCTGAGAAAGAAAATACACAAGAAGGATCAATTGGGACCAAGCCACAGCCATACGGGGGAAGAGAAGAAGGGAGAGACAGAGGGAGAAGAAAGCCAGAGTGAATGCCTAAATGGATGAGAAATAATCGGGGTTCAGATAAGGAGCACCTACAGCACTGCTCACGGCGTCATGAGCGGCATGGATGTTTGCAATCAATCTGAATGACTAGAATGACTAGGAGGAAGATTTTCTGCTCGGTGGTTACCACAATTGTCAGGCTGCTGCCGCAGACGGATACAGAGGATCTGCAGGAATGATAGAAGAAATTGCCCAGCCCAGCAACAGCGGCATGAAGGCCAGGAACCAGGGAGATAGGAACGCTCAGAGTACCAACCGTCTGCAGGAGGGAAGTCTGGTTCACAGGGGCAGGACCACAGGAACAGAGAAAAACGGAGTTCTGAATGCGGATGGAAATAGGGAAAAGATGGTGGCACGGCGGTTCAAGCGTGCCTGCACGTTACGAAACAATGGAACCAGCCGTGAGGGGAGTGGATACGGGGATGGTATGATGTCAGTCTGCAAACGGAAAGCGGTTAATAGGGTTAACTAGAGGGAGCACCCAAGGGATGCTGCCATTACGTACAGTAAGGAGCAGGGGAAAAAAGAATGTGACCAAATGCGGATTGCACGATGAGAAGAGAAGAGAGGCCAGGAAGCGAGCGACACAGCGTGGGAAAGAACGAGCAAGAGACAGCAAGATAAGTATTACGGACAGCAAGGACGGACGGGCAGGATGGCTTGGGAAGGCAAGAGCAGCGAAGGTGGTGGAAGGAAGGAAGGACTGGGCTGGCCGGATGCAGGTACGCCAGTCCGACTCGGGCTAAGGCGATCAGGCCAGCAAGCGAGGCTGGCCACCCACCGCCCTCAGCCCCGCCACCCAAGCGTGCTCCCAGCCATGTCTCGGCGGCCCACGGCAGCGACTCGTCTGCCACGCGCCATATTATCGCCGAGCACTGAGGCAGAGGCAGCCTGGCTGCATCTTTGCATGTCACTTGACTAACCTGCTGCAAGAATGGGCTCATCACCCACATCAGCCCGAGCTCAGCAAGCAATGCAGTTCTCTGGTTGCTTATTCTGTCGGTCATCGTGTCTCGCATCCAATGGCCCTTCGTCACCAGGATGTGTCCTTATCTCAATTCAAGCCTGCACCGTCTGAACTTGTGCAATTGATGCGCAACGAGATGACGAAGCAGAAACCAGTTGGTGGGCCGGGCTGCAGTCCCTGCTAGGATGCTGGTTCCGTCATGCAATCAGAACGGATTATTGGAGACGGTGTGTACGCCGGCTACACAGTAATGAGAAAGCAGAAGTATTTGTAAACATCATCGCGCGGTTCTGCGTTCTTTCCCACGATGGATAATCGTATACCATACCGTGCGGGTAACGGGGAATCCCCGGTAGTGACCTCCGTCCATACAACTGATACACCTTGGTTGGTTTGTCCAGACAATCAGGTGATGATCGTGATTCGTGGTTGCGAGATGGAAAGAACACGCTTGTCCCATGGTTCTCGTCGACTCTTCCGCCTCGAGGAATATCCACTCCTCAACTCAATCTCAAATTTTCAGCTGCAAATCTAGCGCCATCCTGCAGAGCAATGCATTTCATCTGGGTTGTTTTTTTTTTTTGACCGCCTTTTTCGTTCACCCTGTGTCCCTTTCTCATCTTCCTCTCCAGTGGAAGGGTGTTCTTCATCACCAATACAAGGCATAGCTGGGGATAGAGACACCCTGGAAGAACATTGTAGTACGGAATATATTACTCCGTACTTGGAGACTCTGGAGTCGACGTAATCCACTCCACCCCCGTAGCCTAGAGACGCCCGTATATGCGCCGCGGAATGATGAACCGCCCAAGCCGCGCTGCCCTACTCGACTAGTCTTAGCCGCTACTCAAGAGATCTGCTGCTAGCCAGATGGCGATCTGGGTAGCTTCATAAAATTTTGCTCTCCCACTGAGGCCTTTTCACACAGCTCGTGCTTTTTTTTTTCAGCGGGAGGCGTAGAGAGCAGAGACAAAGCTTCACTCTAATATTTTTCCTGTTTAGAAGTTACCTACTAGATATAGGTATTACTTCGCTTTGTCCTTTCACTGTGCTTTAAGTTTTGCTAAACAATGCCAAGTGCAACCTAGGAAGCCTAGTCGTGGCTAACTGTGGCTTGGTACTTGGTAGCGGAACTTTGGTCGAGTGCCTGTATTGTGGACTCCGACGACCAGCACCGGAAACCCGATGCGATATCCAATGGATCTAACCAGACTATACAAAGTACATACATGAAGGTTCCTAGCACCTACCTCCAAACCTTAGGTACTGTTCATGCACTCCTGGCGCCAAGCCCAGATATAGAGCGCCAATCGCTCACCGTACCAACGACTCGGTACGTGGCTTTGCTAGTAGGATGAGTTGTCTCCTGCACGAAAGCCAATGGCTGGCTGATCGCCCTCGCGGTCTGCTCTCGACTACTCCGAAACCTCTCTCTGGCTCATCGTTCGCTCCGCTCGTTTCAGCTTTCGGAGGGCGTCCAAATACTCCTTAACCCGCTTTTCCGCCCACACACAGCCACCCAATGTCATAACGGCGATCTGGAGGAAGGTCTTGAACTGCGGGGTCAAGCCTCGATAGATCCGGGAAGCCGGCGCCAGACTTTCGGAGAGCGAGGCGAGAGGTCGGTAGACAAAGTTGTTCCGGATGGAGGCTGGTGAAAAGGAAGAGGGTCTCCGAGGAGGCTGTTGCGCCTCGGCTGCAGCCGGCGGAGCGGTGGTGTCAAAGGTGAAAGGGTGCGGCATGATCAAAATCATATGGGCGAGAATAGACATGGCGCCAAACTATCAGGTCGATAACAGCAGTCAGTCTGCAATCTCCTTCAGATAAACCTGGCAGCAATGGAGAAGCGTGATGCTGCAGACGAGCACGCTTGAGAGACATACACGCAGTGCGCCAGTAGCAAATCCCTTGACCGCCTCTGTGGTGACCTGTTCGGGCGGTTCAATCTCCGCCCGCTGATTTGAAGGAGGAGGCATGCTGTGTGAAGGATTTTGGCCCGCCGGTTTCTGCAATTGATAATTGATCGTTCGCAATATAAGCTTTACTGGATGGCGTCTTGCGTTGGTGGGCGCAGATCGAAATTACCAGGCTCGCGGATCCAGCGTTCCAAGACGACTCTATAACTACACGGGCAGCTGCAGCTTGCTGCCACCACCAATCGTGGGTGATCGATGCTTAATGCCCAACTTGATGCCGTGCCGGATGCAGACCGCAACTAGACAGATCTCCGTATACAAGGAGGAATTCGGGATGCCGCGGCGGTCTGCCAGATCGCTAACGCGAAGCCGCAGGAACCAAATGAGAACGATCACTTCGATCTAGGGCGGTCTCTTCGTGCTGAGGATGCAAGACGAAGGGTTAACAACAAGCAGCTGGTCCAGCCAGGGAATCTGGATGCATTCCAGCTCTTCTCGCGTAGAATTAATGAAGATGTCTGTCTATCAAGATTGTCTTCGTTCTGTTCCGACGTAACTCGCCGCGCCTTATGTAATAACGCCAGGAAGCGCTTCCGCGCGCCTTCCAGATCCATCCAATGGGAGATATCCCCGATCGACCAACCGCAAGGAAGCAAAAAAAGAGGCCGACCGTCCGGGGAACAAGTCAATCAATCTTGAATTAGGCCAGGTCGTCGACAGTGTCTTCATTGGTTGTGGCCAATTGAGAAACTAACACTGTGTCCTTCAACAATTGATTGAATTCTCAATTGGACTTGCATTTCCTTTTCCTCCTCCCTTCAACGTCCGTACCAATGGCCAGCTCTCTACCCCGCCGGACCGTCTCCATCTCCCGCATCACCAACGAGACCAAGATCCAGGTCTCGCTGTCCCTCGATGGAGGCGCCCTGCCCCCGTACGAGGAAAGCGAGCACTTCCCCGCCCCGGAATCCCCTGAAGAAGCGGCGGCTGCGAAGAGCGGGATTGTCCCGGACAAGGATGCGCCTCATGCCACGCAGTTCACCGCCACCCAGCAGATCACGATCAACACAGGGATCGGGTTCCTGGACCACATGTTGCATGCCCTAGCTAAGCACGCGGGCTGGAGTTTGGCCATCCGCGCCAAGGGAGATCTGTACAGTATGCTTTGCCTACCCCTTACAGTTATCAAGACAAAAATCTCGAATTAACGAATTCGTTTTGTCTAGTTGATGACCATCACACCACCGAAGATACTTTCCTCGCACTGGGAACGGCCTTCACGAAAGCTCTTGGGGCGCGTACATCGCTGGCGCGCTTCGGACGGGGCGACGCGCCACTGGACGAGGCCCTCTCGTGGGCGGTCATCGACCTGTCAAACCGGCCGTATGCAGTGATCAACCTCGGCTTCCAGCGGGAGAAGATCGGGGCCCTGAGCACGGAGATGATAACCCACGGGCTGGAGAGCTTTGCGCAGGCGGCGGGTGTCACGCTGCATGTGGGCTGCACGTACGGCTCCAACGACCACCACCGGGCCGAGAGCGCGTTCAAAGCCTTGGCCGTAGCCATTCGGACGGCGTGCACAAGGAGAGTGGCTGGTGAGGTTGGGGCAGGCGATGTAGTCAGTACGAAGGGGGTGTTGTAGGTGACTTTGACCGAATAGCGCTTCACGTCGCCATCTGAGATGGCAAGAGAACAGAAAATCTTTTTATATGATGATGATATCCAACCCATATACTCGTATGTATGTGTCATAGACAGTTTTATTCTTATCAACTGCTTTCTTCTCTGTCATTCTGTATAGAGTATGCCTTAGAGTGTGATGATAATCTTGACGTGTGGCTACTTTGGGTAGTTAGGTATCTATACATCGATCAGCAAGCAATTAAAAAAAAAAAGAAGCTCACACGTTAACTCGGTGATGCTAAGTACAGGTACCCGTACTGACGTGGATGTGTATATGTACTTATCTATGCACCTACAATGATACCGTGCATGTGACCTGTCTAGCTACCCAGGTACCGTACAGGACATATGCAAGCAACAAGCGAATAATGCACTGCACATCCATTACAGCAATCTCTGCTTAAGCGAGTCTAAATAGTGGTGCAGGAATACTGTCCAGCAACCAAATTCCAGCCTCTCGAACTACGCAGCTGTAGTGAACTGTTCAGCCATCCTCGCAGCAAGGCTCGAGTCCCAGACCCCCTCCTTCCGATTACAGACTAACAGCAAGTGCAGAGCTTGAGCGCGAATATCTCGCCGAGGACACCAGGCACACACGACAAACAACGGCATTACAATCCCCAACCCCGTCACATACGTGGGTCGAAACATGGTGCCCGTCTTTGGGAGAATTACCCTGGGAAATCCATGCGACGAGTGTGTGGCTGGTTTGGATCTTTCTTGATACAGCAGCTCCCGTGAAGACGAAACCGGTGTCGCGTCTGGCGGAATGCCCAACAGCCTGGAGGAGCTTGACGAGACAGATCCCAGATCCATATGTGATCGAAACGCAGGCACTGCTGGATGTGACGTTCGATGAAGATGATAATTTGGAAGCTCCCCAGAGTTGCCCTCCAGATTAGGTGCCTGCTGTATAGGAATCGCAGTGCTGACAAGATGCAGAAAACCACTGGCTAAAGATGTGATCGCCGCAAATTCTGGACAAAACTCATCAAAGTTTGGTTTCTCCGCTCCCAGATTTACGTGAAGAATGATGACGACCAGCTTGCGATACAGTTGTAATAACGTAGCGTCTGCGCCCAGTTTGGCATCTCGCTCATCGTCGAGTGCTCTGTCCAAAGCCAAGCACCACTGCTGGAAATGCTGGACAAACCTAGCGCGTCGAAGCTCGTCCTGTTGTCTTATTTCAGCGGAAACATGTGTTCGCAATGCTCCTTCAGCGCTCCTCAGGAAACGCAACAACTTATTCAAATACTGATTCATTGACAACATTGCGTGACTGAGACTGGCGAACTTGAGTAGCGGCTGCCCCTTGCACATGCCCGGCCGTGGCAGGGCTCTCTCACTGGGCAAAGTATAGTCGAACTCGAGAGCTTGTGTTTCCATGCGAACGAAGAGCTGCCTCAGCAGCCATCGCGGAATATATGCGCCATCGATAGCGGAGCCTGTTGCCATATACTCTGCCAATAGTTTGACGCCTCCACACAGATGGGTCATGGCAGCCTGAAAGTCACCGCGGAGGCACTCGAACGAGAAAAAGATGACGCAAATCAACAGGATCACGTCTCCAGCCTTGGTCGCGTCTGAATAGTCGAGCCGGAGGATATGACGAATGGCATGATTATATTGCCGCAACGCGAACTCTTCCAGCTGGCCGAGAGAAGTGGTATAGTCCTCGTACAGGGCACTAACAGCGACCAAGGCATGTCGAATGGCGCTCTCGTGGGTCGCAACCATCACGAGATATCTTGACCAGAGCTCAGTGCAGAAGGAGCCTGGAAGCTCCTCGACCACGCGTTCTTGGAAGAAGGCTAGAGACCGCATCTCTTGCCAGTCTCTATTTGCTGTCAGGATGGGATCCGAGACATAGTGCACAAACCCAAGGGCTTTCTCTCCGCTGTCTGCATAGCCGCATGGCCGACTACTTTTGACGCAGCGTTGACATCGTGGTCGCGTCAGATCGCATTTTATCCGACGAGATCTAATCGATGATTAGACCTGCTATCTATACCACAAGCAGAGATCTTGTGACATCACTTACTTGCATGTTACACAGCCAGAGCGGGTTCTGGAAGTGCCGTGCCTCAGTCGGCGAGAGTCAGTCTGTCCGACCATGGAGAAAAAGAGGTCCCACACCGGAATCAAGAAGGACACCAGCGATGGTCCATGGCTACCTGCTGATAATTTATTCAGTCTGATGAGCGGCTACTAATCACTGACAGTCAGATGGAGTGCAGGCAGATACGGATTACGGAGCACTGTACTAGAATACGCCGTCTTGCCGACCTCATTCCAATATTATTAATATGGAGTATTGATAACCGCTGGGAAAGCCTATTTAATTTAAGCTTTAGCCCTAACCGCCAGCAAGCTAGGATCCTAACGAGTGTCGGTACTCGGGAGTCGGTAGGAGTCAGATCTGACCGATGGCACCAATGAGCACTGAGCTCGTATGCGCTAGCCGTTTTGGATGAAGGATATTAGTAGATTTTCAGGTCCGGAGTATCTAGATGGGTATCTAGATAATACATCGAGATCATCGGCGGGGTTGAAGCTGGAGATAGCCAAGAAGATGGCACGATGGCGTGATGGACCACGAATCATATAAAGCAGCGTCAAGCCCGATCCAGAAATCAACTTCAACGTGCTACCTAAATAAGGTACAGTCCATAACCCTATCCTGGATTTTTGACGCTTATAAATAATAAATACCTTCAATTGATTAAACAGACATCTTTTATTTCATTGTCTCAAACCCATCTCACCTCAACAGAATATCACAATCAATAATCATGGCCACCACTTCAACACCCTCAAACGCGGACGCATTCCTCTCCGCCGTCGAGGCCAGGCGCTCGCTGTACAAACTGACAAACAAGAGCCCCATCTCAGACGACCGGATCCACGAGATCGTCGCCACCGCGATCAAGCACGTCCCGAGCACGTTCAACGTGCAGTCGGCGCGGGCGGTCATCCTGCTGCGCGAACAGCACGAGAAGCTGTGGGACATCGGCGAGCGGGTGCTCCGTGAGGAGATGCCGCCGGCAGTGTATGCGTCGTTGGCGCCGAAGGTCGCGGGGCTTCGGGCGGCGTATGGAACGGTATGACTCAATTCTCTATGCGTATGCATACATGCATGTTCAATGGACACCTCATGGCTAATGGCGACATGTCCAGGTCCTATGGTTCGAAGATGAGGCTAGCCTCGATGCGCTGAAGCAGAAGAATCCTGCGATTCAGTCCCTTGTTAGAGAGTGTAAGATAACTCACTCCATTCCGAACAGATAATTAGATCATAAATAGATCTTTTTTTTTACCTTCAGGTCGAATTCATGCTGATGCCATCCTCATCTTTCAGGGTCGGACCACTCAAGCGGAATGCATCAGTTTGTCGGTACGTTCCGCCCTAGCTACATACATAATGTTCCCCCAGTACGGATCTCACACCTTGGGTGTACAGTATGGACGGCCCTAGAACGCGAAGGCCTAGGCTGCAACCTCCAACACTACAACTTTAGCGAGACGTTCCGAAAGGACGTCCTTGAGACGTGGAACCTTCCTCAGACGTGGAATCTGCGCGCGCAGCTCGTCTTTGGCCAACCGAGCGCCACCTCTGCGGATGGCGGCTTACCGGAGCGGGAGAAGGAGAAGAGCTTTAAGCCGATTGAGGGGGAGAGGTTGCTTCGGTTTGGGTAGACAACTTCGAGAGTGTCTGCTAGGATGTTGAGAAGAGAAGGGCGGGTGGGTGGAGCTGCTGATTGTGGGATAGATATGATACACATAGTCAGATGATAGGATTATGTCAATGTGAATTGAATATGTATGTACTGTACAGAGAAAGGACTCATGAGTTCAACATGGGTATGTTGCATGTATGTAATACATATGTTTCAAAATATATTTGACTGTACTGAATTGTAGTATAGTATCAATTGAAGTACAGTGTAGAACGATGACTTGATAAAAACCTTCATTCATACGTTCGTTCATTTCATCATGGCATAAATGAAAGCATCTTTATACACACACTCTCTCTCTACAACAAATTCACGCCACTCATGGATGAATAGGTGCCAAGAACTTACCTCTACCGAGTCGTGTACTAATATGTACCTCGTACCCCTGTTAACATTTTTTCTTCTTTTCCAGGGGTCCAGCCCCTGTCTGTCTGTCCTTCCCTATCAAGAAACAAGAATTCCCAATTCCCAATTCCCATTCCCATTCTCATTCTCATCACCACTTCCGTGTCTTCATCTTCATCTTCTTCGTCGGAGCTTGGCTCTTCACACCTAACGCCTGCACCGCCCTCGTCCAATACGCCTTCCGATCATCCGTAACAGTCGTGCCCACGCAGCTGGTGATATACCCCTCCCAGCCGGCCTCGGAGCCCGACTGCAGCGCAGCCCGCACGGCCGGCGTGCACTGCGAGGTCAGGAACCAGGCCGCGGAGCCGAAATCGTACGTCTCGTCCGACAGCAACAGGTCGAGGACGGCGGAGACGTTGCCCGAGACAGAGCGGTACTGCGAGGCGAGCGCCGGGATGGAGGCGGCGTATTGCTGGTTGTAGGTTGGGGATTGCATGTTTCGAGCTATAACCCTTGTTAGTTGTATGTCATAAAAGAAAGGAAAGGTGCAAGCAAACGTACTGCCTTGCCCCGGCCTCCCCGGCGGCGGGAAGTGATTGCGATTGTACTTGAAATCGCCCGACTCAAACGCCATCAGGCTGATAAGCGCAGCCTGCTCCGCCAGCGAGGTCACATTGTACGTGACGAAGGACTTGGTGATGAAAGGGACGGCCTGGGCGGCGGTGCTGCACTCGCCGGGGGCGGGGGCATTGTCGCAACTCGCCGAGTTGGGGGAGATGGTGAGGAGTCGCTGGGTTGTTAATCCAGTAGTAGTATTAGTGCTGGTAGTATTACTACATCTGATAGAAAGGGCTGGGACCGGTCCTGCGGTCGCTAGTAGCGAGGTTGATAGGAAGGTGAGGATGGAAATCCAGGATCGCATAGTTTATGTGTCTTTGTCTGTCTGTCTGTCTGTCTGTCTAAAAGGTATGAAGATGATAAACTGTACTTCGAGACTGATAGTGCCAGCGAGCAGTCTTAATTCCTTTTATAATCGAGGACAGACAAATGCCTGCAGAGCAACAAAGAAGCGACAGACAATGGCATGGAACAAAAAAAAAGTCCGTCAAGATCTGGCCAGAGGGAAGGAGAACCCCGAGGATTATGTATTCTGTCTAATTTAGTCTGGCTGGGAGACTGTTTCTTATAGATAGAAGAATCAATCAATCAGTGAAACAAGAGACAGTACTCCGTACCATTCACATACTTAGCGGAGGCAGGATCTTAACTCCATCCCTCCTCCATCAAAGGAACGAATGAATGATCCTCTCATGCATTCCGCCAAAGGGGGCGATGGATCATGGAGCATGCATTGTCTACTGCATACACTCTGCGCCTGTTTCAATTCCCAGCCGATCTATCTATCTGATGGAGTAGTATGAGAAAGTGGTATACGAAACGCGGCTCCTCGATTCGCTGATCGACACGTGATGCGCCTCCTAGGCCATGCTGATTGGCGAGTCGTTTCCAGTTTCAGCCCTTGCTGCTGCAACCCTGAAACGCGCGATAGTCATGGCTCCCCCTATTGGTCCTGCAGATCGCCCACCGAAACTCTCGACTTAAAAAGTCGCTGTCCTGTTAACTGATTTCACCGAGTACGGAGTATTCAGCGCCTCGATGTGACACCACTGGTTACGTTACATACACCTGTACCGTGCCATACAATGTTGCAGTTGCAATGATCTGGACAAGAGGTAGATATTGACAGGTCCTGCTCGTGTTCGATTCTTACAATGAATACATTCCCTGCCAGCGCTCGATTCAAGTCTATGCACACAACTGGCCTGAGGCAATATTATCATCATCTAACAAGAAGCGAAGAGCCATAGGCGAGGTATCCTCGCCTTCATCAACTAAAAAATTGTACAGCAGAAAATAGTCCAAGCAGCCAAACAACACACCAGTGACACAACGGACCCAGAACATTTTCACTTGCGCCAGACGATGACAAAGTTTCACAACCCAAAATTATTTAGTCACACAACAAATGCTCGACGATGCAGATGAACTCATGGTGGCGGCCCCGTCCAGATCTAAACTCCAAGATCTATCATGTGAATAGATGGCGAAATGTCGTCTAGTCCCGCCGGCTCGGCAATTCAAAGTAGGATTCCACCACGCGGCCGTTCTCCTCATCTCCCAGTTTCGAGCTTATGCGACGGATAAAAGTCGGCACGATGCGCAACGCTCCTCGCTTTGAAGGCGGCGAGAACCCAGAAGGCGAAACCAAGGGAGAGAGTCTTGTGTAGCGATAGCGGTATTGCCCCAGAAGGAGGATCCGGCCGTACACCCACCACATGCAGATTCCAACAACACCGGCAAGAATAAATCCAAGCACAGTGAGCAGCATCCAATGACTCCCCATCTAGAGGAATGTTAATTGTGATGCCGTCAAGGGTGCCGAAGGGGGGGGGAAAAAACCTACCCAAAAGATCAGCTGGGCATCCTTGCCATGCCAGCTGTTGCCCGTGTGATGGGTAAAGAAGCTCCAGGAAAACCGATTGTATTCGTCTTGCATGAGGACCCGGACCCGGCCAGCGTCGCCCGGCCCCCCGCGCATGTACTCCTTCCAAATTACAGACAAGAAGAGTGGACCCGTCGAGTACATAACCGTAATGTATGGCAACAGCCAGTTTCTGTCATAAGACTGCAGCGATTCGATCACCCGGAGAAAGAAAGGATGCTGGGGCACTGCGCCCATTGCATCGTTTGAAATCCCCGTCGGCACCGTCCGACGAACCCAGGCTGGGTAGGCAAGAAGAGGGTCGAGTCGGCGATTGCAGCCCTGCCGCCAGGTTAACATGGTGCTGTAGCATTCGCAACCAAGACCACACGCACATCATCCAAGTCAATGTATGTTCCACCGTAGTGGGCCAACACAAAGTATCGGATCGAATCCGCACGCTGAATCGGGTAGAGGTAACCGTCGTAGGTATCCAGAAACCAGGGATACTCTTGCGCGATGAATTCTCTAGCTTTCTCGTTCGTCCATAGCTACAAGTGACGGTAGAGTTAGCTGTTGGTGTTCCGTACCAAGAATGGGTGGCGGGTGCGGGCAACCATGAACCCGACTGCGGACTAGACGAACCTTGTACTCGTAATCAGGATGAAGATCGATACAACTCTGCTGGGGTCCTTTCCAGTGTTCGGGGATCGACTCGTTCTTGTAGGTCTGGTGAATAATCTTGGGGATGATTTGAGGTCGCGACTCGATCAAGCTGGAGTTCGGCGACGGAATGTCCGAACGGTGAATAGCATCGGCGGACGCATCCTCGAGCAACAGCGTCAAGAGAGTAAAGACACTTCGGACGAGAAAGGCGATAATGAGGACATTGACGAGGATGAAGATCAGGACGCCTCGACGCATGATGCTGGCAATAACAAGGGCGCAATTGTGCAGAGACAATTACCGCGAAACATTCGAGACACGAGGATATACAGAAGGTCTCAGGTGTTTCTTCGTCTCTATCGTCCAGGGGGTTCTGAAGCCCGACGTTCGGGCCGTCAACAAGACTATCGAATGCAAGCTAAGGACATGAGAAAGGGGGGGGGCTTATAGTAGCGCCGCAGTCGCGCAGAAGCCACAGAAACGGATCAGGCTGGCCACCACGAGTCGAGCAGACAGGAGACAGAAGAATTGGTGAGAAGATGCACGATTAAAAGGATCAGATGAGGAGGCTGTCGTATGGAGTTATATTAGACAAAGAGTGATGACCAAGACTGGGAGGGAGGCGGCCAACGTGGTTATGGTTTCGGGCGGCCGATGAAAGAGGGAAGGTCCCAGGGAGCAGTCAACAAATGGAATAAAAGGAGCGTGATGAAGCCAGAGAGCGAGTTAAGCGACAGAACGGGAGAGGATTTGACAGTCTGCGGATGGATGGATTCAGCATAGTACCCAAGGCCACAGATCCATGGCTTCGGGGGAAAATTCGAGAGCAGCAGGCTAGGTGCTACCAGGTTAAGCTAACAGGCTTGAGACGCAGGGCCGTCCATAGCTAACTAGCCGCCGCGTGTACGCCAGGCCTGAACCACGGGTGCCTGGGACACTATTTCGAGGGCTTAGTTGGGGGGCTCCACCGCCTAAGAATACCGCCCGGTAAGGGAGAACGGGGCTTAGCCTGGCACCTGGAGCCGGCAATAGCGCCTGGCCTTTGAGGGGGGACCCGCCCGGCCAGGAGGCGATAGACAAAGAACAGGCAATTGGCCACGGGGCTCAGCAGCGTCCCTGACTATCTTGGCAAGGAGAGCGTTGAGATCATCCCCGGCAGCGCTGCCAATAACCCGCCATACCGGTGGGCCTTGTCAGTCGAGCATGGAGCACAACCGCGGAACACAAACGGGGTACGATAGAGACTACGGAGTACTCCACGCAGGCCTCATCCACGATGGCAGAGTCAGAGGCACACAGGCAAGGCATTTGTCGCTGCTGCTGGCGATGCCCATGATGAAGGCCGAGTATTTTTCCACAGAATTCTCATTACGTGCAGCAGGGCCTGGTGCACTGACCATTGTCGTGCGGAACCAGCCAATCAGAGGTGCACGACTCGGTACGGAGTGCTGAAACTGGAGAGGACATACGCAATCCACGTACGGATTGTTCCATACAGCCTGTTCTCTGCGCGCTCGTGCCGCTGCCTTCGTATCGCGCGCTTGCCACTCTCTGCCAGGCACTTGTCAAGTCGTGCCCATGCGTTCAAACAGCGTTCTCTCGTTGGTGCAGACTCCATTGATGAAATCTACTCGCAAAATTTACTCCAAGTGGTTGCTCCCGTCATCCCCGCAAGCTGCCAAGCTGCCCTAAGCGCTATCGCGGAGTTAACATATTCCTTCTCCGATGGTCAGTTGATGCCGAGCCTGCTCGGGGAAACAACGAACTTCGCGCCGGTTCACTTCCAGAAGATTCAATTGACAGATACGGCAATACAAGACACTTCTTTTGCGAGCAACAAGACCATAGAACCTCAACCAATTGCTCTGTATGGATGGCTCTCCAGGCTGCAGTAATTAAGCCACCAACACACACTCCCGTGCCGTTGGTTTGTCCGTTTGCTGGCGTGGGATGGTTCATACCGAAGTCTAAATGGCCGTCTGGCGAGTAAGCAGCGATCGGGCCCGCTGTGACGCGTGGCCACAGGCTCGAATAGATTGCCCTTACTCTATGCCTGTGGGCTGTGCAGCAGCCTGCGTTCATGGTAGGCTTGGTAGCCTAACCCACAGGAGGCAACTCCTGTTCTTTTCCACTGCCAAGGCCTAGGTAGGCATCTGGCAGCCTCCAGCTGCCAGCCAGGCGACAGATACAGTCAGCAGAGTTCAGTGGACTTTTTCTTAACTAAATAATGTGGCTGAGTTATACACGTGAACTAACTATGTACTGTACGTACATGGATCGCGCCTCATCTCACAGTCTCAGCTGCAGGACCAACATCATTATAAGCCACAAAACAGCCTTTCTTACGCTGGATACGGTATTACGTACGCTGTACGTACAAACCACAGCCAAGGAATCAAGAGCGATTGGAAATCTTGGGGGGATGGATCATTTACGTGGTAAATGAAAGCCGCCATACGATCACAACCTGCAGGCAAGGAATCTTGGACAAGAGGCGGGATTTCATTCCTACCTACAACCTCTAATAACTGCAACATTCCTGGGTAATTTAGCCAGGAACAACCAAAGCAACGCCATATATGCAAATGACCGAAATGATCACAGAACTAATGCCCACATGCGAAGAAATTCCGCTAGAAATGCAACCTTGAACTCTACCATCACCCAGCTTGGTATCTCATCTTAATGCCATGAAAGCAACAAAAAAAGAAAAGAAGAAGGTGACAATCCAGGAGAACAACCGCTTAACCTTATCAGATTTTCATGCCTCATTTCCTAGAATCGCCGTATGCGCCGTATCTTCATTTCCGTACATGGTTGGCTGAACAAGGGAAAAGAAATCCCAGGGATAACAGAGGTCGAGAACTGGAACTCGCAGACCATGACAGGGCAATTCCAGTTCCTCGTGGATTCGTGAACCGAAACCGGTCAACATGGTAAACAGGGTATAGAAACACCCTTCACGCCTTGAATGGCAGCGAAGCATGGGCATGGGATCCTGAAGAGGAGTGGTTCGTAGAGCTGGACCCATCGCCTGAAATCGGATGATTTGGCGCATTTGGCTCAGAAAGCCCCACATATTCTTTCCATCCATCTCCATATCGACACGTGTATGACCTGATTGACCTAATCCAAAGTCAAATAAATTGTGTGACTCAGTTGCAGCCTTGCCGGATGCCGCAGAGGGAAAAAATGCATCGAAAGGATCCTGGCTGGATATAGGTTCATCGACAGGTTCTGCCCAGATTCACTTCGAGATGCGGGGAGTAGATAGCCGTTTCAAGACGATTCTCCGCTTATCGTACTTCGGGTGCAGCAGCGGCCGCAATATCGCGGTTAATGTTGGCAGCTTGCGTCTCGGGTGCCTCTGTCTCATCTGCACCGCGCACCGCTTCATGCCGCGGCCTGCCTTCAAACAATCTCCTCCACCATGCCGGCGGATCCAGCGGCCGGTGTCCACCATGGAGGGACGGATAGACATCGGAAAAGAAATACCATATGTGGCCCACAATCACTCCGCAGATCTCATCTTTGGGTACAATCCCGTGCACGACAAGGCTGAAAGCCATCAAAACCCACGGAAGATATGGCGCCGTGAAAACCAACAGGCCCAAAAAGCTCAGACGAGTATCGGGATTCCGGCGACTCCAGATATAGACCAGACTCGAGGAGAGGGCCGTACCAAGGAAAGGCAAGGACAGGAATGGAGAGAGGATCAAGAGAGAGCTCATGGCGTAGAAAAGAAGCCATGAGAAGTCAGCGGGGGAACGGCCGGATGATTCTTCAAGCAGACGCGAATATCGCTGCAGGAAGAAGACATGGAATAGTAAGTCGAGATTCAGGGGGCCAAAGTAGAGGAATGTTGTGATGAGGCGCCAGTACTGTTATCAAGCATTAGCCCGGTGTCAGATAGATTCATCGCACCGGACACCCACCTGCGACTTGACATAAACGGCACGGAAACTGTAGAACAGCTGGAACGGAGTGAGCACATGGCACTGGACGAGAACGGAGGTAATCACGGTGGCAGCAGTCCACCATCGCGTGCAAGGAGGCATCTCATAGAACCATTGTTCCAGCGGAAATTGTCCTGGCTGGCCGCCGTTATTCCCCCAGATAGCAGCCATGGTTAGATCGAGGGTGGGTTTGCGGATCAGATTGCTGATAGTACTGCGGAGTACAGTTATCAGGAGTGATCCCAGCGGCCAGCGCAGCCGGGCCGGAGAAGAGAAGAAGCCGCAAGGGGAAAGACGCAGAGAAAGTGCCCACCAAGACTCCTAGACCAGCTTACAAAAGAAAGAAGACAAAACAGAGCCGTCTACTCTGCTGTTGGTGACACTGCGCGGCGAGACTAGGTGGCCTTTTCGGGTTCCTGATGACGGAACAGTCGTCATCGGGAGGATGACATAAGCAGGAACATGCTCGCAGCCGCCTGTACCGCCACACGCGCGCCACAGCGCCTGCAAGACGCGCCTTGGCAGACGCGGAACACGAAAAGAGATGCTGGGGATCTGCTCAAAGAGGGGGCAGCACCACGAGCATGTCGAGGTTCCCACCTGCACTCCGTTATTTTCCTCGTTGACACGGAGTGCGCCTCTTGCCAATGAATAGATACGGCAATTGAGCACGTCTGTCAACACAAACCCTTAACAAACAAGCCATCTGTCGAAAGTCGCTCACGTAGCTGAGTCGGGACGGAGTGCGCACGTCACAAGTTCTTCCCAGGACCATTGAGGTTTTGCAGTCGTTCAGGAAGCATCTCTGAACACCGGATACGGTCCGAAATTGAGCATCTCATCGTCCCTCATCTCTAAACACATTCTCAAGTTGATCTGTCCACACACCTTCTACCGTCACCATGCCCCCCAAGACTGGACGGGGCCGCCCTAAGGCGAGCGCAGCGCAACCATCCCAACAGACGAGCGCAGACGAAGCTGGTCCATCAACGAGTCAATCGCCAGCAGCTAAGAAAGAGAAGGCATCATCCAAAGCAGCGGATGCAGCAGCGTCACCTTCCGCTTCCAAAGTGCGCAAGTCCACCGCTGGAACAAAGGGAGAGAAACGACCTGCGGCCAAAGCGCCCAGGACTTCGGATATCCAACGTAAGACTAGTCGTGCCTCGTTCTCTGTACAATATTGTTTAACGGTATAATTGCATGCTGACCTTGTAACCATCACATAGCCGGAGATCCCACCCCCCAAGGCCGCCGTCACCGCTACAAGCCCGGTACGGTCGCTCTCAAAGAGATCCGGAAATACCAACGCTCCTACGATCTGCTCATCCGCAAGCTACCATTTGCGCGCCTCGTCCGGGAGGTAGCTCTTGAGTTACTCCCTGCCGAGGTGGGCGCGGAACTCCGCTGGCAGTCGCACGCTATCCAGGCCCTGCAGGAGGCCGCTGAGGCCTTCCTGGTCCATCTGTTCGAGGACACGAATCTATGTGCCATCCACGCGAAGCGCGTGACCATCATGCAGAAGGACATCCAGCTCGCAAGACGGATACGGGGCATCTGGGGCGGATTGGGTTAAAACCAATGCAATAATCAAGATCAAAAAAAAAAAGCACAAGGATAATATAATCTGTAGTGGAATTGTTACTATTCACAAGGAGCAAAGGGAGTAGTCCGTGTGTACGGCGTTTATATTCGTCAGTGTCTTTTTTTTGCTGATCGGTCGGTTATCGGTTTCCTCTTGTTTTTTTTATACGATGTATTCTCTGATCCTACAGCTCTGTTTGTTGTTCCTTATCCTCTTGGCAAGGATCCTATTCTATTGATTGGGTGGGCTGGCTGGCTAATTACTTACGCCTGGACTGTTGGGTGTGTTAAAACTTATAACAAGAATTATCCATTCCGTCAGACTTGACGCTTGACGCTTTGAGGTATTGAAATTGAGCGCAGGCGAGTGAAGTGCCAATTGCGATGCGAACTTCGAATTTCTTAAGAGATTCGTCTTTTTGATGGATAGGTATGAGGGGTAAAGGGTATGCTATATGCACTAGAAGGAGAAATTAATAATATCATTGAAGTTCTTAAAAAATCACTTCACACCTGTCCACCTTTTTATTTTGCGTGTGTGTATGTGTGTGTTAGATCATTTGTAAGGTTAAAGTCTTCAGGAAAACGACAACCCACTCCTGGCTATTATAATAATAAATAGGATAACTAGGGAAACACTAAAAAGAAGCAAAGTATCTAAGCCATCCACAAACGCAATATATACAGGAAAAATGTTGATTGATTAAGTGAAAAAAAAAAAGTTCTTTGTTCTTGTATCCATCATAGATAAAAGTAACTTAATGCGCACCATCCCGTTTTTCCATTCCCAATGCTGCGGCTTGTCCGAACGCCATGACTCGTAAAAGAACCAGTTGATCAAGAACGAAAAAAAATACCCGGCAAAATGGTATCGTCGATGTATCGAAATATGATAAAGTTTTCAGAGAACATAACCCGTGCAAATAGTTAGTTAGAAAGGGTCAACGAATCTCCGTATGTTTCAGCGCCGGAGGAAGGCCCATCATGACGCGATGCGCTTCCTCCCGCACTGTTTGAGCCTCTTCTGCTTTGCCTTGCCGATCGAGTGTCTCGGCCAGCATCTCATCAGTGACGCTGACCCAGAGCCGGTCATTGGCCTTTTTGGCCATCGCTCGACCGGCCCGCGCGCTCTTCTCCGACTGTTCGCCCACCACGCCACGGAAGTACTTCCAGCTCATGAACGTCAGTGTCATGCATATGATCTGGCTGTTACCGATGGCAGTGGCCGACTGAAGGGCCTGCTGGAGATACTGCTTCGTCTGGATGGTGGAATCTGTCTGGACGGTGGCACAGACCAGATAATAGGCGGCTTGGAGATATTTGTTGGAACTGCCCTGGCAGAATGGTTCAACTGCAGACAAAACCTGAGGAAGCCTCGAATGAGACGGGTGAGAAGGTTCTCGAAGGATGAGGATCGTATTGAGCGCGGCGAGAATGGCAGTATCCCGTCGGGGATCGTTGCGCGCGGTTTTGCTGGTGGACTGCGAAAGGGAGAGGATTGGCGATTCAAACGCGGCCAGGGCGGCTACCACGTCGCCAGTGCCCTGTGCGATGATGCCAGTAGCGTATTGCATGAGGCACCGCACCGCTTCAGGAAGACTGTCGCCAAGGTCTTCGGCAGCTCGACGCAATTCTTTTAGGGTCTGATTGGCCAGTTCCCAATCGGTCCTTGCGCATGCAAGGAATATTTGTTGGAGTAACATGTTGCAGTACAAAATTCGCCGCCATTCAAGACGCCTGCCAGCAGTCACGAGCGACTCGCTTATTTCTTCGGGTGCCTTGAAAGTGCCTTGGAGATTGTTAGAGCAGACCAATATGAGAATCAATCAGAACGGGAAAAGCGAACCTCGGATCATACGCAATCCCTCTTGAAGGTATTTCTCAGCCTTCCGGCCATCATGGGAATTCTTGGCACTCAACGTAACAGAGCTCAAGAAGTAACACAGCGTGTAGAGATCATGTTGAGGTAGCCAGCTCAACGTCAAAGTCAATTTGCCATCTTCAACTTGCATTATATCTCCAGAATCAGTCAATGATGACCCAGCAGTTTTGCTATTAAGTGGAATGGAAAAGGATCCGTCATCACGCCAGCGTGAATCATTGATCCGTTGGTCCATCAAGTTCTGCATGATCTGTAGTTTCTGAGACGACTGGTTAACGTCGTATTCGAGCAAACTACAGGAAATATCAACCATCTGGATCATGGAACCGATCTGTGGAATGTCGCGGACTCTATCGTCAAGTTGATGGCTGCGCGCTACAGCCACGGCGCGCTGAGCCTGCTCGATAGCATCGGAGCTCGTCGATTGCTGCAGATGTGCAAGCGCTTCAATCACAGCAGCGACCACTGACATGACCTTGTCACCGTTGCGGTTGGCTAAGTTGGAGATTCGATGTAAATTATGGATGGCAGTCACAAACTCCTGATGAGAACCGGACGACAATGCAAGGCTCACCCGGAGCAGACGAAAAGCATATTCCCAAGGGACGTGTCGGTACCTAGAACCGTCAGAACCATGCCGCATCACGGTTAAGATCAAACCTACGTTTCCACGTCTTGAATCATGCCATCAACCGCTTTCACAGCAGCTTTCGGGTTTGACTTGTACAGCATACGCGCAAGGAGTTGCTGCATAGTGTATTTTAAGTCCAGGAGCCGATTCTGCCGCAAGATTAGATTTGATATCGAACAGCTCAAACAAAGAAATCCGACTCACTCGTTCACACAAGTCAATCTAAGTGGAATTAGCAAAACCGAGCAAATAGCAGACATCCAAGGGGAAAGATACATACTCCTTTACTCAGTGCTGTCTCGGCCTCCAGGTCATTATTGGTCTCCTCAAAAAGAACTCGTGCATATCGTAATCGGATCAGAGCTTCCGTCCGTGGTTGCAGTCTCCAATTCTATGATATTTGTAAGCCTCCACGACCAAAGAATGGCTACCATTTTCGCGAGCGTGGGTGTACGAACCCTTAATACAGCTTCCAAACAACCAAGTCCCGTGGCGACCAACTTATAGTACTCTTCGAGCTCCACCTCTTTCTTTGACAGCGCAATTAGTGTTCCCTGACTGTGGGCCGCATTCAGATACTCATCCGCTAATGCCAAAAGCAGCAACTGGTAATCTATCGAAGGCTTGCTAGGCTTCTGGACAGCTTCTTGAGATTGCTGGACTTCAGTCTGCTTTTTGGGAGGGTCCGGCGGCGTTGCCTTGGACGGCATCTTCTGCGGTGAAGGAATCACCACTTGAGGAACCAGCTTAGAGACTGGTGAAGCAGCTGGCGCAGAGTGAGCCGGGACAGTCGAAGTCTGACTTTTCGGTTGGGACGACGGAGCAGCTGCGACTGTAGAAGAAGGAGGAGGAGGAGCGGACGGTGGCTGCACGGCAGAGATATATTGGCCATACACCTGGGGCTGCCCGGGACTGGGCACGGCGTAGTACGGCGAAGGGCCCGGGACCGAAGAGAGTGAGGGCGAGACAGCAGACATTCCGCCATACTGAGTGACCGGAGACTGCGGGGAGGGACCATGGATGAGGTGGGAGGGGGCCGTAGGGCCAGACACGCCGCCATGGATGGGCGATTGTGGAAAAGTGGTTTGCGCCGGATTCACATACTGTAGCGGAGGCCCCGATTGGCGATGCTGTGGTTGCTGTTGCTGCGGCGGCGATCGTTGCAGTGTCTGCTGGAGATATTGTTGCTGTTGTTGCTGCCGTTGTTGTTGTTGCTGCTGCTGCTGCTGTCCGTAGGCAGGAGGATATGGAGGGACTATGGCTTGCGCATAGACATAGGGCTTGCCATATTGCTGGTACGGCGAGTTCGGATTAACATTGTACTGCTGCTGGACCGGCGGAGGACGCGGGTGGTTTTGCGGCGGCTGCTGCAGATACTGTGAAGGATACTGCTGCCTATTATAGGGGGGTGGGTAACTCATCGCCCGTGGATAATATTGGTGAAGAACGTGCGCTGTCTATGACATAGACCCGATCTGCCATGGAGTGAGGTTCTGATTGCTGCTGCTGCTGCACCGTCGATCCGCGATCGCAGCGCGTCCCCGCCAGGCGTGTCTTTCAGCTGTCTTGCGGTCGGCTCGGAGAAACCATCCTCCTCTGATCCACCGATCTCAGATGCTGGGCTTGGCTTGTGGATAAGCTTACTGCTATTAATTATTACATGGGAAGTTCTATCGACATTGAGAAAGAAGAAATGCTGTAATTACATATATACATGAGGTCTCTTGTCGCGCACACTATGTACTGTACATACAGTAAATTACTAATACTGCCAACGCCTCTTCCCCTTGTTAACTGGCGCGCTGAGTTCATGTAGTAGGGTTCAGTCAACAGTCAATGATCTCCTCAAGCGGCCAGCCAGGAAGATTCCATTTGCATTCTCCATTCCTCCGTTGAGAAAATCACTCCGTGTACTCACGACAATTGCAGCGATGAGTAAACTTGATTCGCAAATCCCCCACTATTGTTTTCCAGAGCAGAGTCTAAGATATCATCACCCAAAGACGGCGCCTCGTTGGGCGGTGGGTGCACGCGTATCGTCCAGGGGCAGAGCTCGCGACAGCTAGTCCAGGTGACATGCGACTCGACGGGGTGAATTCTTTGCCTTGCCCATTCCTTGTCCGGGATCGTGGTTGATTTCCCAAGGCATCTCTGCGTCCAGAAGAAGTACTCCACCTTGTTGGTCCCATGGCAGTGGTTTGGCCGCTTTCTTGGACACTTCAGCGTCGTTTCACAGGTGCCGCAGACCGATATGCGCCTGCACGCCGAGCAGAAAGAATCGTAGCGATTGCAATACAGCGTCTGACAGACACTGGAGAGCCAGAGGTCCATGGATCGATGCGCACACCCGAAACGGGGCGTGATGTGTTGGTGTTTCCCCAGCCGACTAGGTTCCACGTACATATGATACTCGGTCCGAACCACAAGTCGCTCTTCTTCATCGATCTCAGGAAAGATATCGATTTTGACCTCGGTCGTACCGTATGTCGCAGTGCAAGAATGCCATAGATAGCGTTCGTGTACACGATCCCCAACCACACTGGTCGGCAGTTTCGTGAAGAGTTCACGCTCTCTCAAATGCTCGACAAGGTCCAGCTTGTCCCGAAATGTCAATTTCTCGCACGGACACAAGTCGACAACGCCTGCAAAGTCGCCGAGGTTACACACCCTCGTATTCGAAGGGCGCTTCAATTCCTTCGATGAAAATGCATGGCGAGGATGTAGTTTTAGGCATTTTGAGCATGCGCTCCATTTGCCATTTTCCAACATCTCCAGCAACTTCCATCTATCGGTTCCGAAACTATGCGAGTTTTTATAGTGGTGGAATAACGGCGCAAAATCTTTGTTGAAATGGAGAGACTCGGAGAGCAAGGCGGCTCCGGATACTGCGAGGAAGCGCTTGCACGTCAAAGCCAGACACGCTTCCGAGAGAGGCGGTAGGTGGGAAGCGATCAGAGAAAGCAGCTCTGTGGGTAGCTCGAGGATATAACATCTGCGGCCCTGTTCTCGTCCTTCCTGCGATTCCGGCTCTTTCCCACTGTGCTCCGACTTCTTTTTCTTCTTCTTCTTCAGGATCCTCACCCTCAGCAGGATGCTCACCGGGTGTAACCGCATTCTGTAGCACAGGGTTCCGAATCTTCTAGTGTAACGTGTAATTGTCTTTACAAGAGTTAATAACATGATGCGGACCGAGCCTTGTCATAATGACTGCATGATGGGCGTGAGAGCGAGCAAAGGGATCATCCACAGACATGAGAGTAACAGGTCTCTACTGCGCTTTTGAACAAAGAAGTCACCTGGTTACTTCACAGGGTCTGCAACTAGATCAAGTGGAGTGCCTGCACGAAAACGGACATGCCTTATCAAGGTGCATCTAAGCTGCTGAATCAGGACGACAAGGATTCAGCACGAGAAAGTTTCTAACCTTAACCAAAACCCACACACCATAGATATTTCCTGGGCACCAAGATTGGTGCACCTGACATTGGCACAACCATTCTGCTTCCGGGTCATTTGTAACCAGCAGCTGACTCCCACCGCACTAGCGGCTATGCAATGTGATTTCAGCCGGGACTCTCACCTTCCGCATGCGGCAGCGGGATGAAAGATGATGCCGGGAACTCCATCACGGCCCGAGGAAAAAAGGGGTCCAACGTAAACGCTGAGAATAAACTCCTGGAGACTCGATTTCAACACAAACCTGGAGCAAAATGGACACTTTTTTTCACAGTTACGCGACAAGCTGCCAACCATCCAGATGGTTTGTCCGTTGATCTTATCGCGTTATCGCTGGAGATGAGGCCGCCGTCCTATTGGTCTGCTGGATGCATGCTTATATAAGCGATACCCAATCCGGTGGTTAAGCCGAGGCACGTTGAGCTTCAGTGGAGACGGCGACGACGATGCGAGCTGCGCAGCGCAACTAATCCAATCCTGCGCCTGCAATAATGGATCTGGCAAATTATTTTTGCCAGGCGTTTTCTTCTCACAATTTGCTTCTCTTTCGATAAATATTGATGCTGGTTCCTGATTTCATCTATTTCTGAATCTGGAAATAGGATCTTCATTTGGGTTTGCTTTTTCTGATTGGTCAGCATTCGCGATCTGGTTACCCTTTTTTTGTCTTACTAACAAGCCATGAGTCCCCTGTCATGGCTTCTTCCTAGCGGAAAGATCACGCTTCATCACTCACAGAATAACCAGCTTCTACTGACAAAGAAGGCTAGCAGCGAGGATGGTAAAGAGACGCAGGTGACGCTGGCGGAGTTATGCCGCCTAGCCACGCCTTCAACCTGCCAGCTCAACCCACTCCTCTTCAACGGACACCTGCAGACCGCCTGGACGACCGTCAAGAACATCGACATCCCCATTTACTACAAGCGGAAGATTTTTGAGGCCGAAAATGCCTACTATAGTGGCCAATTCGCCATCGACTTCGTAGTGCCCCCTTACGAGACCCCCACCAGTGATGAGGCAACAGATAAGGATAGGATTTTCACCCTCCCATCCGGGCTGCCGGCGCGTACATCTTTCTTCACGGCGGAGGAATTTGCTGCCTTGCCTTCGGACGATAATAGGCCTATGCTTATAGCGTTGCATGGTTTGACGGGTGGCTCCTATGAGCTCTATCTGCGGCATGCGCTCGCTCCTCTTGTGCTGGGGGATGGCGGCTGGGAAGCTTGCGTCCTCAATGCTAGAGGCTGCGCGCAGACCAAGATTTCCAGTGGCGTCTTGTTCAATGCGCGCGCAACGTGGGATCTCCGTCAGGCCGTGAGGTGGCTGCGCAAGACGTTCCCGAATCGTCCGCTCTTCGGCATTGGATTCTCACTCGGAGCGAATATCCTGACGAATGTACGTATCGCAGAAGGAATACTCAAAGGGAAAATATATACAATTTTTTTTTCTTTCGAACATTCTGGCGTGGACTCTGATGTTGATTCGTTCTGGATTTTCATGTAGTATCTCGGAGAGGAAGGCGAGAACTGTCAACTCAAAGCGGCCGTAATCTGCGCGAACCCTTGGAACCTCGAACTTACCAGCCATGCCTTGCAACAATCATGGCTGGGCCTAGAAGTCTATTCCAAAACGATGGGCGCAAACCTGAAAAGGCTATTCAATCAGTACGTAATTGGTCCGCTGAGAAGAATTCCTTTCTGGCTAATTTTCCGATCTGTACGCTGTAGGCACGCCGAAGAGGTATCGAAAAATGCACGTCTGGACGTCGAAGCTGTGCAGAAGGTCAAATATATTCATGAGTTTGACAGGTAAGCGCTTTTCGCAGAATTGCCTTAAAAGAAGAAGAAGAAGAAAAGAAGAGGAAAGAGAGAGGCTAAAGTAATTTCATAAGAGTCGTACAATGTCCTAGCTGGGGCTATCCAACTGAGGGAGCCTACTACCGGGACGCATCTTCCGTGGATTCTTTGTTAGCGATCCGGGTTCCATTCCTTGCAATCAATGCCGAAGACGATCCTGTGAGTACATATTTTATAACATGGGGGGAAAGCCCTGTAAACAGACATCACTGATTGATGAATGACGGATGGAACACAGATCTCCGTCAAAGAAGCCATACCGTATAATGAGTTCGCCCAAACTCCATACGGAGTGTTGTTAACTACCTCCTGGGGCGGTCATCTCGGCTGGTTCGAGATTGGAGGATCCCGATGGTTTACGAAGCCGGTATGTCAGAGTCGTAAAGATCTTCCAGAAGAACGTCTCAGGCTGATATTGTATCTACTGTACATGTACAGGCGGCAAACTTCCTGAATCTGATGGCCAAGGAGATCGACCTTAACGCTCCCTTTGTCCCAGAGAACAAAGAGATGCTGTACGGTCGACCAGTCGCCAATGGCAGCGCGAACAAAGACGTGGACAAGTCGCCGAAGCCTGAATTCGACCCCATGCGTCGCAAGATGTATATGAGCATGGATTAGAAGAACACATTTTGGCGACTTATTAATATCATTTAATATCATCTCGGAAGAATGCATAGACTCGACTAATCTCACTTTTTTCTTTTTCGTTGTTTATCCCAACAAAACGCCTCGTCATGACAATACTCATATATATAGAAACAATACTTTTCGGGCCTAGGTATAGATACCAGTGAAACGCCAGAAACACCAGTGTATGCACATAGACATGAAAATATACAGCAATAGGGAGAATAAAAGAAAAGATACAGATTCACGCAAAAGAAACGCTCTTTCGCTTTTTGGGTTTGGAAGAGGCAGCATTATTTTCGCTGTCTCCAGAGTTCTTCTGGTCAGAAGCATCACTCTCCTTATTATCTTGGTGTTTCTTCTTCTTTTTCTTGTTTCGCAATTCTTCCTTGATGTTTTCCTAGAATTCGATTTGTTAGATCAAAATCAACAGCACCGTAGCGAAAGTACAGTACATACCAATTTCGACTTCTTTTCCTGCTGCCGTGCCTCTGCTTCTTTCCTCTTCGCTTCCCGTATCTCTTCCATCTGGCGCGCCTTCATCATTTTCGACTCGATCTGGCCTTCTTTTTCGGCATTCACCATGGCGAGAATCGTCATCATACTCTCCTGTACGCGGGAGCTGTCAGCAAAACAGGATAACAAGATATTACCAAGACCGAAAACACAAAACGTATGTCCGGTCCGAATCCAGGGTTAAAAAAAACCCACCTGATCATCAACAAAAACCTTCCCTTCTTCTTCCCCTTCTTCGGCTTCTGCACCCCAACCGGCGTGACCATGTTCAATTTCGGCAGATCCAGCTCCTCCTCGGTATATTCCCTCTTCTTCGTCTTTTTCAGCTGATCGGGTGCGCTGCGCGATTTCGACTTGACCTCCTTGGTGGCAAGTAGCTGTTGTTTCGCCTTCTTCGCCTTCGTCTTGGAGCTCGATTTGGTGACTTTGGAAGCGGACGAGAGTGTTGATGGTTTGGCTTTTGTTTTTGAAGACTTCCCCTTTGAGGAGGATGAGGAAGAGCCCCTGTTTGGCGCCATTGTTGCTTATGCTAGAATTGAATGAAGGCGAGAGCGATTGTTTGTTAGTATCGGCTCTCTTCTCTCTCGCGCGCGAGCCAGCGCTCGTGTTTGATGTTCCTGCGGAGAGTCGCTGTAGGGGAAGAACTTCTTCAAAAGCCACAACAAATATCTCTCATAAAAGCAATAATATTATCAGTGAGAAAAAAAAATTGAACCGCAAAGTAGCGAAAAATTTCCGTTATTCTTTCCTGTCGAAAACACTGTCCGATCTGTATCTGCGGGCGACCTTGAAAATTTTTCCGAAACGGAAGGCGGTGAAAAATGCCGCTCTGAAATGGGTATCGGCCCGCGGCGGACAAGACCTCCACCACCGCCATCGCCATCATCATCAATCATCACGACAGGACCCAGACGATAAGAACGAGAGGACTTTCCGTCTCGGAAGCAGCACTGCCCCCGGGTAGTTTCCTCTACTGATTAGTCCCGCATCGTGCTGCCATTGAGGTTTTCGCCATGACTATCAATCCGACATACCTTGCACAGCGGACGCGCTCATGTACGTCTTCCTCGGCTTTCCTATTCGTCATCCCAGTCAGGAGCTAGCTGACCTGTTTCTTTTCTGTCTATAACAGCCATCAATTGGGCGGATGCAAAGGCGAGAGTGCGCAAGTCTTACAGGGAATGGCTCAGAGCGGTTAGTACAGATCCAACAGGCTCCCTGGTTCATCCCTTCGACGGGTCGTGCGGACTGGGCAAAGATGGAGAGACGTCGAGGAGGCTAACATGTTCGACCGATGATCTGACGGAAAAATACAGTCCCCTGAGATCCAGACGATGTACTCGCTCAACATCCCCGTGTCGGCGATCCGGACCAAGATCCGCCAGCAGTTCGAGCGCCACCGCTACGTCAACCAGCTGAACGTTGTCGATGTGTTGCTGTTCAAGAGCCATGCGGAGTACCAGGTTAGTTCCGACGTATCGATATGATGGACTCGACTCTTTCGCTCTATATTGCTCGATCAGTCCTTCCAACTTTTGTCCCCTCCGTCGATGTACAATACATCGAGTCTCATGCTGACAACGATATCCGCGTGAAAACAGGAAACGCTGAACTACTGGAAGCAGCTGTCTCATGTGATGAAATACTTCCGACCGGAAGAAGACCCCGGCGCCCGGCTGCCGCCGAATTTCATCTCTGGATTCTTGGAGGTAGGAGCGGAGTCATCCAGTGCGTCTTATTGAACTATGCCCAGCTGACATTCCTGCAGGGACGCAACTGATATGTTGAGCTGGGTGTTGCATTTGTTCCTTTGTTTTCTTTTGCCGGATGTTTCCGATATTACGTAGACTCAATGACTGCGTCGGGAGGGAAACAGAGAAGAGAACAAAGTAGAAATGTGTATATACTGTCAAACACTTGCCGAGTCGAATTCTGAGTCTCGAATGTAACTTTAGGTGCTCTTCCATCTAACATCCATCTACTGCCGAGGAATCTAAAACGAGGAGTAAATAAAATATGGATGACAGAAGTAATAAGCATTCATCATATGATGTGCATGAAACATACAGTTCCTATCCTATTCTATTCTAGTCTATTCTATTCTCTGTTTCTTTCGATAACAATAACCAAACGCCCATCCCATCCCATCCTATCTATCTAGTCCAATCTGATGCGACGTGATGCAATGCAATACAGTGCAAGAAACCTCCCATTCGTGATACACGGAAAGAAACGAGATCCGGGAACAAGTAAAATAGAAAATAAAGTAAAATACAGTGAAATAAAATAACAGGGGATATCATATCAGACTTGATAAAATCAAATGAGAAACTACAGGACAGAGAGAAGGCCGTTTTCAAGAAGACATCCGATCTTCCTGCGCGGCATTAAACTCGTCGCGCGCGGCGGTGAATTTTTCTGTGACGACATCGCACAGATCCATGAGATCGTCCAGGCCTTTTTCGAGGGCCTCGATGGCGGTTGTGTTCTCTGTTCAGTAAGAAGGTTAGTTTCGTATTTTTCGCACAGTGCCGGGAAATAACACGAAAGATGAAAGAAAGAAAGAAGCAACTCACCATATGTCTGAATGCGCAGGTTCATCTTTGCCTCTGAAGGGTGTGGGATTGTGTAGCCGCAGAATTCAACGTTGGGACTTTTTCGAATCGAAGATTAGAATATTATTCAAAGGTAAAAAAAAAAGGAAGAGGATTGTACTTACTTCTTCATAATCACATATCGCAAAGCATTACCCAGGGTGTGGCCCTCCTCATCAAACTGGAATGAAGCAGCTGTCTCGGTTGCTCCGGGCAGCTGCTCAATAAGTATTGTTAGTTCTCTGATCACATGCACAAAAAAAGATTGCTATATCGTTCCAAAGAGGCCAAGATCAATCGATCAATCTCGGGCGGACACAAAAGCGGACAAGAAATGAAAGGTGATAAAGCTCAGGGCAGGCTGTTTTCTACACAACATACAATAGTAATTCTCCCCTCAGCAGTCTCAAAGTATTCTTCGCCCGCACTGCCGTTTTGCTGCTGCGCCTCTGCGTCGACCATGGACTGGTCCTGATCCTGGGAATGGACGGAGGAGGGCATTTTAATAAAGACAACCTCTCCAGCTCGTGCGCAGGAGGAATCAAGTGGACAGCTGCCGTCAAATGGATGGTATTCTCGACTAAGCGTCGGATATCAAGATTGAGGCGTACTCCGTGCCGAAACGATGGTTTATTTCGTCAAAGGTTGCGCTTCATCGCAAATCAAGTTCCTCATGGCGGAAGAGAGGAAAAAAGTTATCGATAGAACCGGGGAAGGTGGAGCTGGGCGCATGCTGATTGGCTGCCGCCCGCGGCAGTGAATAGACGCCGCCATCGATATATCATCCGTCAGAGCTCTGAATACTAGGAACATCAACACTTGTGATGTTAGGACAATAGAAGGGCAGAAATGAGAAATGATTGAGAATATACTATATGTAATGGTTTTTCTTTGGATTAACATGACAGCCTGTCTTCGTGTACTGTACAATGGCATATAGAAGGAATATATATTTTGCTCCGCTAATCCCCACATGCGCGGTTTATAGTCTCCAGAACCTCACAGGTTGACTGTGTTGAGGGAGGAATGAATTTTGTCTTCCGTGATTATACCTGCAAGCTCCTCCAGACCAAACTGGACAATCTGGCTAATTGGCTGGACTGACGCCAGTCGCCTTACCCACCAAGAACTTCGGTTTGGACTCGACGAGATCCAAAACGGAATTCCCTGGCAAATTCGGAACCTAGCCTCAACAGTGCTGTCTCTAGCGTCGTGCCTGTCAGGGATGGCAGATTCCGAGACCGACAAAACAACATTCTCAACATTGGCCTTCGCTTTTACTTCCTCAAGGCCGTTCTTCGACCTTTCATAACCACTGACTTTGCCTTGCAATTTCCTCGGGACTACTTAGCGAATCCATGGGCCTAGAAATGGTGGCGATCAATAACAGCAGAAAAGAACGAAGGAAAGAGGCCGAATGGTAGAGTCTTACTATACAGCCGTGAATGCTCATATCAGCGAGACAAACCATCTTGAGGATACAGCTATCGAAGAGACCTTTATCAACACGAACTCACGGAGATACCGTATCCAGTGTCTATCAGATTGGGAGTATATTTGCTTACTCCACGGATCAATATTATATGCGTCCCTGTGTTTCATACCGTCAATGGCGCCACGAGATTAACCGGCATGGAGTTCATAACCTATTGTCCACCAGACGTGACCACAAGAGCCAAGCTGTGGGACGGCTTCTCATACCCTAAACCACAGCAACATCTGGCCATTGTGCTAGTGGAGTCCGGACTGGACCGAGAACCGATCCAGCACTGGCCGATTTTTTTGCATTGTCGAATCAAGAGATGCTGTCAAAGCTGTGGATGGGATAGCATTTACCAAACATCGAGTGGAAAGCAATCTCAGATGAGTATGCATTTCGTGCTGTCCTGGAGCAACCTGGGAACAGACACGGATGGCTCACCCATAACCATAAACCATGACACCAGAAAAAGAAGTGCGTAACGCTTGTGTTGTCTTTATGCTCCATCTGTCCCAGCCTCGATATCTGATAATGATGAGCCCGGGGCCTCTTTTGAAGGCTTACACGGGCTTCAAACCCCCGTAGCGGCTTCAAATATCGTCAATATCATCAAATTTTCAAAAGAACGCGCTCCTTTGCGGGTGACGAGTATGTACATTGCACAAGCCCTCGCCGCTCAGGAAGCGATCTGGATTCAATTACGCATCTCAGAGTTTAACGTTGTCAGACTTCGCCCAACACCGCTGCTGCATCGGCGTGACATTATCCAAAAGCCTCTGGTCATCCATGCCGATAATCAGGGAGCGATCGTCATATCGAAGAACCCGGAGTCCATGCACGAACGAAGCATATAGCAATTCGCTACCATTTTCTGCGCCAGGAGGTCGAATCTGGTACAATTCTTTTCAAATACATTCCCACAATTCAGCAGGCTGCCGACGGCTTGACTAAGGCCCTTGGAAACGTTGCTTTTGCACGCTTCGTGACCCAATTGGAGATGCAAAAGTTGCCCGATTAGGAAATCAAAATAGATTCATTTCCGGCGACAGTTATGGGGGGGTGTTGCAGGTAAATTTCTGCGGTAACTGCCGCCTTCTTTCCTGATTCGTACTAGCGCTTCGCTTAGATCCTCAGTGCCTACATCCTCCACCTTTGTACGATAGAGAAATCCTCAGATCTTAGTAGCAGAAACAGTCAACATGGCGTCTCGTACATACGCAGATTGATGGCGTGTCTGCAGTCACGGTCATCAGTCTGGAGCCTTTGCCTGAAAAGCTCAGGGGAGCCGTTAACTTTACGGCCTGGAATACTCTGAAAATTGAAGGATCTCGACAGCCTGATTGATTCGACTGACGACCGACCAGAACAGGATCACAAAAAGTACGCCTTATGGCGGAAGATTTCAATGAAAATCGGTATGTGGCTGATAAAACAGCTGGATGCTAAACTTGTCGAGAAGATGGATCTGTCGCCAACACCGACGGATTACGTGGACGAGACATACGATACGATAAAGAGAATTGTCACTGGATTATAGTCATCTTGGACTGTACTAGTCCTTATGCGTCTCCTGAGTGTTTTCGGTACCTTATACAGTGGCATTCCAGGACCAGTATCCTATTAAGACCGCTATGTTTACGCACTAATAGTGCATGTTAACTACACTTGACATTTCCCCTGCTCCACTTGGTTTGTTTTCTTGTTCTGTATCTTCTGAGCATACATGCTTAAAGAAAGCACCATGTCATACACAAAAGCCAGTTTCGAAAACCCACAGGTGCCTAATGCACCGAATCCATCTCCATTCGGCTATTATCATGGCAAGTATCTGTTTGAATGATACCAGGGCCGATTGCAAATCCCAACGCAGGTTGGGTTCTCTCGGCCACAGTTCTCCTTGGGAAGGTTTCCTAATGGATCCGAGAGAATCAACATTGAAATTCCTGATGCAATGTTCGATTCGAATTCTGATTGTCGAGCACAAGTTCGCAAACTTCGCCGTGCATGCGATGGCCTCTACTACATTTTTTTCTCAGAGCATACCAATATGGCCTTGAAGGTCATTGGGACGAAGCGTTCAAAGGGCCAAAGCAGAAGGGAAAGAAAGAGTTTCGCCTGCCAAGCTGTATCAACGAAAGGCGCCAGCGCAGTACGTGATTGCCAGGTACGATGAATATGCTCAACTGATTCTTACTGTCTACACTGCCTGCCAACAGCAACACCAACCGTACGATGTCCTAAATAATATCCAGTTCGTCGACCGGCCGCGGACTCTATTACCTGGCTATACGTAGCAGTTAATACCAACCAGGCGCTTCTGCGTGGCAAAAAAAAGGAGAGCCAGACTATTCATAAATCTTATTATGTCTTTGGCAGGGCTAGTTCCTCAAGCTGCCTGCCGTTCTTGATACCAAGTCAATCGAGCATGGACTTGGTGTGAGCACCTCGGCAGACAAAGTTGAAGCCATCAAAAATATGGCCTTCCCGTCCAATCTCCGACAGCTGGAAGCCGGAATTCAATTTTTTATACCTACCGATCGGCGGACCAAAATCGCCATAATGATGATGAGGAAAATCGGTGTGCTAAAGCTGTCAAGATATCTGCGATCCTGGACGACCAGCCGGTTCTCCATCGATTGTTGCATCCGATTCCGTGGAGTTATAAACTTTGACTATGTCAAATGACCAACATGGCTCGTCTGGTCAAGGATCTCGACAGGGAATTGTGCAGAAGACAGAGGAAATACACCGAAATGACCATGGATTCACACAGCCCCCGTTTCTGTACGCGCCTTTCTTGGAACTGTCGGTATCACCCGTCGCTGGGTGAGAAACTTCGCAGAGATTGCAAGACCTCTTTACTGCCTGACTGGAAAGGTCCATGGCGATGGACTCACTCTGAACAACTTTCTTTCGACATCCTCCGTATTAAGTGCTCAACCACCACTTCCATGTTTGGAATTTCTTGGCAGACTCCTTAACATTTTTATACCGATTCTTCAAAGTACAGAGCTGGGTTGTGCATCACTCAAATCCAGGACGACGTTGAACGCCCCATCCTCTATGACGGAATGCCGCTACCCTAGATATAAACGAGAGCTTCTCACTATTGTCAAGTTCGCTGAGAAATACGACTACCTTCTCCAAACTCCTCGCAACCGAGGCATTTTCCATACGGATCATAAACACAGCAAATGGCAACGCAGCAAACGCTCATCACGGCCGCGATACAGCAGACTACCGCCTCCCAAACGTCAGCGTTACAGGAACGCCTGTACGATCTCGCTTGGATGAGAAGAATCAACCGGACACTCTTCTTCACCTGAATGGTCCCAGTCCAGGAAAGAATGAATATATTTAGTACACACCCGGGAAAAGGAAAAAGGCGCAAAATTGCAGTCAGGTCGACGATGCTGCATGATCAGAAGAGCTGATGAAGCCCCAAGGATCCAAAATATCGACATCCTGACCTAGAGGACTACCTGTCTCGCATCAGCGGATGATGATCTAGAAGACCATCGTTATTGAAGCAAGGAACACAACTTCCAAGCTCCAAGATGTGAGATTGAACAGAGACCGATGGAAGAAATGACACACCAGAGAGCGACTACGTGCGTCCCAAAATGCCCTACAGCAAGAACGGCAAGGATGACAGGATGGATGGCTCCTGATAATCAGTGACGATTACAGCCACACCAAAACGATTCCAGAAGTCCAAACCATTCGTTACAATGGGACTTTCCTAAAGGACTGGATCGCTGAACACACTAGCCTCTTCCACTTTACTGGCTCAGAAGTATGTTGAGCTGAGTGAGCTACGATGGTCAATGGTTTCTGGAACACAATGCATGAGGTAAGTGAGTCTTCTCCCTAGCTTCTTGTTTGTTTTGTCGATGAAATCCTTTCTAATTTTTATGCAGGTGCTTGTCCCTCAGTAAGGTGGTGATCCTAATTAATTTATGTCTTCCTGTCACAGGATTTATTCATTTCTATCTTTCAAAATGAAGCGAACAAAACATCTCGTCTATACCAGCCAGGCAGTCAACAAGCCAGGTAATAGTCAACACCAACACCAAACAATATATATCATACACTTCGTCACGGATCCCTCCATCCTTATTCTCGCTATCATTACATTTGTCAGCCACAAATCTGATAACTCGCCGATATCTTGGCAAATTAAGGCAGAAAAGCCGATAAAATCCTGTCTGATTTGATATTACAAGCTTTATCGACGAGCAGTTGACCTGTGGCATGCCTCCAGAACGAGACAAGCACACGGACAGAGAAGGCAACAACGGCAGGATATAGAAACACGCAAAACTAGAACTATTTATAAACAGGACTAGGTACAATGACAGTTACTGTACAACCGAAGTTGGGTTTAGGAACGTTGGTGATTCTTACTTTCTAAGATTTCTTTGTTTGGGGCTTCAAACTTGGGTACTTGTATAGAAATATAAATCTGATGATGACGATGATTATAATGAAGACTACCTACCTAGTTCCTTTCCTCAATCAAGAAAGGAAATTTCCTTCCTTCCTTAGGCCACAGCTGAAGCTAAACAATCAAGTTCGTGGTGTAGTGCACACAGAGAGGTGTCAACAAACTTTCAACCAGCATCCCGCTTTGATTTCGAAGACCGTTCAATCCTTGAGACAGCTTATACTTACTTTTTTTTCTTCTGCCCCGTAATAGACGCCACAATTCACCGTCCTATCGACATCTGCCATGTCATTAGTCGATACCCAATTTGGAAGTACACTGAGAAAAGAAAGGAGAGAAGAGCGGTCTCGACTTTCCCCATATCGTGCGCATGACCATGAGCGGTGTGTGTGTTCTGGCCAGCACACACAACCTGGACCTGGTGCAGGGACGACACTACCTCAATCTGATAACATTTCTTTTTTTTTATTTATATTGGCCGAGTCTGCAATAAACCCTGATTAATCTGATTAATCTGTTTAATACTTTCTCGTGAATCACTCTTTTCCCTTGTGTCTCTCTCCAGCCCGTCTCATATATCTGCATCTGCATGCATCTGCATGATGAACGAACAGAATGACGACCAGCCCATCGCACTGGAAGAGCGGCAGCAAGAACCAGACCAGACGAGGCCGGAGTTCTCCCTTCCCCCAACCGATCGAGGAAAAGACGCCTGGCTCGTCCTCTTTGGGACGTTCGTCATCGACGCCTTCGTCTGGGGATTCCCGTTCACATCGGGCGTTTTCCAAGAGTTCTACGCCAGCGAATTCGCTGACGACAATGCTTCCTCGGGCGTGGCCATGATCGGCACCGTCGCTCTGGGCGTCCTGTACCTGGGCTCCCCGGTCTGTCTGTTCATGCTTCGTCAGTGGCCTCGACACCGCCGGAAGTGCATCATGGTCGGCTTCCTCATCACGGCCGTGGCCTTGGTGGCAGCGTCCTTTGCCACGCGCGTCTGGCAGCTGGTCCTGACGCAGGGCTTCCTGTATGCCGTCGGCGCGTGCATGATGTCGTACCCGACGATGCTGTTCCTGGACGAGTGGTTTACGCATAGAAAAGGCCTCGCATTCGGCCTTGCCTGGGCCAGCACGGGCTGTTCGGGCGTGGCCTTCCCCCTGCTCATCTCCTGGTCGCTGACCCATTTCTCGTTTCGCATCACCCTGCGCATGTGGGTGATTGCCAGCATGGTGGTCCTGGGCCCGGTGCTCCGCTTCATGAAGCCGCGCGTGCCGTCGTCGACGGGGTCTGCTCGTCCTTCCAACATGCCCGACATTCGTTTCGTCGTGTGTCGGCCTTTCTTCCCCCTGCAGCTGTGCAGCATCCTGGAAAGTCTCGGCTACTTCCTGCCGGGCCTGTATCTGCCTCTGTATGCGCGGTCACTCGGCTTCAGCAACGAGATCGCAACGGCCAGCGTCGTGCTGCTGAATAGCGGTGCGTTCTTCGGCTCCATGGTGACGGGATTCCTGGTCGACCGGTGGGACGTGACGAGCGTGATGTTATTCTCGACCGTCGGCGCAACCCTGTCGGTGATCTTTCTCTGGGGTTTCTCAGGACTGGCGACCGTGCTCTGCTTGTTTTCCTGGCTCTACGGCTTCTTCGCCGGCAGCTTCAGCTCTACCTGGCCGGGCGTGATGCGAGAAACGACGCAGAAACACCACTCCGCAGAGCCTGGCCTCGTGTATGCTTTCTTGGTGGCCGGACGCGGAGTGGGGGGAGTGGTCTCGGGGCCTTTGAGTGAGGCTTTGCTCAAGGCGCCGCCGTTGACCAGGACGTTCTCTTATGGCTATGGGAGTAAGTATGGCTTGTTGATTGTGTTCACGGGCGTCAGCAATCTGCTGGGAGGGATTGGGTTTATAGCGAGGCGGTTTGGCTGGGTGTGAGCTAGGTACAGTACATCGAGTTGTTTACTTTTGAAAATGTAACAGCAATACGTAATCTTACTCAGTGAATAGAGCTTTGTACGGAGTATAACTTGGAGATATCCATCCCAACATGTTACCAGAGTAGATAGTGGTGGATATCATAAATGGGAGATGCCTTGCTCGCACGGACTATCCTCTGATAGCTTCTAGTCCTTTTACAAGAATATCTTTGACCTAGTTCCAGAGTCTCTCTCTAAATAAACTCTTGATTTTTTAGATTAATACTTAAGTATAAATGAGCAAAGAATCGTTCTCATACTGTACTGTCTATCTATTTTTCTTTCTTTCTTTCTTTCTCTCTTTTTTCCTACTCAGGATACAATAGCAATAGTACAACATACAGTGCCAAAATTCTCCCTCAATCTGCATAAAAAGTAGAACTCCTGCCTAGCCAACGCCATACAGAACTCCTTCCACACGCTGCTATCGCCTCTGGTGACGATATCCCGAGCAATGAATGGACTCCTCCACTTGCAGTAAGTACTCTTGCTTGACACTCTCCAGATGCCGTTGTTCTCAATACAGCCGCACAAGGCGCGAATTCATAGGGGCTCAGGAGATTTACTAGATTTATGAATAGTGGGTGACCTGGCCTGACCTGACGAAGAAGCAGCGCATCACGCACTCATTGATTTTCACCACTCTGAGCTCAGATCACTAATATCAGCTAAGGCACTACACAATCAGACCTTCTCCTCTTCGTCCCGTCTCCTCCCCTTTTTTTTTTCTATTCTAGGGATTAAATAAGAGGATGAGGATGGCCAGGCGGAACGTGTCAGTCAGTCTTTCAAAAAAAAGGTTTGCTTTTTTATATATTTCTCCAGGATATCAATCAGAGTAGCGTCTGTCTCGTGCCGGAAAGAAACACTTCTGATCTCGTGAATGTCCTCGTTGCTGCGATTTTCAGTCATGTCTATACATAACTATGTACATTTGTACTGTACATATAGAATATAGTCACAGTGTTTGGTTAGGGGACGCGCTAAGACGTTGCACATTCGCTAAGAAAAAAAAAAGGAATGCCATGGCATCCGTCTAATTAGGTCTAGTTTGTTTGCAACATCGCCAGCAAGCAATTCTGGCGGAGAGCTCCATATAATCTGCCGTACGCGTGGACTAAATGGAGGACTCCGCCAAAATTAAATAAATTACATGCAGTCAGTCAATTAATGTATGTAAATTCCATTCCAATATATCCCTTATATATATACTGCTAGGACAGTGTGTACTGTACATGAGAACTAACTAATCCATCCATCCATCTAATTATAATCATCCCCCCGAATAATGACCACCCCCACGCTCCTCCGGAATAACCGCATCTCTCAGCTCCGCCAACACTGACCCTTCCAACCCCCAATCGCCAATCCACTGATTCATACGACATCCTTCCTTGAAATGCGCCGCCAAATGGTCCGCGCGCTGGGTCCAGGTGTGCAGCGTGCAGCCACAGAAGCCGCAGCGACTGCGGACGTCGTTGCGTTCTGAGCGGCAGACGCCTTCGATGTAGGCTGCAATATCGGCAGGCATACCGCTGTTGTTGTTCCTGCAACGATGAAACTTTTGCAGATGCTGCCAGAGATGGTCTTTGCGACGGAACGTGCGTTCGGCAAGCGGTCTGTCGGCGCAGATGTCGAATTCGTGCGTCTCGAAGTGTGTTTCGGAGGGAGAGGGGTGGCCACAGAAGGCGCATTCGCGTGATGATTGTGACTGTGTCTGTCCAATCTGCCGCATGACCTCCAGACTTGGCGTGCAGATCCACGACTGCAGCGACAGGTGGACGCTCTTCTCGTGCCGGCTCCAGTCGTGCTTCTTCTTGAATGAGTCCCGGCAGAAGGTGCACTGGTACGGGTGCCCTTCTACCGGCCGTCTTCTCCGCCGGCGACGTCTTTTCCCGTGATGATCATGATGATGCTCTCCACCAAGCAACGGAAACGGCCAGTTCCCGTCTCCGGATTGATAGCTCCACGCGGAGGAGAGGCTATCGGCCGATTCCTCCGAGTATCTGGTTCCGAGACTAGAGATGGAAGACGTGAAATGCGACGAGGCAGCGTCGTCGATATCATTATCGAATAGCGATCTGTTTGCGTTGGCAGTGAAATCTTCCTGGTTCCTCGCACTGGCGATTGCATCGCGGATCACAGATTCGGACACCGGCTCGTTCTCCGGCGGCGATCTCTTCCACCGCTCCATAGGCGTCATCAATGCGAAGCCATCCGAAGTCGGCATCGGCGAGCCAGAGGGGAAAAGCTGAGACGACGAAGAACGCGTATGCTGCTGCTGCTTCTGGCGCCGCCGGGCATTTGCGAACCAGTTCGAGACCTGTCTCTTGGTGAGGCCGGCTTCGTGAGCGAGCGCGGTCTTCTCTTCATCGGTGGGGTACGGAAAGTCCTGATGGCGGTGGAACCAGTTTCTGAGAATCCTGGCTCCTTTCCTCGAGAACGGCTTGCTGGAATTATTGTCGACTGGGGGGTCACGCATCTGCATCGCGGCGCTGGACTTCTCGTTTTCGTTCGCCTGTGCAGAATCGCCGACCACGTCCTCCTCCGTCTTTTCCGTAACACCATGCAGACGGCCATATACCGGCGTGACAGTCTCAAAGTCGCATGGCTGACGCTTCTCCCCTCGCGCGCGGCTGCACTCCCTGAAGAGCGCCACGCAGGTGGAACACGAGCCCAGCGGGTTCGGATTCGCCTGCGTTTTGCGGAGGATGAGACACTGCAGCCGTTGCTGTCGGCAATAGCTGCAGGGGACGGGAGGACGATAGGCGCCGTCGAGCCATTGGGGGACGTTGGCGAAATCACCGTGTGAGCTTTCTGTAGCAGAAACAGTGCGACTGGTAGTATTTTCTGGACAATCTCCCGCCTCAACAGCTGAAGAAAGCATGTTCGTATTCGCAGGTTCGTCGTCAGCGCAATACTCCAGATTGATCATATCCGACAGGGAGAAATCTGTATCTCCTTCAGGATGTTGCTCATGCCAGTCCAATGCTGGGAGTTCAGCTTGGGGAGACGGCCAGTCAATGCCATCATACATGCGAGAAGAATCTCCAGTCGACAATCCATGTTCTGGATCTTGGACAAACAGGTCATCATCAATGCCCACAAGGGCATTACTGTTGTCATAGTCCATGCTGACGAGGCAGAAACAAAACAAAATTAAACGCAAATTAAAAAAATAAAATAAAAAAAAAAGAAAAGCAAAAACCAAACCAGACACTATATACACAACTATGTATAGTACAAATATAAAGTCGAGCCCCGCCTGACGTTCAGATGAGTTGTAGATTCAATTCAAATTGAGAGCGGTACATGTGGTCGCACAGAGAATATCCAAAAGAAAATCAGTAGTAGAATTACCATGGCACAGCTGTCATCGTCATCCTCATCATCATCATCATCATCATGCAAAGATCATACAGCCATTGTGGACGTCGTAGTTTTATTTTGTCGAGCGAGTGAGCAATAATAAGTGAGCGGGGAGTCGAGTCAGAGTCATTGATGGATGGATTGATTGATAAATGGGACGAGTCACCTGACTCCCCGAAACCCTTACTTTTACTAACCCTTAGAAGGGAGATGATTCAACTATTGTGTTTTTGTCTATCTCACAGAAATTCAGGTTCAGCGAAATTTCCTCTAGTTTTCAATTTCAAGTCTTTTAATGAATGAAGTGCAAGTGCAACCAGATTGCAGGGAGCGTTCTTTTTTTTTCCCTCTCCTTTTCTTCTTCTTCTCTTCTGATCCACAGAACGCTATTATACTTCGTTCGTATGTACTCCTCTTCCAGAGTGTATTTATGATATGATATATAGAGGTATATCAGGTATATACAGTATATACAAAGCAACGAAAATTTTATGTTATTAAGTGGTTCTACCCACAAAACTCCTTAATCAACTCGACCAAAACCGCCTCTGTCTTCTTGACACTTTCCACATCGACATATTCCTCCTTGGCATGAAGACCCGCACCGGCCGGACCGAAGACGATAGCAGGGACGCCGACCTCGCTCAGGAGCGCGGCATCGCACCAGAACGCCAGACTGCCGACAGGAGGGCGATGCCCCAGGATGGGCGTTGCGATCGTGGCGGTCTTCTGCACCAAGGGATGGTCGGCGGCCAGTTTCTGCGTTGGACGCGACAAGGTGATGCGCGGTTCGGCGTAGCGGAATTCGGGCTTTTCCTGTGCGATGTTCGCCAGTAATGTCTTCATGTCGTGCAGGATCGATTTCTCCGTCTGACAGGGAATCGTGCGGAATTCAATCGTCACCGTGCACTTGGCTGGATACGACGACGGTTCTTCGCCGCCTCGGATCAGCCCACAGTGCAGCGAAGCCGGACCTAGTACGTCGTCCGTGGGAAGGGTTCGCTGATAGGCCTCCAGTGCACTCAGGAACCATCCGGCATGGAGAATCGCGTCGACCCCCAGCGCAGGTTGCGAGCCATGCGCAGCGACGCCGAGGATGTCCACTTCGACCCAGACGAACCCCTTGTGAGCGACAATGAGCTCCAACATGGTCGGTTCCGGGATCACAGCAGCGTCGGCCCGCCATCCTGCGTCGATGATATCCTTCGTCCCCAGAGAGGCATCTTCCTCGTCCGCAACCGCTGCAAGGATCACGTCGCCACGCAGCGACTGACCACTGGCCTTCACGGCCAACATTGCGCTCAGGGCAGCAGCTAAGCCTCCTTTCATGTCAAGGCTGCCTCTTCCTACGACCACTTGACGGTTGTCTTTTTCAACAATCTCACCAGACAGCGGATCTCGGTCGTAGCTAGCTAGACTGACCGTGTCTGAATGGCCGTTCAGCATCAACGACTTTCCCCCGCCAGTGCCACGAAGGACTCCGACAATAGATGGACGGCCGGGTGTCGTTTCAACGCGGTGGTTCTCGATCCCTCGGTGCTCGAGCCAAGCAGCTATGTAATCAGCAATCCTGGTCTCACCAGCTCCGTCTGAGACTGAGAGCGTCGGGCTGGACGAATCGATTCTGGTGAGTGTCTGCGTCAGAGCGACCGGGTCGTCGAGCGACACATCCGCAGGGATCGGGTACGAGCGAGGCCCTTCAGTGCTCAGCAGAACCACAACGGCGTCCTTGTTCAACGGCACTATCGTCTGCTGCGTCGAGGCCAGGTGTCTCAACGCAGCAAGGGTGGCGCCTCCACAGGGCCCAGCCGCCACAGACTGGGACGCTAGGTATTGAACAGCACAGTGGCTTTCATAGCAAGACACCGTGACGCTGGCATCCACAAGCCTGCGTAGATAATCCCAGGCGGTGATGGACAGGGTCCCGCAGCACATTCCATCCATGATGGTGGAGGACGTTTTGATCGACACCGACTTGCCAGCCTTCAAACTCTGGTATAGGCATGCTGCTGTGTCCGGCTCTACTGCGATAACAGCAACGGGTCTGGGACGGGATTTGCAATGCTGAGCGACAGCCTGTGCGAGAGATCCCACTCCAACAGGAGTCGTCATGACAGTGCCCTGCAAGCCCAAGTCCGCGAGTTGCGCTTCGACCTCGTTCAGCATGGTGGAATAGCCTTCGACGATCCAGGTCGGGATCTCCTCGTACCCAGGGAAGGAGGTATCTTGGACTAGGAGGCCGCCCTCGGCAGCATTGGAAGCCTGAGCAGCCTCCTGCACGGCTCGATCGTAGTCCCCATTGACGACGTGGACGTGTGCGCCTTCTGCGCTGATCTGGCTTCGGTAGTTCTCATCCACTGACTTGGGAACAAATATGTGCGCTTCCAGCGCGAGGATTTTCGCCATGAAAGCGACTGCTCTCCCATGGTTTCCATCCGTGGCAGTAAACAAGGCGATTTGTGCTGTTTTCGTGCTCTTCGACAGTTCTTCCAGGCTCACTGTTGGCGGCAGTCCGAGTCGTGATGTTACAGCTTGGAAAACACCCCAGGACGCTCCCAGGATCTTGAAGGAAGGCAGGCCAAACCGGTTGCTTTCATCTTTGACCAGGACCGCCCGAACGCCAAGTTCAGCCGCAAGACCAGGGAGTGAGATCAAGGGTGTTGGAGAGTAGTTTGGCAGACTGCGATGGAATGAATCCAAGCCCGGTACGCGGACAGGAGGGCAAGTTTCGGAGGCTGCAGCGGCGTTGAAGTAGATTGGTCTTCGCGTAGACATGGTGAAATTACCTGGCGAGCTTGCTAGTACCTATGGGTATGTCAACTTGATATTCGGTTCCAAAGGCGGGGTGATTCGCAAGTTGATTGACCGCGGGTTAAGAAGTAGGTCCATGTCTGTATATACGTACTACAGCCTTTATTCTGGTTCATGCCGTTAGGCCTGTATGAATTGAATTCTGCCAAGCCTTCTCTTCCGAAGATTTGGATATATAATCATGCCAGACAATTGGCTATTGACGTCTATAGCAAGTGGAGGAATGGCGGTGGTCAAGCTTTGGGATAGCCGAGCGCCTTCCCAGAACATGCGCCTTCCACGGACAAGCAGGATCAATGCACAAAACCTTTGCCTCTGCTATAACAAATCAACTTTTTATTGTTGCACATGAACATACTTGCATCTTAATAGGAGATATGGAAGGCATTGTCGTCGGAACTCAGGTTGCCTGACAGCCCGCATTTCTGAGTGAGGGTATTCCTACAAGCTTATCCTTCTACTCCGCAGAATATCGGACTTGAGATAAGACCTCAGATAAATGGCAATCAGGCAACGAAATATCCAACCTTTGTCTTGTCTGTACATGGGAAAAATCAGAAGAAGAAGAATAGATACATCATCCAAGATCCCGCCTCCAGGTAGCTAGCTTAATTACAACCCAAGTCTGCGCTCCGCTTCGCATATACGCCGATGTAGATCGATCGATGGACTGTCTTCCGCATCGCATCCTTCCGGAGAAGAAGCCTGTCGAGACCATCCCATCTGGACCTCAAGAAGAGAAGAACCAACATAAAAAAATAAGACCATAAATAAAATACAAGGAAATAAAACAAGATCAATCAATCTTTTTTTATTTTTTTCTGCTCCCGACAAACTACTTCACTTCATGTGCATCGGAAAAGGGACTCTGCGATCTTTCGATGGCAGAGGCACCCCCGGCCGTGTTGGAGACGCCCCCGTCGAGAAGTCTCGACGAGCCCGCGCTGGCCCGGTGACGATGGATGGAATTGGACTTGCTGTGATGGCTGACACGGGCCGACGACACTGCGGTGTTCGCCGTGGAAGACTGGTCAGCGAAGGGGCCTTCACCCACGGCGGGAGCGTTGACGACCGGGGAGGTTGGGGGTCAACCGGCGGGTGGAAGGGTTGGAAACACGACTTCTCCGATGATGCCCAGATGCAGCGTCGTCATCACTCTCCTCGTCGGAAGAGCTGTCAAAACCCGAGTTATTGTTGTCAAGCCGACGAGCCCGAGAGTGGGACGCGGGCGACACCGAGCGGCTACTGCTGCCGCTGCTGGAGGAGTCGCTCGCTTCCTCTTCTTCCGACACGGTAGGCACCTTGGCTTTGGGCCGTTTGACGTCCACCGGTTTAGCTACCACCGAGCGGGCGACAATGGAACTGCTGGCCTGCGCTTTGTTGAGCTGAGCCTGCGTGATGGCAGGCACCGCGGGAGCGTCAGATTGGGTAGTGGTTGTGGTATCGCTGGCACTGGTGGAAGGTCTGACGGAGACCATGGCGGCCTTGGTACGGAGAGCTTGCTGCGCCGGGACCGGACTGACGACGGCGTTGTTGCGGTAGATGGTGGTCGCCACGCTACTGCGCGCCAGGCTGGTCGCGATACTGTGGCGATCGACCGTCGACTCGGTGAACCGCGAGTCGCGAAGGTCACCGGGCATGAAGAAATGCTGGTCTTGAGAAGCACCGGGAAGTGGAGGGACGGGAGGAACCAGCGTCCCTGGAGTGTCTGGAGCGGAGCGATTTGTCACACCCGGAATGTAGGCGATCTGGATGACGTTGGAGGCACGCGTGAGGACGGTCGAGGCAATGGAAGCCATCGACCTCGTCGACTGGCGCGCTTGACGGAGGTCGTTCTTTTCCTGCTCCACCTCCTGCCGCTTCTTCCGGATGACGAACCACCAAATGAGGAAGATGAAAATGGCAACAAAAGCAAGACCTCCAATGACACCTCCAGCAATGGCACCCGCATTGCTCCCTGAGCTCGAGCTCGCAGCCGGAGTGGGCGTGGTCTGCGCCGGCAAACAGGTCACGGTCGCGCATTGGTCGCACGAACGGCTGATGACGGCACACGTTTCACCTGGACTGCAGTTACACTGCGGAGGGGAATCTGGACAGGAGACGCAGCGCCGAAAAAGCGAGCGCTCAGAGAACTCTTTCAGAACTGGACAGAGGGGGGAAATGATCAGCCAGAGTGTCAAAGAATAATCCTCCGAGAAATCATCGACTTACCATTCGGAGACGCCATGATGAAGGTGATCGGATGGGAGGAGGAAACAGAAGGATAAGAAGCGAAACGTCGGAAGCGGAGGAACAATCGGTCAAATCAATCAATCAATCAATCAATCAAAAGGCGTTCAAAGAAGCGTTGGTCGTAAAAGAAGTCGCAATGGGGAATTCAGACGGGCCGATCAACGGCACGGAAGCAAAGCAAGACACAAAGAGCGTAAGAAGGAGACGGAAGGTAGGAGACGTCAAGTCTTCTCTACTCCGGGAACAAGGCAGCGAACACGCGATAGGGCCCCGATGTCGTCAACAGAAATCAGGCTGCAAACGAATGAACGAGGTCGACGAAGATGAACATGGAGAAAATGTCGGCATCCAGTCAGGACAGGGCGATCGCAAATCAGGTGGCAGGGACCATTGTCCTTTTGGCGGCGTCAGCACGAGTCCAGCAGAGAGAAGGGCGATGAGCGCAGGGCGGGACGGCGGTGACAATGCGTACCCGCGAGGCTGGAGGTGGGTAAGACGCAGGGGATGTGTTCACTGCCAGCGTGCACAGATTCGCGAAATGACCGACAAAGGCGACGCCCTCAGGAGTGTATTTGGGACAGCTCGGGGGCAGCAGGGAGGAAGACAGGAAGAAAGAGTAAAGGAAGAATACAGGGAGAAACGAGCGACGGGGAGGAGAGACTGATTGATGATTGTTATGACTGATGCCGATTGCCCAGGGGAGCAAAAAGAGGAGGGAGCAGCACGACGAGAGGGCGCGCGGCTCGGGAAGCAGCGCCTGCCGTTCCGGGCAAGGCGCTTTCCCGGTTTAATTAAAGGCAGAAACGAACCCCGTGACCGGCAGGCGCTATCACCACGCACCCGCCGCGAGCGATACGCAGCCTCGCTCCAGCACGGCAATCCTCCCCGATCTGCATCGATCGCCGCGTTGCAAACTCGATAGCAGAGTCCAGACCCGCGGGTTTCGGACGGCTGCAGCACGGCTGCAAGGCGTCCGCAGTATTACTCTGTACGCTGGCATGCCGGGTGCTCTGTACCACCGCATTCAGGCCACCAGCTTCAGGTTACATGGGTGCCCTGGCGGATGCCACGTCAAGAAGCGCCCTGTTCCCATCTGGTTCTGGCCGAGCCCCGCTACGGCTTAGCGTCTCGGCGGAGTTGACGTGGATGCAAATTTACTCGGTACGGAGTACGATGGCGATGATGATTATGGTATGCGTCCGTGCCGTGGATGCCCCAGGCCGCAATGCCGTTCAGGCAGAAACGGTCACGGGTCTCGACCAGCTGCCAGCCTGCCACATGACATGACAGCCCGGTCCTCCAATGCAATGCAGGAAAAGAATTCACTGCGGGTCCTTTGTCTCCAGTACAGGCTGGTTTGCCCCGGCGAATTTCAAGACAGACTCTATCCCAAAATAACGCAACCGGTTGAGACAAATACCGAATGAGAGTCAGGCACTGTATACCCATCGGAGGGATTGCAATATGCATGTGCTTTCTTTTCTTTCCGGACGGACTGACTGCGCCACATCCAGTTGTCCTGTTGCACTGTACCAGCAATAATAATAGATGACGCATCCAGAGGGTATATTTATTCACCGTAGGTACAGTACACCATATCCATATGCAGGTAGCATCTTCATTCAATACTATCAGCGAGCTGAACGAAGCTGCTCAATAATCAACCATTCGCTGTCACAAAGAAAACAACACAAAAGACATATCATATTCTTCCCCTTGACTGAGACACTGCTCGCAGCCTCTATATAGAAGTAGTCCAGTTTACCTGTCTGCAAGTCCCTATCCGTATAAGACATTTTTTATTTCCCATGTGGTATCTTTCGATCTTTCTTCCTATCTAATGTAATGTACTGTACCTGCAATGACGCCGTCCATCTGATGCGAGAATAATACAAGAGTATACATGGGTATATATAGTACAAAGACAAAAAAAGAAGAAGAAAGGGTCTACTTCGCCAGAAACGCCTGGTACGCTTTCTGGTCAATAATCACATTCCCAATCGCATTCAGTCGCTTCCGCCCTTCCTTCTGCTTCTCCAGGAGCTTCTTCCGCCGCGTGATGTCGCTGGCGTGCAGCTTGGCCAGCACGTCCTTGCGGTACGGCTTGATCGTCTCGCGCGCCACCACCCGTCGGCCCACCGCTGCCTGGATGATGATCTCGAACATCTGCCGCTCGACGTGCTCCTTGAACTTGGTCACCCACTGCCGCCCCAGTCGCTCCACCTGGCTCGCGTGTACCATCCGCGAGATCGCGTCCACCGGCTTCTTGTTCACCAGCAGCTGCAGCTTCACAATGTTGCTCGCCTTCCAGCCCGAGTCCTCGTAATCCAGACTGGCGTAGCCTTTCGTCGATCCTTTCAGCTTGCCGAAGAAGTCTTCGACCAGCTGGCCCAGCGGCAGTTCATACTTCAGGATCACCTGCGTCGGGGTGAAATACTCCAGGCTCTTCTGGATGCCCCGGTTTGCTTCACACAGTTCGATCACCTTGCCCAGGTACTCGTCGGGAAACGTAAGCGTGGCCAACACGTACGGTTCCTGGATCTCAGCAACCTTGTTGCGGATGGTCTCCTCGTCCGGAAAGTGGACGGGGTTGGTGATGATGCTCTCTTTCCCATCCTTGTAGATAATCTTGACCGGGACAGTCGGCGGAGTGATGATGATGCTCGCGCCGTGCTCCTGCCGCAGTCGATCCTCGAACACGGAGCAGTGCAGAGTGCCCAGGAAGCCCAGTCGGAAACCTGCGCCCAGTGCCTCCGACGACTCCTTCTGCACCGTGACACTCCGATCATTCAGTATGAGCTGGTTGATGCTGTCTTCGAGATGCTCGAAATGGTTTGTATCGACCGGATAGGCCGCCACAAAGACCATCGCCTTTGGCTCTTCGAACCCGGGAAGCGGTTCCACCATCCTTTCACAGCCAGCCTTGGTATACGTGTCTCCAATCTTGGCCTCCTGGATTCGTTTCATACCCGGGTTGAAGTAGATATAGCCCACTTGCCCGGCGCGTAGGACCGTCTGAGGTGTCTGTTCAGGGTACATGATCCCGACTTCACCCACATAGTATTTGAGACCAGTAGCAAAGGATACCACCTGATCTCCCGCGCGAACCTCTCCATCGAAGATCCGGACAAGAAGGATCACACCTTTGTAGGTGGAATACCACGAATCCACGAGGAGCATGCGAAGGGGTTTAGTCTGGTCGCCGACGGGTCTAACAGCAACCGATAAGCATGTGGGATCAAATCAACAGGATACAGGTTTGTGACTCACGCTGGTATCTTCTCGATAACTGTGGGAAGCAATTTCTCGACATTCAGTCCCGTTTTGGCGGACACCATCACCGCATTGTCCGTGTCGATCTCAAACGAGTTTCTCATTTGCTCGAGGGCACGCTCCGGTTCTGCCGAGGGAAGATCCACCTTGTTGATGACGGGGATGAGTTCTAAGCCCTGGGCGAAGGCCAAGTAGAAGTTGGCAACCGTTTGCGCCTGCACTCCCTGGCTCGCATCCACCAGGAGCAGTGCCCCTCCGCAACTGGCGTAACTGCGGGATACTTCTAGGCGGAAGTCGACGTGGCCCGGCGTGTCGACGAGATGGAGGAGATAGTCCTCGCCATTGTGGTTGTATAACATGGTGCATGTCTGAGCCTTGACGGTAATTCCGCGCTCCCGCTCCACGTCCAGCTTGTCGAGGACCTGCTGGTTTTCGCCCGGCTGGATGACGCCGGTGAGTTCGAGCAGCCGGTCGGACAGCGTGCTCTTGCCATGGTCGACGTGGGCGACGATGCAGAAATTGCGAAACCGCTCGATCGGAATGGCCGCAATCCGTTGCTCGAGTTCTGATACCACCTTGGGACTTTGCGCGTGCCGCGCGACAGAGGTGGTGAAGGATCGGATCCTCTCAGACGAAGAAAACGGAGGTTGGAGCAGCCCGCAGGTCGGGCGCCTGGTCGATGTGCTCAGCCATCGAAGCGCTCGCAGACATCCTCGCATCGGGATATCGGCATTGAAGAGCAATCAATGCACCACAGGCGTCGTGTGATGTCGTGGCGTTGGCGACTAAAATTTTGGAGGAGCTGCGGCTCTGCGGCGGAGAACTTGCTGGGCCGGAAGATCTGGATCAATTAATTGCTGGGGCGACTATCGCCGTAAACAATCCGCAACAACGTCAAATCTCTCCCTTCACTCCAGCTGTGACAGCACCACAGTTATTTTACCAAGAACAATCTCATCAAGATGTCTTCAGAAAAGGACAAGTCGAAAGTGCACAAATTATCCCTGAAAGGTAAAAACCAGCAGTCTAGGTTCGAGATTCGACGGATGCGCGGGGACTGACGGAAGAGAGCAGGGTCGGCCAAACTGGTGGCAGAATTCGTAAGGACGCCTCCAAACTCACTGTATGCTTAGCTACATGCTGACGGAGAACAGTTTGAATATTCGATCAACTCAATCCTGTATGTTGTCGAAGCAATTGTTTTGCAATGGCTCGTGCCAACTAACTGCCTGCCGTACAGCTTCCAGCGTGGTGTTTACCCTCCGGAGGATTTCACAGCGTGAGTGTTGCAAAGCCCCCTCCCCAGAGAAGGACCCTACTGACGATATCTGCTAGTGTGAAGAAATATGGACTCAACATGCTTGGTTCGTTCCGCGCCTCTTGTCGATAATTCCAACGATCTATACTGACCCATCCAAGTCACGGCCGACGACCAGGTCAAAGCCTACATTAAGAAGATCATGTCGCAGCTCAACAAGTGGATGATTGGAGGGAAGATATCCAAGCTTGTCGTGGTCATCACGAGCAAGGAGACGGGGGAGCATGTGGAGAGATGGGAATTCAACGTGAGATTGAGACGGCACAATGGACGTGGGCTCCTGGGCTAATCTGCCGGTCTGAATATAGGTCCAAATTTTGGGAAAGTCATCTCAGAAGGGACCTTCGCGGAAGACTGTGGATAAAGAGAATGCCGGTCCAGGGTATGTCCAAAGCGAAAACCAGACGCGATTGTCGCATAGCTGACGGACTTGCGAAATCCCAGAGATGTGGACCATGCAGCGCCAACGCAGGAAAAGACAGAGAAAGAGATTCAGGAAGAGATCCAGGCAATCTTCCGACAGATCACGGCGTCTGTGACCTTCCTTCCCGTTCTCGACGGGGACTGCACCTTCAACGTCCTCGTCTATGCCGATGCTGATTCGGAGGTGCCCGTCGAATGGGGCGACAGCGACCCGAAGGAGATCAAGAACGGCGAGAAGGTGCAGCTGAGGAGTTTCAGCACGAACAATCATCGGGTGGACACGCTTGTCAGCTACAGGCTTGCTGATTGATTGACGATGATGGAATATTGTCGGGATTGTCGGGAATTATTGTCTCGATTTCAAAGCGCTGGGCGTTATGGGATGGAACTTGGCTACGGTTAATAATGTGTTAGTAGTATGTAATATTCTATTAGGTCCATTTCGGGTATGTTCGTCATGCAATATGATGGATTGAAGCAAGCGCATGAACAGGATATCAACAACATTTATAAAATCGAAAAAAGCATAAATAAATAATATAATACAAGCCTTCAACGACTCGCTCCGCTCGTAATATATAATATTTACCTATTCCACGGCAACACATCCCTCTCCGGAAAACCACTGATCATCACAACTCCAGCCATCCCAACAAACCAGCCTCTCGACGACAGGCTCCAAGCCAACATTAACAAAGACGCTCTTCTCGAGGCCTTCCGTCCAGCCCCGTCTGCGCCTCTTGGACATGAGTTCGGGACCGACGCCGTAGAGATCCTTCCTCCAGAGGCCGATGCCGCTCTTCTCCTCGCCGGCAAACAGCGACGCGGACGGGGTCACTTCCTCGGGGGGGTTGATGCCAATCAAAGCGACCCTGTCGTGATTAGTGAACCCAATAGCAGGAAAATGACACTCCAGGAACCGGCGACGCTTGAACTCGTGCGTCACGACAGTGATGCGGCGCGGGTAGACGCCCGTAACGAGCCGGAATCGGAGCAGGGAGAAGATCACGTTCTGGTAGGAGTCTGTTGCGTGGGTTTCGGCGAGAGTGAGGTCGTTGAGTTTGTCTATCATTTCCTTCTTCTTCTTCTTCTTCTCGTCATCGGCAGATGGAGACAGAGAAGAGAGGAAAAATCCATTTTCTCGCGCGAGGTTCTAGAAGTTCCGGATCTTAGCATATATGTACATACAATACATACCTACTATTAAAAAACAAAAAAGTATACTTATGGGTGTATGGGTATACTTACAAGGTAAGACTCCCCCTCGCTCAAGTCCGTCCTATCCTTTTTCGTTGGACCTCTGATATATATTCAGTCGATCATCAGTAAAATATCCAATCGACAACAACAAAAGCCAGCGTTCGATTAACGACATATCAAACAAGTGGACATGACAGGATAAAAAAAATGAAAACTCACCCTGAGAAAACCAACAGTGCATTACATTTACCTGCATCAGCAACATTTGCTGATGATGAAGATGAAGAAAGAACACCAATCGACGACAATAACTCCCGAATCCCAGCCTTCACATGCTCAATAAATGTCGGCGTTTCGCCCTTCTGGAATGGTTCGATGAGCCTGTAGAAATACATAAAATAAATACGTGTGTTGTGTGAGTCAAGTTGTGCATGTATATATAAATATACAATATTCCGTCTTGTCAATCCCCCATGCGAACTCTTTCTTGCTTTTCTTTTTTATTTATTAAAAAAAAAAAAAGAGTCTGTGACATTGTGTACGGAACTTACGTACCACTCATTTTCGTCAAATCCATGGGTAGGTCCACCGAGGTAGATGGCGTGGCAGCAGACGATGATCAGATGGTCAAACGTTGATGATGAGCAGCATTGCTGACTTGGCGACATTTTTGTCGCTTTCCTACAGCTAGCCTAGCCAGCTGGTTGGTTGACTGAGTGGGGAAAAAATGATAAGTGACTGAGCCTGGCTGGAACCTTGTATAGGTTAATTTTCCTAATTGTAGCAAGCTTGTTACGTCGTTGAGGATGTTACGAAGTAATAATAATGTTGGAGGACTGGCGATTACATAAGGCAATTTCCCATTCGACCTCGCTGGCAAACTACATACGCATACTTATTAAAATCGCGAAAAACCTTGAGTTTCAATGTTATGCAGTATCATAATGCATTAATCTGTACCTCTGTGAAATATTGTACACCTGACCAGACAAAGTAATCAAGTTCTCCGGACGCTGCATGAGTGGAAGAACAAAAGAACAAACACATGCAAATGAAAATGCAGAAAACAAACAACAACATATAGTCATAAGGTTAACCCCCCAATCAGAAAACCAGATATAGACATAGACAAGCACAACGTAACGACAAAAATGAAACGCCATGCTTGACACCAGCAATAATGCACCGACAGACGAAAACTCTAGGACAACAAATCGCCCCCATGCTATGCAATCCCAGTTGGTGTAAACATGCCCCGATTCAACGCCATTGCATTACAGACGAAGGACCATCTACCCTCCCTCCAAATAGACATGCACGATTGCATGCATGACTATGACCGCTAACCGCAATGAAACTGTGTAGAATGACGATTCGAAAATATGTGAATAATCGAAACACCGTAAAATCGAAAAAGGAACAACATTTGGGTATCACAAGAAAGAGGCAAGGCGATACAATCTCCGCGCAGAGTCTATCAATCGAGGGGATCGTGACGGAAAGTGCAGTCTTCACCCTTCAGACATTTGCCTTCACGCCAATACCGACAGGGCACCGAGCCAGCTTTGGGCTGCAGAAACGTTAGTCTTGTCGCCATCTTATGAAATACTGCGGTGGCAACTTACATGTTTTTTCGCCTTTGGGTCCACATACATCTTTGGTCGCTTGCTCTGTCTGTCGTCAGGAGTACCATCACGCCCTCCCATCTCGCGCAGTCGCCTGCGTTCCGGATCCTCATACACCTGGTTTTGAGGTTGCGCCTGTGCCTGCGCCTGTGCCTGCGCCTGTGCCTGCGCCTGTGCCTGCGGCTGAGACTGCGGCTGAGGCTGGGAAACCTGTTGACTGTTACCGCTGAGTTGCGATATAATTGCCGCGAGATTGGGGGGGACAATGGGCTGCGACTGTGGGATTTGCGGAAAGACTGCTGGTTGCTGCATCTGCTTCTGTGCGTTGAGGATTGAAAATATGTTCTGAAAATCAGTAGATTGGGACGCTGGAGTTGAAACTTGTGGCATCTGGAAAGCTGCCTGTTGTCCCTGCTGTTGCAGCTGTTGTTGTTGCTGCTTTCGCTGTTGCAGGAACATATTAACGGTTCTTTCAAGATCCGACATGGAGGCTTGTTTAACGGGCTGTGGGGGCGGAGTAGGCTGCTGCTGAGGTGTCTTCTGGAGACGTTTAAGAAGTTCGAGGATATCAAGTTGGCCGCTCGGCATCGCCGCCTGCGGAGGTGCCGTCGTTTGAGGAGAGGATGTTGACTGAGGATTCATCATCGCGAAGTATCGGGCCTCACGAGCCTAAACAGATTGGTTAGTGTATAGAACACTCGTTTAAAAGCAACAATATCGCCAACTTACCTTGACGTGGTCGCCTGGCTGACCGAATGCGACTTCTTCGGTCACAGGCTCATCTTCAGCAGGAGGTGGTGGCTCTTTAGGAGACGGAGGAATGTCTCCGGGCGATGTATAGAATACCATCAATGTAGTCGCCTCACGACGTTCTTGTGCCTCCTTCTCGGGACTATCCGGCTGCAGAGTGCCTCCACGCTTGACAAAGTTTCTTATTCGATCCTCGTACGGGAAATCGTCGAAGTCGATTTCTGGGAAAAGTCAGAAATAATCAAAGAATATATAAAAGACCGGGAGACATACCAGAAGGCACTTCATATTTGCGCAACTCCTGCTCATTAACCATTTCTTCTTCCTCATCCTCCACGTCAAGGTTCTTTTGCATCTTGAGCACACGGCCTTCTCCTTTAATATCCCCGACACCGCGTTTCAGGCCATCGTTTGGACCGATCTCCTCTTCAGGATCGTGCGTAAACAGACGGACTTCAGTAAGACAATCATCAGGCTTCCAGCTGACTCTCAACTTGCGTCTTGCTTCCTTGCGAAGCCGCTTTTGACGCTCCTCTTCTGTCTCTGGAGGCTTGTTCTCAGCTGGTTTCGCAGATGAGGATTCTTCTGACTTGCTAAGACCTGCGAGAATATCCCCAAAGGACAAGGTAGGCTTAGGTGGTGGCGGTGGTTGGGGAGTATCCTTTTTCTCGGCAGCCGCACTGTAATTGTCAGTAAGGACAGAGAAAAGACTGGGGAACTTGATAACATACGTTGCCTTCTCCTTTGCAGCGGCGGCAGCAGCAGCTCGTGCTGCGTTTGAAGTGCCAGGCTTTTTGGATGCAGAGGCGAGACTGTTAAAGAGACTCGTCGGCTTCGGAGCAACGATGCTGGCTTTGGGGCGGGCCGATGCAGGAGCAGTTGTAGACGATGTTGGCTTAGCCTCCGCAGATCCTTCAGGACGCTTGGTAGCGGCCGTGTTGCCGTTGCCAGGTTTCGCTGCAGAAGGACCGTTTTTGACCGTTGATGTAGTCACAGTCCGTTTTGTCGCAGGAAAGCCATTGCTTTCACCTTCGCGCGGACGTTTTGTTCCGGCCACAGAGTCCGATCCGGACGTATCATTTGTAGATTCAGAAGCCGAATTTTTGCTAGGCTGCTCATCTTTGGCAGATGCTGCCTTAGAACCCTCCTGCTTCCTCTTGGTCGATGCAGCTGCGTTGTCGACAATTTTCTGGGCAAGGTCTTTCACGGGCTGACTTCCCTTTTTGATGATTCTGGGTAGAAGCTTCATGACATTGGTCTTCTGAAGTACGTCCTCATCCATGGTGGTAAATTTTGCGAGTAACTATGATTTTGCTACGATTAGCTCAACTCTTGTTACGCAAAGTTACGTTAATAGTTTTTTTTATTTACCTTGAGGATATTGACGGTCAACACCCCGTCGTAATCGGATGCCTGATGTCGATCGAGAAGAAATGAATACAGGGCGGAGACTGCTATTGGGTGTTCTCCTAGTCTGCTCAGAATGAGTTAGTATCTTGATCAAAGAGGTCCATACGTGGACCCGGGTCTTAGCAGATTCATCATTCGCCTCGAACGTGGCTTGTATTAAGTCATACAGCGCAACGAAGTCTGAATTGGTGACGCCAGAAAGCTCCTGGCGGATACCAACCAGTGTCTGTCCACGCCAGCTAACCGCACATGTTTACCTGCGAAGGTCCGCAATCCTCCAACACCTAGGATATATACTTGACTTGTATAAGCCATCGGTGTGATAGAAGATAACGTGCCTTTACGGGTAGTGAATAATTCCTTAAATGCGCTGGTTATCCACGCCAGGAGGGTTACATGGTAGTAGTTCTCAATTCGCTTCAGACTTCTACAGCCATGACGACGGCGACGACGATGATCTGCTAAAAAGGTGAGGGAATCAAACAGGAAAAGGACATACTTTTCAACGATGACCGGGTGGCCCTTCTCTAGAGTGGTGCGCACGACCACATCCATGACGTGCCGTTGCAAGACGACCTTCTTTTTCAGTTCCGCGGCTTTATCGTTTTCGGACTTGTTTTCTGCTTCTTTCATGGCCTGACTCTGCGTCTTCCACTCATCCCTTACGGATTTGACAACATCTTTGAACGCTACCAGAGCGCTCTTAATTTTTTCAACATTTGGTCGCCTGTTACGGGGTGCCCATACAGCTTTCAGAGCGTCGTATTCAGCGGCTCCTTCAGGGTTATCGGGACGCGTAGGTGGAAGAGGAGAAGGCTCTTCTTGAACTTCAATGTCGGACTCTGAGTCATCCGAACTGTCACTATCCGAGTCTGAGGAAGCTGATTTGGCGTCGGCTTTCTTCGAAGCGGCTTTATTCGCGGTCTTTTTGGGCTTTGGTTGTGCCGGCTTTGTCGGACTAGCTTTCTTTTTCCGAGGCGTAGTCGCCTTCTCCGGTTTGGCGGCTTCGGGAGCCTCTGGAGCTGCGTGTACTGTTAAACCTATCCCGAAAAAGCAGTTTGAGAGGATGGCGTTGAGACTCACCTTCCGGGCCGGGAGCTGCGGAGACAGGTACAACTACTTGCGGAGCCGTGTCTGGTACTGAAGCAGGTTGAATCTGCTCAGTTTGCTGTGAGGTAAGCGGCTGCGATGTAAACTGGTCAACTTGTGGTAAAGCCTCCAGGTTCTCATGATAGCCTTGATAGTTCCTAATGCAGGCGAATTAGCAATCATGGAAGAGAATTAAATTCTTCTGTGAAACTTACTTTGAACTATCTGGGCGTTCGTAAGTCGACGCTGCCGGGTTGTAAAATAGAAACTCATTCTGGGGCTCGACCTGAGACTGCGTGGACGCAGGAGGTGACGTTAGGAATTGGGGATTGATGGTTTGTTGATACGAAACATTCGAATTGGAGTCCAAGTAGTTGTTTGGGAAATTGACAGAGTTCTGCTGATAGGTGTTAGCATGGTCTCCCATACCATTACTTTCATGGATTGGCTTACAGAAATGCTGTCCTGGTACTCTGCTGGCAAGATATATTGATGATTGAGCGGTCGTTGGACATTATTAGGACGAATGGGGACCGGCTGGTTGGGTGAAGGACGTGGAGCAATGTTTTGAAGTGGTGGCCGGGTGTATGTTTCCGGAACAGAAGGAGCATGAGACGTCTGATAGTAATGATTCGGAAGAGAATAGGGAGAGTGGTAGGACAAATTATTCGAGGGACTTAGAGACGGAGAATTGTAAGTCACCTGTCCCTGGGGATAGTGAGGTATCTGATACTGGCGCTGCTGTGGAATAGCGTAGTTCTGCGGCCCAGGCGACATCGTAGGCTGCGCCAAGGCCGAATTTTGGTGCCATGACTGGGGAGCTGTAGAGAAAATGGCCTGATTATGCTCCTGCTGAGGTTGGAGATGGTTTTGCTGCTGTTGCTGGGGTTGCTGTTGTTGTTGATGCTGCTGTGTGAAAATTGGATGGTCCCAGTTGATACCCAGCGGTTGCTGCTGTGGCTGCTGCTGCAACAACTGCAGGGGGTCCGGCCCCGACGAGTACAAAGGGTCGATGTGGTTCCAGTATTCAGGGGCCAGAGAGCCTTGTGCTACTGAGGAACGGCGCACATCCGGCACATTACTCTGCGGTGCTGACTGCTCCATGGCTGGATGCTGCTGTCGATCGACCAGATGTATATAGAACGGACAGAGTCACGTGCCACGGGGAGCACGTGTGGATGCCGAGTTCAGGAACAGCCGGTGCCGCTTTAAGACCGCAAGCAAGCCAGTTGCCGGAACGCGGGTGGAGCTTATTCGCCGGCATCCACCGACCGCGTCGATCGTGGCAATAGTCAGCCGGCAACCGGCCACTGAAGGCTGCGCGTGGCCTGCCAGCGAATGAGTCCGGTAAATCCTGCACCCAAGTCACAGCACTGTACAAGAGAACCCGCACAAAAGCGGCAAGAGGTTTTCTTTCACTGGCCAGCGCTGGCTAAGAGCTGCGTGTGCCTTAGGCGCCGAGAACGAAAATTTGGGTGCGCAGGCCTCTGTGCCCCTTCCCTTCGAGCGGGTCGCGTCCAGGTTCCGAGCGCTCTCCAGGTGTGCTTGTCGCCCTTTAGAGAAGAACCGGGGACACTGTTGATGCAAGAGCTTCAAAAAAAAAATCTCAAATACACCGGCAAGTACAGTAAGCAGCAGTAAAAAAAACCCAGTGGAATCCGATCTTCCTTCAACGCCTCCTCTCTCTCCGTGTTTTCCCACTTGTCTGTCTTTTCCACCACCACGGACCTGCCCGCTTTCCAGGAGTAAGAAACCGTAGAACTGCTGAAGAAACCTCTCATGTTCCGCCGCTCTCCGGCGGCTGAGCGTTCTCTAACTTGCCTTATAGGAGTAGGGAAAGGGCTCTAGTACGAAGAGCCACAGTCTCGCTGCCTGCTGGCAGCATAATCATTCGCTTTACGGAGGGTAGTGAAGGCTGGGGGTTGACGGTCGCGGAGAGACAGAGAGAAGGAAGGAAGGAGCGGCTGCCTGGAGGAAGGTTCTGCTGTTGTGTCACTGCGCCCGTTTGGGCCTAGCGTTGGCACATGACGTCCCAGCCACGGGTTGTTTGCTGTGTTTGGCGGCTTATGTCAGCAGAGCCCGCCATTGGCCAGAGCTTGTCGGGGCGGATGCTGCCAAGTGGATGGATGATGATGCCCCGACGGCGTGGATGGCCATCTTGCTGTATGGGGGAGGGACGGGCCTGTTCTTGACCTGGATCGTTGAGTCTGCAGTGTCATGAGCCTCTCTTCCTGCGCAACAGTCGCATTGATCTCCTGAGCGGATTTTGGACCTGCCGTTCGCCATGGCGTCCCATGCCATGTCGCTGCGGGACCGTCAAGTCGGTAGGTTGTGCACCACAGGCTGCTTCCATTTCCTGGGAATCTTCGTCGAGTGCTGACCAGAATTGCGATAGCTTCTATTCAGAAGATTCTCAACCTGAATCATGATATCCAGCCCGCTGGCGACTCCCACCACGATGGGACTGCGAACGGCCTCATTTCCCACTCCACCCCCATCTTGAACGAGGATGGCGACCCCATATGGAAGGTGTTGGTCTTTGATAACATGGGCCGCGATGTTATCAGCAGCGTGCTGCGAGTTAACGACCTTCGCGCGTGGGGAGTTACGATTCATCTGTATGCGACCTTGTTGACGTGGAAGATGCTTTTGTTCACTCCGACGTTCCTGGCTAACCTCGAGATGCTAGAAACATCAACTCTCCACGGTATCCCATCCCCGATGTCCCAGTCGTCTACCTTGTTGAGCCGACCCCTGCCAATATCCAACTCATCACGTCCGACCTTTCTCGAGGGCTCTACTCCCCCGCATACGTGAATTTCCTGTCCTCGGTACCGCGTCCACTTCTGGAAGACTTTGCCTCGCAAATCGCAGCGACGGGTACGGCAGAGCATATCGCCCAGGTCTATGACCAGTACTTGAACTTCATCGTTGCCGAACCAGATTTATTCAGCTTGGGGCTCGGCAATGACTGCTACTACAAGATCAACAGCGCTCAGACGAGCGATGAGGATCTGGATGATATCGTGGATAAGATTGTTAGTGGGCTGTTCAGTGTGAGCGTCACAATGGGTATGGTCCTGGTTCCTTTTTCTCTCTTTTTTTGAGAGGGCTGGCAACTGATCACAGAATTGTAGGAGCCATCCCAATCATCAGATGTCCCAAAGGAGGGGCAGCAGAGCTAATTGCGACGAAACTGGACCGCAAATTGCGGGATCATATACTGAATTCTAAAGACAACCTTTTCTCAGGCAACAAGCGCCCAACTCCTGGGGTGCCTGCGTCACGGCCTGTCATGATCATTGTTGATCGGAATGTCGATCTCGTCCCTATGCTTTCCCACTCGTGGACATACCAGTCTCTCGTCCAGGACGTTCTCAAAATGCGTCTAAATCGCATCACTGTCGAGACGCCGGTGGATGAAACGAACCCCGCCAAGGGAATGACGAAGAAGTCGTACGATCTGAACTCGAACGACTTTTTCTGGAAGCGCAATGCTGGCGTCCCCTTCCCCCAAGTGGCGGAAGATATTGACGCGGAACTAACGCGGTATAAGGAGGACGCGAACGAGATCACCAAGAAGACGGGCGCGTCATCAATTGAAGACCTTCAAAACGATGCCAGTGCTTCTGCACAGCACCTGAAGGCCGCCATCACGCTCCTGCCAGAGCTGCGTGAGCGCAAGGCCATTCTCGACATGCATATGAACATTGCTACCGCTCTTCTCAAGGGCATCAAGGACCGTCAGCTCGACAACTTCTTCCAGCTGGAAGAGAACATTGGCAAACAGTCCAAAACGCAGATCCTGGAGCTGATCAACGACCCGAACAAGGGCACGGACCCGACAGACAAGCTGCGACTGTTCATCATCTGGTTCCTGACGACGGAGACGGAGTTGTCACGGGCCGATCTGGCAAAGTTCGAAGAAGCCCTGACGCAAGCCGGCAACAAGGATGTCAGCTCGATCGCGTACGTCAAGCGCGTCCGCGAGATCACGCAGATGACAATGATGACCAGCGCGGCGAGCGGGGCGCCCCAGCAGCAATCCTCAGACCTCTTCCGGGGATTCTCGTCTCTCTCCAACCGACTGACGGACCGGATCACGTCAGGCGCGCTGGGGGCCAACTTCGACTCGCTCATCTCGGGCGTGAAGAATTTCCTCCCGGCGAACAAGGACCTGACGCTGACGAAGATCACGGAATCGATCATGGACCCGTCCTCGGCATCCAGCTCGGCGATCGCCAAGACGGAGAACTATCTCTACTTCGACCCTCGGAGCGCCAACGCGCGCGGCGCCATGCCCCCGACGTCCGCCTCTCGGTATGCCCAGGGCGGGTCGCAGATGCCCGGCGGGCCCGGCAGCGCCGGACCAGGAACGGGCGCGACCTTCGGACAGCGCCGGCAGGCCTTCAACGAGGCGATCGTTTTCACCGTGGGCGGAGGCAGCATGGAAGAGTACGGCAACCTGCAGGACTGGGTGCGACGGACCAGCGGGCAGTCAGGCGGCGGCGGCACCAGCGGAGCCGGCGGGAGCAGTGGAGGCGGGGCCTCCTCGGCGGGCAGCCCTCGACGACGGGTGGTATACGGCAGCACGGAGTTGATGAATGCGTCGGAGTTCCTGACCGATGCACTGGCTCGATTAGGCAAGGAGAGCTGATACTTCCGCAATAAAAGAAAACAAAAGGGTTCCGAAGCCCTCTCTCTATCTTCCTTCTTCCTTTTTTTTTATTATAGTATTTAACTGTAAGGTTATCTTATCTGCTACATCTACCTACTCAGTAGTCAAGATAATAGACCCCTTTGTCTTTTTCTCTTTATTTCATGTTCATTTCATTCCATCCCATTTTACTATCAAGAGTAACAGAAACGAATAGCATAACCGTCGGGTTTGCTACTATGTTATGTTATGCTATGCCATGTTGATGTTTAAAAAGAGAGAGATATGAGGATATGAGGTAGAGCAGAAGACTACAGACTGCAGTGTGGACGATTTAAGTAGATAAAGACTAAGAGTACGGGATAGATAAGACTACGATTTATCTGGATTATATATATATACCTGGTAGATGGGTGGATATCTTTCTTGATAGATAGATAGATATACCTAGTATGAGATGTGTATGGATGAGATGAGATGAGGCTGCAACGCAGGACTTGGAGTCAATGTTAAGTAAGTAAGTAAGCCCTAACTAACTAATATATAACAAACGAACGGATATGTGTGTCCTCGTAAAACCTCTATATAGTCATATAACGACCGACCCAACGAACGAACGCCTTACATAGTACTCCGTACTCCGTCCTTACTCCTTCTTGTAAGACCCTTTGCTCATCGCGCGCAATCTTACCTAGGCAATCTAGGTAAGTATCTCTTTGGGGAAATAAAATCGACAGAATAGTGATAGCACAGCCGAACTGGATGACTTGTCATCCTCCTGTAAGACTACTGTCCTCCGGCTTCCCCCGAAGGTCCCGGGGAAGAGCGCACAGAGGAGCCGGGCGTATTATTCATGGATGAGGACGATGACGATGACGCATATGGATCACGCGCCGTGGTTGTGGCGGGATAGCAGTAGTTGCAAGGCAGGGTACGGAAACCGGCACCCTTGCAATGGCGACAGATATTCATTCTGTACAGCAGAAAAGTTTAGACGATCCCAATACACAAATACGTGCATGCAACTAAGTTCCAGTGGGGTCTACTGACCCGAAGAGAACAGTGAAACATGTATCATGATGAAAAGTTATAGGTACCGGCAGCACCGAACTCACCTTGGAGGATGACCAGCACACATTTGACAGTTCAAAACACGTCGTCCACCAATGCATTGGTGGTCCACGTCTTGAGAGGGCCCAGAAGACATGATAACGGTAGGGCTAGGTAAAGAAACGCAGCAATGGAGTAATGGTATAAAGTACTGGTAGAAGAGGCAAAAGTTCTTGACGATTGCTCTGGACAATGAGTTCAGTCAAGCACGAAGATCTATGATGGATATGGATCCAGTCGGAGATTTTTCCATCCGCCTTATTCCTCCTCATCTGGATGGCTCCACGCTGTATTTATACTTGCGTGCTGGACCTGGCTTGCAGTGCAACAGCACCCAACTTCAGCCCTAATTATATCGTGTGCGAGCTGGAGACATGACGTCTTCGAAACGCTGCTGTGTTACAGATCCCAGATGCAAGTGATTTATCCTGCGCCAAGATCGTGATTTCAACAGCTTCAACCTGAGAGATCTCGGTTAAGCCATGCTTCGACCAATACCTTGTGCCTTGTGCATACACAAACCTGCGCACAATTGATCAGCAGGACATGTCCGAGACAAATCCATTGGCCTCGATCCCCGACTCCCTTTGGATTTTGATTCGGCCAAGTCCGCGCAAGATGTCTAGTAGGCGGTGAGGCCGTGGACTGTAGGTCAGCCTTATTTCCGGGTCCATGTGGCTGGAACAAGGTGCCTGGGATCGGCTGCTGCAATTACCCATTGCATCAATTCGTGGTAAACGGACGAAAGTAGTAAATAAAACGGTCTATGCTTCAAGGCAAAGCATAAGAGCGATACAGAAGGATCCCTGCAACCTCCCGTGAACAACGTCGGATAATTAAAGAAGGTTCGCGAAGGTTTTCATCGAATGAGGAAACAATTGCACTGAGACGATAGCTGATAGCTGCACGAGTCATGAGGTGACTATGGTCCCAGGAGCGACCTGATCAATGGAGGCGCCTCAATTCTACCCTCTGGGGGTTCTGAATGGATGACAACCACTAAAAATGAGTTATTTTGAGATGTCGGGTCTGTCGCACAACCATCATACAGCCCGAACACATCATGATCACATATCTCACCGCTCAATTCACTGTTCATGACAGGAATCAGCTGACTTCAGCAGTCTCTGGACCAAGCTCTCGGGCTGACACAGCAGATATATCAGGCGTGAAATGAGCCAGAGTTTATGCCGTTCTCGGTACTGAAGGATCCTGTAGTCCAACAAGACGAGGGTGGGATGCTGACAAAGCGCCTGTACAGAAATAGATCAGAGGGCTTGGATGCATGTGAGTGACCTGGATTGTGCGTTAAATCAACCCCCAAATTCTTCGCTAACAGTGGAGAATAACTTATTGGGAGTCCCATCGACAGTGATGACACTAAGCTTTGAGGTCTATAGGAAAAACCAGGAAGGAGCGATAATGCCCAATGTAGCGGGATTTCCTTATGAAGATTTAACCCGCAGTTGATGGGACGCAAAGGCAACTTTGCGATCCCAAACCAAGACCATTAGGTATCTTCACACGCGAACGACACTATCGAGGGGCGTAAACCGGTCGTGGATATGCATGTTGTGTCAATTCACGGACGTCATGTATGGAACTGATGAGAAAATAGAGTTTAGAATGACATGCGTAGATAAGGCAACCGGTGTATGTACTTACTCGGTAAAAAAACGCGTCGTCAGGCAACTCGCCCGTCCCCTCTGGAAAGAGGAAGGGCAAAAGACGAGACGAATATGCACGAGGGACGGATTCGAGCGGATTACAGACATATCCACCACCTGGTCTTCGTGTCACAAGATGCAGCGTTGCAATGTGCATAACTGGGTCGCTGCAGGTATCCGAAAAGCCGGCGAATCGGTACCGGGAGGTATTCCCTCTGTGCTGGTCGTATTCGGGTAGCCATGAATTTTCAATTTTGCTCGTGATTGTATCCGAGAAGTGAAGAATACCTCCAAGGCTGGAAGTTTCGAATACTGTAGCACGTTGCAACTCACTCCCGCGAGGCAGCCGAAGGATGATGGCAGCAAAGTAATAGCTGCAGACGGCATCAGAAGGATCTGGTTCAGAATGGAATGTTGAGCCACGGGCTAGCAAATTTCGACCCGGGACACGAAAGGACTACACATCACATCTTGCAACGTTAGTGCTTGCTAGGACGTTCACAGGATCAATTATGTATATACAGTACCTGCTAGTGATGTCTTGATTCCCAATGTCCCGATGCCAGGCGGCTCGTCGGGACAAATAGCCCTTCCTGCAGTGATTCGCACGTTGTGTTGCTGGCGGTCGGCGGCCTCTAGTGGCCAATTACCACATCTCGAGCTGGAGCAAAGGTTGGGTCTGTGACTAGAGATGCCTGTCATCAATTAACACTTATTGCCCGATGATCAATTCTCGACACGGACACGGCTGGCCTGCGAAACGAGACCGCTACACGCTTTGTGCGCATTTTTTGGCATGGCGGTGATGGACGCCTTGGGTGAGGTTGGGCTTGCTAGAAGCGCTGAGCCCTCACAGGTTAGTAATTATTTGAGATTGGACTGATACTAGAACGAACCTTATTAGATGCCAGTGCTGGAAAAGCGCACGCTCAGAACCCAATGTCCGAACAAGGGTGACACGCCGTGGATAAATTGATTGACTGATCGAGGGTCTTTCAGGCTTGTCGGGAGAGGGCAATAGCTTGAACGTGCGCGTGATCCAGAGGAAGGAGCCAGCGGTCGGTGTCTCACGGGACCCGAGTGATTGCCTTACGCGTTGCGATCGCAGATTACGATCACAGATCTCCTGTGGATATCTTTCCGCGCAGATGAAAACTACTATAGATCAGAATCACTACAGCCACACATGCTCGATTTCTCATGGATCCGTGTCATTATAGCAAATCCGTATGCCTAGTACAGAGCTCGTTTTAAACCCGCTAAGAATACATAAAGAAAGCAACGGACCAAGAGAAGGTAGAACAAGAGGGATACAAGTGGGTTCATATCGGGAAAGACGGAGTAGAAAACCCGGAATAAAATGATGGAGGGGGAAAGATTCAGATCGGATGGCTCCATGAGGATTAGACCGTACATTGCAGCGAGAATTTGAGCTGACTGACAACCCTCCTCCTGACCCTCACCTAGAAATTAATATCGTAGTAGAAAAGCCTTCCAACGCCATATAACCCTAAAACGCAGAGGTATCATTGCACAGATATCTTTGGTGGCAAGAATAAAGGGAGACATTCAGCAAGGAGATGAATGGAGAGGGGAAACAAGGTCACATGTACAGAACTCCAAGCGGTTCCAGGTCATGGATCAGTCCCAAGTCGACACCATAGCATCACGTAAATTAAACTTGCTGAAGGATGGAGATAGCATCGATTCTAGTGGTGGCATCAGCAGCAATTGGTACTCTGATGCGAAAATCAATCCATCATCCAAGGCAGGAAACCCAATATTGTGCAAGTAATCTAATCAAAGAAATCAGGAGGGAGAGATGCCAGAGTAGCAACGGTGGCAATGCTACCAACAACTGCGCCCATGACAGCAGTGGCAGCGTACCGCATGAAGTTACCACCACGCTCTCTCGCAGTCTTCACACGCTTTCGTCGCTGATCCGCTTGTTTAGCATCGATATCCGTAGGATGAGCGGGTTTAGGCTCAGTCTGAGCCGGGATCTCCGTCAGCTGAGATTCGGAAAGGGCTGGACCCTGTATGACTGGTCGTGGCTGAGCATCTGGAAAAGAACTATCTTCCAACACAGCCGTATGATTGTCGAGGCTGCTGGTGTTCGAGACCGCCATGTCGGCTTCAAAGTCAGCAGCCTTTCGTTTCAACGGGTTTGTCTGCGCGGATGCATGACATTCCCCTGTAGACTTCTCCACGATATCGGAGATCGAGACGCGCGTTGTGCTCACGGTATGTTCCAGGTTCGGCTTGTCGCTCCTGTCTGTCAGATGAGATTTAGGTCGGATGAAATCAGACCCCGTGACTTGTCCACGAACGTTCTCAAAAGAAGGTGAAGAGGGAGGGTGCACGAATTGGCTGGAGACACTCGCAGCTTTTTCACTATAGTGATTAAGATAGCCTTCGGAAGATTGGTGTGAACTGAAAGCAAACGTCTCATGAGCTGCATCGGCATAGGAGCTAAGATTGTTAACCAACGCAGCTTGTGGAAATGGAGGAAATGATAGCTGCGGAGGTTGACCGGATTGCTGGAGGGCAGACCATTCCTCAAACGTCGGTGTGAATGAGCCATAAGGATAGCTTGATAGTGGTGCATTTGACGTCTTCGCCATGGCTTTATC